ATTCCTCAATATAATTATGATGCATCTCTTCTTATATATTCAAATTGCAGAGCTAGGAACTTTGAGTTGTTTAATGGATAATTTTTGGTCATCTTCAGATATTGTTGAACCAAACTCTAAACATATGAAGCCATTTTGATGTTACAACATTCTTAATAATACCTGAGGTAGGGAATAAAAATTGATGAGTAATTTCTCCATATTGAGAATTTAGACAAGAGAAAAGAAGTTTGAAAAGGAAACTCAACTAGTAAATTATTCTTGAACCAACTTTCATAGTCATATTTGGATGTAATTTGAATCGATTATTAGAAGTAGTTGAAGTTTAAGGAAGGGAGCAAGTTCAGTGGGAGAAATGAATCGCTTTCGAATACAGCCGTTAGAAATGAAGGTTGCCTTAGATGATGTTTAAAGTTAATGCAAATGCGAAATGAGCTCGGTAGTAGGAGCAGGAGATTCCTGTCAACCTTAGTCATACTTGTTTTACATCCTACAACTTGGATTGGAAAATACTAACAGGTAAGCGGTATTGGGCTTCGGTGACATATCTTGACGTGTTGCCAACTTAAACAGTAAATATGGACCTCCTACATATTTACATATATGTATTTATTGAGTCCAGTAACCGTAACACTAAAGTGTGGCAATGAAAGAATCCCTCCCCAAAACCAATTGGCTATATTGCAACCCACACGTAATTAAGTGTCTACCAGCTTCCAATAGTTATCAAAAGATCTGGTTGGCCCACAATTTACAAAATGAAGATAGACACCATGTTAGCATTGTTAAGAATTAAAGGTATTTTTCTTCTTGGTTGTTTGCATGAGAAGATTGAAGAGTAACTTCCACACCTGTATTGGTAATTGGTAGTCTACAACTTGTTGTTTGGCAATGTGGTTTATGAGTAGGAAAATTGAGACTGACAATCGAGGTAACTGTGTGGAGTGCGTTCTGACATGGTTGCAGATTTCTTTGTCGTATTATGACAAGAAAGCCAACATCGCTTTGTATTTTTCTGGATTTAATCACCACTCTCAATATTGCCTTTGCAATCTGTTTGTGTTGCAAAAATTTAAAAAAGAGAAACAACATCAAGCAGTGCACTGAACTTTCTACTACCCAAGTAGTCTTCTAGTTTCGTTCGTCAAAGAGGTTGTCTAATAATTACTATTCTTTCTCTCAAAATACTAATCTCATCAAACATGATTCCCAGAGATAACATCAATAATCAACTTCAGCATAATAATTCTCTCTTTCCAATTTCAAGTAATAATAATACTAACACCTTCAATGCCAACAATACACAGTCAACAACACCTAATTTAAACTTACAGCAACAACACCTTTCTATTAGTCAACAAAACACTGTTACTATACCAAGTCACCAATTTTCACAACCTACAAGTCATTTAGCCGAGAACTATCTCCATAATACCTATTCCAATGTTTCCTTTTCCACTTCATTATCTGCTTCCCCAAATATACATCAACAACAAATTCCAACACATAACAATTTACAGTACATTCAAGAAAAGTTACTCAAAGAGCTTTCTCCAGAGCAATTATTTCAATTATACATGGTTTTGGAAAAGTTACCAATACCTTCTTCACATCATCAACAACCCTCTGTACAGCTGAACATCAACAATGAGTCAACACATGTGGTGGTCAACCCACTAAAGCAAACAATTTCGATTGGACACAAATCCTCTATTGAAGATGATTTTTCTCATGAAAGTGTATCGCAGCTCTTACAAAATGCTTTACATAATCAACAGCAACAACATGAAAGTAGTGCAGGTAGTAATGTTCTATTCTCAGCTACACACGCTTCCACCAGTTTAAACCTTTCGAATAATTTAAATGCTCTCACATCTCATCAAGAAGCATTCCCTTCCATGAATCAACAACATGCATCCAACGCAATTGATTTGGTTTCGTCCCACCATGTGAACCAATCCTCTACAGTTATTTCAAAACATCAATCCAGGGCATCTTCATCGAGTTCAAAACGAGAGGAAATTCCAATCCCTGTATTATCAGGAGGCGTTAAGAAGAGCTCGAAACATGAAAGGCATAGACCATCTCCAGAATCAGCATTGACATGCAACTTTTCTATGCATACTTTGGAATCGTTTAAAACTGAACAATTGAGAATACAAAGTTTGCCAAAGAGACCTAGAGGTAGACCTAGAAAACCTGGATCAATTCCAAGAGGAAGAAAGAAACCTGTGCCTACAACAGATGAAAAGAAGCAACAAGATGATTCAACTTCATCAGATAACGAATCAGCGTCGTGCAGTGATGCCAGTAGCGAGCAATCCACAAACACTGCCAAACCAAACCATTAAAGTTGTAAAAAAATACAATTAGGTCAAGATTCGAATAATATGCTCGGTTCAGCGCTGACATTTGATTCATATTGCATCTCTAATTCTTAATTAAGACGGAATTTACTTTTGGTAAAATGATTTACCAAAATAGAAAATTGAGTAGTTCATTGTAAAATAATCCTTTAAAAAATTTTAGATATGAATTTTAAAATTCAACATCCTTGTATAATTTAAAACATTCCATTTGTGCACTTTCCTCTAAGCATTTTGAAAATCCTCTATGTGTAGTATGGCTTGTCAAACAAGATTGAAATTGTTTCTTACAAACAGATGCAAACAAGCACAAATGAGACTTGAACATGGAGTAAGCTTGTGAATCTATCGATTGAGAACCATCAATTTCCGAAAAGCAATCCATACAATTAGATTCAACAGCACTCTTGACCTTATTTCTAATCATATCCACAGAGTCTGATGAATTAATTTGCAAGCCATTACTATTCAAGTTACTACTAATAGAATTTAAATGTCCCAAAACTTCAGCTGGTTTTCTAGAAACCACTCTATCTAATTCTCCCAAAATATGTGTAGTTGTTTCTACATCCATTCCGATACATTCATTAACCTTTTTCATTTTGATAACAGAGGTTGCTTCTTCATCATCTTCTGTTGTTCCTGGATTTTTAATAAACGAAGGTAAACAATAATTAAGTGGTTCCTTAGCCTTTGTCAATACTTTTAATAAACATCCAACATAGAGTGTATGAAATCCTCCTTCAATTCCTTTTAATTTCTTCTCTTCATTGGCTGCTCGGAATAATGATGAACAAGCCTCTGGTGAATTGTGAGCAAATAATGATCGGAGATATAAATCCTCATCACTACCGATTGGATTTGATGATGCTGCAGCTGTGTTGTTGGTACTCATGATGATGGAAGAGTTTCAAGTGTAATTGATTGAATTTTTTTTTTAATATTTTTTTTAATTTGTTAATTTTTAATGATAATAAGAGTAACTAAACACTCAGAACACAAGATCAGAAGAAGAGTTTGTGCCACGAGCTCAAGAATTCATTTTAGAAAGACATTAATAAACTTTCATGTTTTATTCAACGCTAATAGAAAACAACCTGATTGTCAGCAATATTAAGTGATGTTAATTGTTTCATTTCACTTATTGATTTGGCTCCCTCATCACCAATTTCATTGCTAAATATATCAAGTGATGTTAGTTGTGTCATTTTACTTATGATTTTGGCTCCCTCATCACCTAGTTGATTGTAACATATATTAAGTGATGTTAATTGTGTCATTTCACTTATGAATTGGGATCCTTCTATACCAATTTGATTATCGTATACATCAAGTGATGTTAATTGATTCATTTCACTTATGAATTTGGCTCATACTACTACATCAATTTGAAGCAAACATTCTTCAAGTATGGAGTTAAGGCAAATATTATTTTTCTACGTGTGGATTAAATCCAGCTTGAACTTTCGAATAACTTTTACCGATCTGTCTCCGTTCTTATTTTCAGAACAACAACATACACAAAAAAACAACCACACACAATGTCACAAGATAACATCCAAACCTTCACAACTCCAATAGATTCTTCGGAGAACCAACATTTAGTTTCGAATAACATTTCTGGTCTTAATGGCCTTCCACATCATTTATTAGAAACCATGATAACTAACATTGGAGTTAGTGTTGCTGATCTTTCCAAGAAGCATGTTGTTTTGTTGGTGTTTCTTCGATATTTTGGATGTGTTTTCTGTCAGAGAAGTATTGTGGATATTGTAAATAGTTTATCCAGCTTGATTAAACTAAACTGTATACCTGTTTTTGTACATCAGGAAAGTGAGCAAGAGGCAGATGAATTCTTTTCACGGGCTGGAATGCCAAAACCACTTTCGAACAAACAATTCGAAACTTCACAAGATTCGTCCAACTCTGAACTCAACAAAGAATCAAGTGAACCAACGAGGAGAATTGATGAGTAAATTCCTACGAGTTGCAGATCCTGAAGGAAATTACTATTACCAACAATTTGGTGTCAAGACCAGTAATGCATCTGACATGTCAAATAATCTGAAAGTTGTCATCGAAACTGTGAAAGTGGCACTTTCTCAAGGTTACAAATTGACTAATTATGTAGCTGAGCGAGCATCTAGAAGTCAGCTTTCGGCAACTTTCGTAATTGCAAATGGAAAGATTGTAAATAGACATTTGAATGATAAGGTTTATGTAGTTCCAGATTTTATGGAAGTTTTACTTGACTTGGAAGGAAAAGGAAGTGATGATTTGTTTGATTTATTGAAAGATCAATCAGAATATGTAAATTCTTCTGCCGAAATGTCAAGTCAAATGTCAAGAACTGAAAATATTGAAACGACAATTTCAGAATTTCAAAAGATTGCTGTAGAGGTAAAGCCAATTTATGAACCAATTCTCAAAACTGCAAAGAAGAAATCAAATTCTTGTTTTTCTGCTCAAATTGAAGAAATTTCAAATCAAGATTTAACTCAGCAATTTCCACTTCAAAAGATTTTGGCAGATAAGAATTATAGAAAGGTTTTAAAGTTATTTTCTACAAAGATTTACGCTGCTGAAAGTTTAATGTTTTGGGAAGAAGCTCACTGTTATCAGAAAGTTCAAAACGAAACCAAACGAAAGGCATTAGCAAAGAAGATTATAGATTCCTATTTAAATTCAAACTCACCAACTGAACTCAATGTAGCCTCCAATGTGAGAGAAGCCATCATGCAACGATACAAGAATGAAGGATCTGTCCCTCATCTCTTTACTGAATTAATCAAGAATATCGAATCTGATTCACTTCAGGATATTTATGTTCGATTCTTGGATAGTGATTTGTTCAGAGGCCGAATTTTAAGAAAATAAACCACTTTTATTAATCACACAATTTGAGATGTGGCCGCTGACTGAGCAATAAAACTGGATCATCTGTAAATAACTGTTTCGAAACGATTCGAATAGAAGGAATTCCAGCAACTACCTTATTGATTAGTTTGAAATCTGGAGGATCACTTTCAGAATCTGCAATCAACCTTTCACAAGCTAACAGCGAATATAACTCTGTCCTGAATGGAGCCATTTCTTCCTTATCATCCACAAACAAATCGAATATCGATTGTAAAAATGTATTAATCTCAAAATTTGAAAATGTAGAATTTCTTCCATCCAATGTAATTGTCTTTAAATTCACCATATTGCTTCTTGCCGTGCTGGTTGGAATAATTTCCACAGAATTGAAAATTCCAGTAAAGGATTCCAAAGTTTGTGGAATTCTTGCATCGTAGACAATTTCATTTCCTGGTGAAAGGACCAGAGTGAGAGATTTGAGGGATGCATAATGTTTGATATTTGAATAAAAGTCTGAAATTGCCTTTCCTGAAATGTTGACACAATTCTGGAGGGATATTAATTCGAGATTCTTCCACTGATCTGCTTTTGGTTGTGAAATGGATTCAATAAAGGTTTCTTCAACCTCCGTGTCCATTAAATAGATAGCTTTCATACTTGGTGATTCTGAGAATAAGCTAGTTAAAAATCTGATCAATTCTGGACTTCCCTCATAAATTTCAATAACTTCAATTGTGGATGAGAATTCAATGATTTCATTTGCTGAGGATCCAAGATTACAATCAAAAAATTCAATCGTTTTGAGATTTTCAAAATAATCCAAACATGTCTTGAAAGCATCTGGTTCAATAAACGCCTTTTCAAATATTATCATTTCAATAAGAGGAGTTTGATCCAAATCTACAAGTTGGCAAATAGATGCCATAGATTGAACCTTAATTGTTTTCAAATAAGGACAATGCAATTGTCTTACAGTTGAGACATTAGCCAAATTTAACTCCTTTAGAGGGGACACATTTTCACATCCATGGTTTGGAATTTGGAATGAAAGAATTGACAAATCCCCTATTTGATTATAAGACATCACACCTAATGCTTCTAATTGGTTCGATCGGATAGAGAGTTTGTCAATATTTCCCTTCAAATCGAATGTTTCAAGATTGATTGCATTGATGGTGAGAGTTCTTATTCGGGACATAACCCGAATACTCTTCAAAGAATCTGAATTAATATCCATCGAGTAATGAGCTGAAAATGATTGTAAAGTAATATTTGAAAGTTTCGGTAGGTCTTTAAAGTCAATCTTTGAAGCATATTTAGGATCCATTTCAAGTTCCTTCAATGATCCAAATAATTTGAAAATCTCTGGATTAAATTCAGTAATTGTGCCAACTTTGAGAACTTGAAGCTTTGGTGCAAGTTGGGTTAGATTAGAATTACTCATTTCTGCAACATGGAGATGTGTCAAGTTTTTAAATTGTGAAAACGCAAAGGTTCTGTAAAATAATGGCTTGACATTATCCAAAACTAGAGTTTGAATTTTTGCCGATCTGTTTAGCAATTGGTGAAATTCTGAAACGAGAAACAACTCAAAACTAACTCTTGGCTGTAGTGGATTTTCAATTGTGTGTTTGCCGTGCCAAGATCCAATCTGTAATCTTTTCAATTTCTCTGGATCAAAATGGAGCATATTCACCGTTCGTACGGTTGCGAATTCAACATATAATTCCTCTAAATTGGAAAGTGGAATGTCAACTTCTCCTTCAAAATCGTCATCTTCAGTTGATTCTTCAGCTAGAGTGATTCTCAAATATTTAATCTTAGAGTTGATATTCTGAAAGAGTAGATTTGCTTTTGATTGGATATTTTCTTTGGCATAACAAGCTAAGGAATTCAGTAATTTTGAATTAGTTACCAATTTGAGTGAGTCAACCTTTTCAAAATCAATTAATGGAAGAAGCGATTCTACCAAAGTCAATCCAAACAATGAGCAATGAAAGAAATCAATTACAGCATCCTTAAATTTCAAAAATTTGATTGATTCCAATCCAGGATATTTGTACATATCTCCAAAGAAGGTTGATGTAATTTCCAATTCTTTAACCCTTTCAATATTTGGAAATCCAGTCAATGCCATACTACTTGCTTCTTCCAGAAACTTGACACCAGTAAATTTGTGTCCACAATTCGTAAACACATTGATTGAATGAATATTCACTTTTCTAATACTTCCAATTCTCCATTCCACAAATCTGGTGAATAAACTCATTGCACACTCGACTGGCATCTCATCAGAAATCTCAAATGCGCTCAAAGCACTCTGAATTGTAAAGCAAATCCTCCTCCACATCATACAAGTCCTAGTAACCTCTCGGAAATCATGAAAACTCAAATAGGAGAATATTTGTGAGAGAATATGATCTGGTAAAACGTCATTAATACTTTGTTCGACATATTCAGTGTAGGATGAATAGTCTTCTTTCGGTTGATTTGAAATAGGATTATCCATTAGATTGATCAGACTAAAGTGACAATGGTCGAGTTCTTTTCTCAAATCGGAATTGATGGTTGTTGTATTATTCGAAAGTTCCGATTTAATGGAATACAAGACTTTTTCATATCTTTCCAATAGGGAATCCAGAAACGCAGATGGTGTTTTCTTTTTCTTCCTTTCCAATTCTTCATTTTGTTGTATCACTGTTTCACCACTCGACAAGGAAGAATGGTTTCGTTTCATTTTTTAAAGTTTCTAATACAAAATCATCTGCTCACAAATCACAACTTTATTGCGAAGTTTAATCAACTCCAATGGAACGAGTCTTGACTTGTTTTTCCTTTTGTTCAACTTTTGGAATTGAAATATTCAAAACTCCTTCATTCATATTTGCCTTAATTCCATTCAAGTCAACATTTTGTGGCAATCTCATAGATCTACTGAATTTACCATAATATCTTTCAGATCTGTGATAGATTTCATTCTCATCAGTCTTTTCAGATTTGGTTTCACCTGAGAAGGTTAAGAGTCTCTTTTCATCATCAACATCAATTCTGACATCTTCCTTCTTCAAACCTGGCAAATTGGATTTAACACAAATGCACTTGTCAGTTTCAGAGACATCAGTTGAAGGAGTGAAGGAGCCAAGTTGATTTCTATAGAAATCTACGCCACCTCTGTTACGATCGCTAGTGCCACCACCACTACTGAGAAATGGATCCCAAGTAGTAATTCCAAATGGTTCATCGAAAATATCTCCCATCCAACGGCTTAACATTTTTCTTCTTGTTTTTCTTGTGTTGGAAATGCAAATAGTTTTTTAACGTGTCCAATTTATAGGGTGGACAACACTGCAAAATCAGGAATCTTTTCAAACTTGGAAGTTTGTCTAATTGGGTTGATCTACAAGTACATATTTAGCATTAATTAATCTCATTCTCTAATAAGGAAATTTTTCAAATTTATATAGCTATTTAAATTCTTTACATTAGTCGTAGTGCTTGGAAGAGCGAGAGTTCTTCACCTTCCTCTTCAGAAGGAACACTTTCAAGATCCTCTTCGTCATTGTCATTATCAGAAACTCTCATTGCCTTACTGTTTACATTTGTAGTTGGTGTGAAATCATCTGGATACATGTACTTGACAAATTCCTTTTCCAAATATTCGACAGCAGTGATCACATCTGGTTGTTGACTGTTGAGCCATCCCTTCAACTGTTCTACGTATTGTCTCTCCTTGTATCTGACTTTAATATTCCACAACAAGTCAGAAATGTTTAATATTCCATCAAATTTGGAAGCACCTGATGACTTGGTTCTGTCTATTGGTTTGATATTGTAAGAGGATTGTCTATTGACAGAATTTGCAGAGAAAGACAAGGATGCAAATAATTGCTGCTGTAATTTGACCCATTTTGTGAAAGCAAGTGCAGTAAGTTTGGTAGATTCAACGGTTGATCTTGTTGCAAATTCATTAACCTTTCTAATTAAATCTTCACGTGAATAATAGTAACTGTATATCTTGTAATTCTTCACAAAGAGAGCAAGTAATTGGAATACCAATTGATAAGTTGTTTCGGATTGCTCAACTTCCAAATGTGAAAAGAAGAATTCCAAAACGATTTTCAGATAGGACAAATCCGAAGTGAGATCATCAGGACTACTTGGTCTTGCATTTTGCTGTTGTTGATAGAGTTCCTCTTCGAAAATCCAAGACATGATTCTCATAGTAGCAATACTGGCTTGAATTGAGAGAATTCTTCTCCATCTGTTTTGTTGTTCTTTGGCCTTTTTCTTAGAATCACCTCTGAAAAGTTGAGAATAGCTGGATTGTTGACTTCTCAAGATGCTGACAGAAGTTCTGTGAGAGAGCTTGTTAACAGTTGGTGAGGAAAATCTAGAAAGAGGAACCTTCCTTGGATCGAATGAATCGTCCTTTGAAGCGAATGGGAAAATGAAACTCTTTCTTCCAGTTGTTTCTTTCATAGTGCCAGACTTTTTACCTCTTGGAGAGAGAGCACCATCGGATTGTTCTCTGGAGGATACTGGTTTGAGACTGCTACTTCTTGGAGTTGCCATTGGATGTTGATGTTGATGATAGGGATCTTCATCTTCATCAGCACTGGAATTTCTCGAGTGGGCATATTTGAATAGTTTTGGAACTGATGAGAGAATCTTGATGAATTGCTTCTTTCTCTCCACAGCTTCTTGAGTCCACCACTGTCTGAATACCTTCTTTCTCGTATTGATTAATATGTGTAAAAAGTTGATGAGCATGGTTTGTGCTTCTGGACGTTTGTCTGGTGTATCCTTCAGTGATTTGGAATCTGCTTTAGTGAGCTCCTCATAAGTTTTCCACAAGTCACAAATTATAATAATGAAAGGGAAGTAGAGTGAAGCAATCTTTTGTCTTTCTTCCTTACTTTGGAATCGAGCATCGTATTCGTGTCGGGAGAGTAAAAAGTTAAATGTGATGGCTGCCTTCTCTCTGACCTTGCGTTGTTTGTGGAGAGTGTCGAGGAGGAATCTCTTGATGAAAATGCCAGACAAGTAGTGAGTGTCACACATGTGATAAACAATATAATTACCATTCTTTTTCACATATTGCAAGCAGCTTGAGGTGCTGTATGCAAGACACATGGACAGGAAGTGGTCATAGCAAGAAATTTGTTTCAAGAAGATATTCTTCAGTTCTTGTAAGAGTTCAAATTGTTGATCTTTTGATGGGAGGAATTCATCCAAGAACATTTCAATTTCTGTAATGATAAATCCTCTATCTATCAAATTCATCAATCCACACAAGAATTGTGCATAAGATGAGACAAGGAGCTTGGCAACTGACATGGAGGTAGAATATCTAAACTTGCATTCTTTCACAACTAGTGTTCTCAACTCTGAAAGAAGATCCAAAAGTTGAGAGAATGGTGCAGGAACATCATCTTTCTTCTTACTTAAATGCCTCAAAGGGCTATAAGCACCATATTGTTGATTGAGTAACTTTTGATTATTCATGTAAAGAATTAAAGACTTTTCAATAAGTTGGAAGTAGATAGAACTATTTTCAATGGTAATGCTATCATTTGGCATGTTGATCAAGAATCCGTCATGTGATCCTCCACCTGATATAAAATTGTACACTGAAAAATTGAAATTTTCACCCTTTTTTTCAGCTCGCATCTTTTGTTCCTCATCAAGATTTCTGACATATCTCTTCAACAGTTGTTCAAAAAGAAGACCTGTAGAATCTGGATGATTAACAAAAGCTTCCTTGATATATCTTTCAATATATTGTTTGGTATTTCTTTCAGTCTTTTTGAGCTTATCTAGATATGAGTTGAGTAGACCAAAAGCTCCTGATTGAACATTTGGGAATTGCTTTAGTGTGATCATTAACAGCAATTCATCCACAATTTGGGGCATGTATTGGATGAGATTTCTAAAATCAACAACCTTTTCCAAATTCTTCAACTTTTTAGAAATGTTATTTTGAATTTCAGCCAAATTTTCTCCATAAATACTTTTCATGACTTTGACTACTTCGTTGGCAGAGAAGAATTCGTACAGGTTAATATCAGTGGTGTAAAGTGTTGAAATTGGTTGGAATTCAACCTTGAACTCTCCATTCTTCTTTGTATCTTCGTTAGCCTGCAAGTAGCTCTTTGGGGTAAGTCTCTTATAGATTGGTAAAATAAGATTTCCATGGGTGGCAAGCAGACCATGCTTTCCCAACAACATGTAGTATGAGTGACCAACAACTTGTACATTCTTCTCGTCTCCAGCACAATCCACATTGACAAAAGTAAAGAGTAAATGGTCACCAGAGCCCAATTGTTCTGGTAGTTGCAATTTGAGCTCATCATTGAATTGGGGTGAGGTAGATTGATAAGAAACAGAGCTGAATCCTTCCTTGAAGGTCTTGTTATTCTTCTTGATGAAAACTTGTTCTCCTTCATCACTAATATCTCTATCGTTCCTCTTAAATTTCACAATAATACCAACATTCATATCTTTCAAGAATAAACGACGTTTGAAAGCAGTAGAAAGTGGATAGATATACAAATTGTTACTGTCTGTAAGTGAGCTTCTAAAGTTAGGAGCGAATGTGAACATTTTACACATGTAGGAACCATTGTTATTGCCATTAGTTTGCTTCAAGTAAAACGAAGTAGATTTCAAATCCAAAGTGGCAAATTGGTCATTCAAATCGGTAAGGCTTTCGGCTGCTTTGCTTGAGACAGTTGTTGCTTCGTAGGCTCTGGTAAGCTCACAGTGAAGTTTGAGTGTCATTGGAACTAACTTTTCTTTCTTGACATCTCTCTTTTCAAAGAATTCATAGAAGGAATGTTCATTTCTGACCTCATCCATATAATAGAATGTTTCAATTTCTTTAGGTAAAATCAAATTTCCTTCAAAATCAAAGAGAGGTTCACAAGCCCATGAAACAACTTGTTGATAATTCTTTAAGGTAGGGAAAAGAGTATTGACAGATTTGGTGAACTTTTCCTCTGACAACTTGGATTTACCAGGTTTAATGTAGGCGTCCATGCTGTCAGAACCTTGTAGAGTCTTTGTCACAACAAACAAAACCATGATGTCAGAGTTACTAGAATCAACTTCATAGCCAGCACATCTGCTCTTTTTGACTGAAAGTGGATCATCATCCTCATTGTCTTCACCCAGGAAGATTCTCATTTCTCTAGAGTTGATATCACAACTGAAGGTCTCTGAAATTCTTCTCTTTTGTTTGATATCGATCAAGTACCAATATAAATACAATGGTTCTAGTTGTTTTCCATTGAAATAATCACGGAATAGAATTGGTTGGAAGTTCAAACATTCAATAGAAACATGAACTAGCTCAGGGTTTTTCTTTGCTTTTCCTGAAATTTCCACAGGAGAATCAGTACCATGAGCGTTAGAGGTGAGATGATAGTTTTGTAGGTGACTGTATTCTTCATAAGCTTGAACTTCACCCTCCTCTTCTTCTTCAATAATTATTTTACTCCACTTTTTATCATTTCCATCTCTTCCAATATGATAAGATTTGAGAATGTGCCTGATTGAGTTGGCTCTAATCATTTCCTTAATTCTCTTGTGTGAACAATGGAACTGCTCTTCTGGTGTCAATTTCTCTGCTTCCATTGTTTGGGTAATGATGGCAATATTTGATGAAGGAGGTGGTGATTGTCCAAGTGGATTCTCTGTTGGAGGAGTCATACTCAAAGAATTAGGGGAATGGATAGATGGATATGAGGTAACACTTTCCTTTCTTTCGGCTGCATATTTATCCCCTGGGAACTTGTGATTCATATAGAGTTGAGTGTACAACTTTTGTGAGACGTAAATGGATGAATATTTGCTTGGATGAGTTACTATTGAATTACTAAAGACGAAAACTAGTAATCTTGGGAAATCAATCAAACTATTCTTTTTCCTAACCATAGAATATGATTCCTCAAATGGATAGTTATAAATTTCTCTACAATCATCCAATAAATCCAAACTAAAGAAATATAAATTATAAATGTTATCCTTTTCCATAGGTTGTTGTTGTACTTGAACGGCATCCAAAATTGAGAGTGTAACTTCTCCTTGTTCATCAATCTAAATAATTAGTATTCGAATTAGCAATCTTTACACAATACTTACATATATTTTAGATTCGTCCAATTTGATAATAAATCTAATATCTGTAGTTCTATTAATTTCTTCGATGGCTGTTGCAATTTTGAGCAAAATTTCCAATTTGTCATGAAGGGAGACATATCTTGGATTCGATGGAACAAGATAGGCCTTCAAATTGGTACCTTGAGGTTTGTGGAGGATGTAAATCTCCTCTTGATCTGTTAATTCATCATACGTTGTAAAGTATCCTAGAACTTTAGTAATGTATTGAATATCTCGGAGTTGAATAAGTGTTTTAAATTGATCTTTAGTGACCCTTCTTAATGTTACAGTAGATCCATTCCAAGAATAAAGACCTTCTTTTCCAGGGACTACTTCTGTCAACTCGGTTTCATCAATTCTAAATCTCCAAGGTATCAAATAATCCCAAAAGAATTCATGAGAAGATAATCTCTCCTCTGGATTCTTTTCCAATAACTTAGTAACAACAATATCTATTAATTCCACAAATTTTGAAGGTAATGTTGAATTCATTTTCTAAATGCAATGTTAAAACAAACACATTCGTAAATTATTAATACAAACCTTGTACATATTCTCTCTCATTTTCACTTTGTGTGCAGCATGATTCTCGTTAATCATATCGTTAGTGTTTAAAAGAGCAGCATCCAAGCTGATCAAATAATATATAATACATCCCAGACTCCACATGTCTGTTTTGAGAGAAAAATTACCATTCAAATGATCTGGACTCATCCATCCAAGTGTACCAACAACAGAAACTGCCATAGATTGTTGTATATTCTTAGAAAGTCCAAAATCTCCCAAAGTTACTTTACATGATGTTATTAATTTTCTATTCTTCTTATCAAGTTCCAATGAAGAAATGAAAATATTGTCAGGTTTCAAATCTCTGTGAATAATGCCTTTAGAGTGTGTATATTGAATTGCATCCGTTATTTGAAGAACCATGTCTATAATACACTGTTAAAATATTGTTAGATATTGTTATTAAGAGTATTAATTACTTACGTGTGGTGTAAATGGATTTGTGTCATATTTAGGAGCAAATTTGGTAATAAATGCTGTCATGTCGCCATGAATATACACTGGCATTGTAATCATAATCATTGAATTGAAAATATTCTTTGTTTCGTACAACTTCCATACGGGTATAATTGAAGAATGCTTTAAAACTCTCAAAATATTAAACTGAAAATTACATTAGAATCAATGATGCTAAAGAAACTTACTTCATTCCACAATTGTGCTGAATTTCCTCCAGCATTAATAACCTTCAGAGCCACTCTTTCACCAGTAGTCTTTTCAAGACCTGAAAAAACAGTAGCTTGTCCACCAGTTCCTAGAGATTTCAATTCTGTATACTCTTCAATAATTATTGATTCATTGTTCTTTTCAGTGATTTGTATTGTGAAATCAGTCATTACAATCTTGAATTGATCGTGAGGAAAATATTGACCTCTACGTTGTTGAATTTTAGGTATGGCATGATCGTGAGAATGGCCATGATTGATATGACCACCTTTATAACTTGCCTGTAAATTAAGTGAACTCGTACGATGTGTAACCAATTGATCCACATGATTATCATCAAAAAGTGGTAAAACATCCTGTGAAAATGATTGTGAAAGTGGTTGTTGTGTTCTAGCAGTCAATCTTGCTGGCTCATCTGATGAATCCATAGGACTAGAAATTTTGTGAATTGGAAGGGGAGTCAAGAGATGAGCATGTTGTTGTGGTTGTTGTTGTTTGTTGACTGGTGGTGTATGTGGAGACCAAGGTAGAACAGAAGGTGAAGAAGGTGATGTTGGAGAAATGGTTGATAATTTAATTGTATTAACATCGTCAGTTAATCTGGCAGTGGGTGAAGAAGGCGTACGATTATGAAAACGATTATTATGATTGTGATACTCTGTCAGGTGAAGATTTGACTGATTAGTAGTCAATGCTGATGATGAAGAGGATGAAGAGAAGGATGGTTCCTTGTCTCCTGTTGGTGTTGTTGTTATACTTGTTTTCACTTTGGGAGAGTCAGAGGAGCCTGAATCTTCTTCAGAGGAAGAAGAAGATGAATCGGAGGAGGATGGTGAGTAACCTCGATGATGATTTTGTATATTTTGAATGGGAATAATTGGTACAAGTCGAGGTTTGGCTATTGATCGTTGATTGTTATTGCTAGTCGATGATTCACTAGTAGTAGTAGTATTATTATTTGAATTATTATTATTGGTCAAGTGCAAAGGCTGAATTGTTGATGATGATGAAGAATCACTTGTTGCCGAAGAGAATGAAACTCTCTGATCTTCACTTCCTCGTTTTTCATAAACATGTTGTTGTTGTTGTTGATTTTCCTTCACTAGAATAATTTGATATTGCTGCTGATATTGTTCTTGTCCTCCTCCTACATATTGTTCTTGTTGCTGCTGATTATTTGTTGTTATTTTAGATATTTCTTGTTTGTTATTATTATTGGCGCCAAATATTTCATTATTGTTGTGATTAAAAGAAGAGGAATTATTAGAGGAGGATTTGTTCAGCAGCACTTGAGGCTGATCAACATCGACACCACTACTCTTCCTTCCATTGCCTACAAGATTATCATCATTGGCAGCATCTTCAGGAGCCTTCTCTTCATGTTCCTGTCGATTCGCATTATTACCTGTTTGTCCTTTCGGCGTATTGGGTGTATTGGGTGTTGGCATTGAAAGTGTTAGAATTATATTACCTCCTCCAACAGCACCACCAGCATAACTTCCTCCATTATTGTTATTATTATTACTTTCATTTCTCGCATGTGGTGAAGTATTCCCCTCCGATATCGATAATGATGAAAATAAATTATTATTATTATTTGGCTGATGATGATGATGAAGATTTTGGAGGGAAAGTTTTGTGGATAATGGAGTAGTAGTAGTGGAGGAAATATTGTTGGAAATAGCAGCGCTGCTAGTGGGAGTAGATATTGTATTATTGGAATATTCAGAGGTTTTCAAACAAGTTGTGGATAATGAAATGTCAATATTTGGTTGATTCCTGCAGCTGTCATATGGTGATGACACATGTTGTTCGATAACTCCTCCTTCAACAGCAGTTTTTGTAGTTGTCGCTGCTACTGGGTCAGAGGAGGAAGGAATCATTTTTTTAACTTTTGATGAAGTTTTTAATGGAATGACGTTTGGCAGCTGAAGTAATAGCTTCAATGTTGCAAAGCCAAATGTATATGTGTTGTTGATGTTCGTGTTGCAGAATAGTTAATTGCAACTAATTTATATGGTTAGTGTGGTAATTTTTTTTAACATGGTGATTGTGTTCATGGCTTTTTGATGAGGAAAGTGTGAACATGGATAACGAATATTGTTGTAGTGGCAGAATTGAATCAATATATTGGTTTCTATTGTCGAATAATGAATTCATTGTTGCCAGTGGTGAAGGGAAGACAATCAATTGGATGATTGGCAAGCATACATTTCCACAGGAGCTGTTTGTGGTAATGCTTTCTAATTTAAAAAGATAAAAAATTAAAAAGACTACAGCACCACAGGTTCCCAAGTTGTCTCCAACCTCAGTACTGATGTGGCTCGACGATGCTTAACTTCTCAAATCGGACGGGATGAGGTGCATTCATCGTGATATGGCCGTAGCCATTCATTACCCTAAAATAAGAATTATTAACAATTGAAACGCATCACCAAGCTACCTAGGCTGTTGTCAGTGTTTTGGCAGGACAATGGTTGTATTTCCACCTCCTCAATCAATAATGATCATAATTCTGCTCGTTTAAATAAGAGCACAAATCTGTTGGAATCATTTGATTCTGCGCGCATAATTAAAAGCATAAATTTTGTGTTTAAATTTTGGCTCTCGAAACAAAACTCTAATTCCAAACACAAAAAAACAAATTCACAACTAGTTTTTGAATTTAATTCTATCTGCACTAACAGTTTCCATCGCAATTTAATACAATATGAAATACGTCAATTTGGGTGAAAGTGGTTTGAAGGTTTCTCAACTTTGTTTGGGTTGCATGAGCTTTGGATCTTCCAAGTGGCTTCCATGGGTTTTGGAAGAAGAGGAATCATTGACCATTTTGAAGAAGGCCTGGGATTTGGGCATTAACTTTTTCGACACTGCCAATATTTACAGCAATGGAGAAAGTGAAAGAATTTTGGGCAAGTTCATTAAGGAATTTAACATTCCGAGAGAGGAAATTGTGGTAGCTACCAAAGTTTGTGCACCATTGGATCGTTCTGGTGAACAAAAGCTCATTATGGTTGGTAGTCAAGCCAAGCCGAATACTATGGGCCTTTCCAGAAAGCACATTATGCATGCCGTTGAGGATTCATTACAAAGATTGGGTCTTGATTGTAAGTATTACTTTATTTCAACTCGTACGAAATGAAAAATTCAAACAGACATTGATTTGTACATTATCCATCGTTGGGATGAACAAACACCAATTGAAGAAACCATGGACGCTCTCCATGATTTGGTTAAATCTGGCAAGGTCAGATACATTGGTGCTTCTACTATGTTTGCTTGGCAATTTGCTAAAGCTCAACATTATGCTGAGAAGAAGGGATTGACTAAATTCATTTCCATGCAAAATCTCTACAATCTCATCTATAGAGAAGAGGAGAGAGAAATGAATCCATTGTGTGTTGATCAAGGTGTTTCACTCACACCTTGGGGACCTCTTTCTAATGGAATGTTAGCTCGTGCTCATGAATTTGTCAATGCTGAGGAGAAGGCAACTGAAACTACTGAAAACGGATCCAAGAGACAAAGCACCGATTTTGTTCAATCCTTATTTAAGGACAAGTTGACTGAAGGTGATAAGGAAACTTTGAGAAAAGTTTCTGAGATTGCCAAGAATAGAAATGTTTCTCCAGCTCAAATTGCACTTGCTTGGTTGCTTTCAAAGCCTGGGGTTGTAAGTCCGGTAATTGGTGCAACAAAGGCTATTAATGTTGAGCTCAATGTTCAAGCATTGGAAATTCAATTGACTGAAGAGGAGAAGAAGAGTTTGGAAGGAGCCTACTCTGCAAAGGATGTTCAAGGAATGTTCAAATTGAATTAATTGACCAATACGTTCAAAATAAAAAAATTTTTATGACGAACTGAAGCAGATAATTCTCAAATCATTTGTGATTGGTTCCAGGAAGTACAAAACGAGTCTTTATTCCTTGTTCGGTACTTTCATATTTCTCTTATTAAAGTAGCTGATTGGATCACCCCATTCATCTAAAATCAATTGCTTGTTAGACCATTTAACACGATCTGTTAAACATCTCTTACATTCTTCCTTAGTATCATCAATACAAGGTTTTCCTTGATAGAGTTGATAATTGACACGATACTTGGTTGGTGTAATAATAGGCATGACCATATTGGCACCAGAACTTAAAGCTATTTCTCTACCAGCTGGATTGATGGCTTGAAGAGCTGTTGTTGCAGAAATATTAGCTTCAGGAATTAAAATTCTTGCCAGGGCAGTCATCTTCAGAGCCAATCTGAATAGAACTCTGTTATATTCCTTCTTTTCTGCTTCATTCATGTGACCATATTGCTCCATCCAAATCTTTCCAATTGGTGTTCCTTCTTGAACAATGTATGGTCCCATACCAATCATATCAGCTCCAATTTTTCTAAAGAAGAGTAAATCGTCTGCCAAATCTTGAACTGTTTGATTTGGAATCATAATCATTACACCAGTACCAGTTTGATATCCAATATCCATTAGAGTTTCCAAGCACTTCTTTCGTTCTTCCCATACGTGATTTTCATCGTTAGGATGGAGTTTAGAGTAGAGTTCTGGATTGGATGTTTCAATTCTTAGGAGATATCTGTGAGCACCAGCATCATATAATCTCTGATAAGATTCTCTACTCAATTCACCAACACCGAGAGCAATACCAAGTCCCTTATTCCATTCACCTGGACCTCCTCCACCTGTACGTTTCTTAATTTCACGAATGACATCGACTAACATTGAGATTCTTCCTTCTGTATTCAATTCACCAGATTGTAACATGATGGATCCAAAATGATTTTCATAGGCCCAAATAGCTTGTTCTATTATTTCTTCTTTTGGCATTGTATATCTTGGTACTTGCATATGTTTTCTAATACCACAATAATTGCAGTCCTTCTGACAAACATTTGAAAATTCAATAATACCTCTAAAGTAAACCTTTGAGCCATAAATTGATTCAGTAATTGAATTGGCATAGTCAAAGAGAGCTCTTTGTTCCTCATGATCCTCAATATTTAAAACATTTACAATTTGTTCCTTTGTTAATTCCACAGGTTTTCCAAGTTCTGGTTTCACTCCAAAATACTTTTCCAATACTAAAATTCTCTGTTCGAGTGGTTTTTGAAGATAATTTACAGTTCTTGCTCTTTTCATTTTACGTTCAGCAGCTTTTGGATCAGAATTGGCTGATGATGCTGTTGCAACTTGCTCACCCATTGCTCCCAAATCAACTTCTGTAGGTATTGGAGGTTCTTTAATATTGATAATTGTCTTTTTAGGAGTAGGTAACAGTTCATCCTCCATCAAATCATGATGATGATGATCATGGTGGTGGTCGCCATGTTGTTGTATCAAAGAAGTAGAAAAGTTATTTCTCATCAACAATTGATTCGGAACAAACTTCAATTCCGAAATCAATGATGCTGCTTTAAAGTTGATACCACCACTCTTGGACGATCTTAGAAGTGTCGTGGCTGATTTTTTCAATCCCTTCATCATGAACTATTTTACGAAAAGATGAGATTGAATTTTCGCTTTTGTTTTTTTTTGCTATTTTTTTTTCTTAATTTTTTCCAAAATAGTTCTCAATGCAAAACAATGACTTTTAAGCAAAGATGTATTCATTGGATGATGAAACTCTAAGAGATTCTTTCAACTATTGATTCTCTCACTTGAAAAAGGTCTCAATACACAACTCTATGATTCTTACCTCATTTCCTTTTTGGTTCCTCATCTTTTTTTTTGTATTGAATCAGGCACTAATTTGGTGGAGAATCTTTTCGTCAGCACAAGCGAAAAACTCTTCTTTGTCATCTATTAGACAACAATAGAAAAAATTAAAACAAAACACAATTCAAAACAAATTTGAGTTTTTCATTAGCCAAATATCAACACAACAACTTGAAAAACACAAATATCACCTTGTACATACAATTTCATACAAAAAAAACATCCGAGTAGAAAAGATGAAGAGTTTAGCTAGATTGGCTGCTAATGGTGGAAGAAGATCAGGTCTTTTGAGTAGTTGTGCTGTTACTAATGGTAGTAGTGCTTCATTGTTATCTGCATCAAAGAATTTCCATACATCCATTAAATCACAAGCTAGGTGGTCCGTAGAAAGAGAACCAGAAACCTTGAAACAACTTCCAGATCCAACCAAAATTATTGATGAAAAACTTATTCATCAAATGATGGAAGAAACAAAGGAAAAAGCCAAAGATCATGAACACGTTCGACAAATTTTGAAGAGAGCTAGAGATCAAGCCTTGCTCAAATCACCACTTCTCCGAAATAAGAAGAATGGTGGAGAAGTTGAATCACAAAGTTGTGAAACCATTCCTAAAGATGAATATATTCAAGGATTGTCACTTGAAGATACTGCAACCTTGTTGAATATTCCAGAGGAAGAAACTGATATTCTCAACAGTTTATATACAACAGCTTTTTATATTAAGGAATTAATTTACGGAAACAGAATTGTTTTGTTTGCACCACTGTATACTAGTAATTATTGTGTTGGAAGTTGTTTATATTGTGGATACAGAGGATCTAATAAGGAAATGCCAAGATCAGCCCTCTCTGATGAAGAAGTCATTAGAGAAGTTGAAGCTTTACAAAAACAAGGTCACAAGAGAATTTTAATGTTGTGCGGAGAAAGTCCAAAGTATACATTTGAAGATTTTATGAGACAATTGCAAGTTGCTGCTGATGTCAAGACTGAACCTCATGGTGATGTGAGAAGAATCAATGTTGAAATTCCTCAATTGAGTGTTTCTGATTTTAGAAGATTGAAGGCAACCAACAAGGTCGGAACATACATCTTGTTCCAAGAAACTTATCATCGTCAAACACACAAGGAAATGCATCCATTTGGTACTAAAGGACAATACTACGACAGATTGCAAACCATGGATAAGGCCTTCGTGACTGGATTGGATGATGTTGGTATTGGTGCTTTGTTTGGTTTATATGACTATAGATTCGAGGTGTTGGCAATGTTGCAACATGCTAACCATTTGAGTGATGTTTGGAATGCTGGCCCACACACCATCTCAGTTCCAAGACTGAAACCAGCATCTGGCTCTGAGGTTTCTGTTCATGTTCCAAACCTTGTCAGTGATGCTCAATTCAAAAAATTGGTTGCTGTATTGAGATGTTCAGTTCCATACACTGGTATGATTCTCTCCACAAGAGAAAATCCAGATATGAGAAGAGAATTGCTTTCTCTTGGTATTTCACAAATGTCTGCTGGATCCAACACTGCAGTTGGTGGTTATGAAAAGAAGGAAGACGAGCGTGATGACTACTCTATGGGTCAATTCTCATTAGGTGATCACAGAAATACTGGTGAAGTTATTCGTGAATTATTGGAAACTGGATACATGCCAAGCTTCTGTACTGCTTGTTACAGAATGAATCGTACTGGTGAAAAGTTTATGAAGATTGCCAAGAAGGGTGACATTCAAAATATGTGTCATCCTAACAGTATCATGACACTTGCTGAATACTTGCATGACTATGCCGATGAAAAAACTCAAACTGTTGGTTGGAACAGAATTGAAGAAGAACAAAAGAACATTCCATCTGAAGCCAAGAGAAAGTCACTCAAGAAGAACCTTGAAAGAATTGCTGAAGGTGTCAGAGATATTTACTATTAAATAAATCATTCGAACAATATTATTAACCCTTACTTAACAAAGGTAAATTCAATTCACACGTTTCTTCAAGCTCAAGAAAATCACATGAAAACCCTCATCGGAAAGAATAATATTCAATTCAATTGGTAGGAGGTCTTGGTTATGATATGAAATTGACCATTTGTATAATCGAATACTGTAGAAATCAATTGATTAAGCTGGTTACCGTTCCTCACATGATGCCAAATTGCTCTGAAACGAGGATTTACAGATTGAGAAATTGTTCCTTCTTCTTTTCATGATGAAACTGAAGTTTGATTGTGATTATCATCATGATTGCTATTGTAAAAATCTTAATTAGTACGTGCTCAATAACTGAAATTCTTGGCGTGATAATTCAATAGGGCGCAGGAATATTTATGCTCGTTGTAACATTTTACAATAAAGGTAAAAGAGAAACATAGAAAATAGCAAAATCAAAAAATGGCAGAAATCCCAACCACACAAAAACAATATCGTCTACAACATTTTGAAGGCACACATGGTCTTACTCTCTTCCCTTCAGAACCAGTAGAAACTCCCCAAAGAAAACAAGTCCTTGTTCGTTTACATGCAGCCAGTCTCAACTTTAGAGACATTCTCATCTCGAGAGGTCAATTTGGAAGTTTCTCCTTCCCACCAGGATTAATTCCACTCTCAGATGGAGCTGGACAAGTAGTTGCCTTGGGAGATGAAGTAACTTCCTTTCAAATTGGTGATCGTGTATGTGGAACCTTCTTTGAAACTTGGCAAGATGGTCCTATCACTCCTGACAATGTCTCTCGTGCTCTTGGTGCTACTGTACCAGGAGTCTTGGCTCAATATCGTGTCTTTGAAGAGAGTGCTTTGATCAAGTTTCCTTCTCATTTGAGTTATGAACAAGCTTCAACCTTACCATGTGCTGCAGTCACTGCATGGAGTGCTCTCAATGAGAATGGTGTCAAGGCAGGCCCAGGCGAAACTGTTCTCATTATTGGAACTGGTGGTGTCTCTCTGTTTGGTCTTCAATTTGCAGTAAGAGCTGGTTGCCAAGTTATGGTACTGTCCTCCAGTGATGAAAAGTTAAAACTCGCTCAATCTCTTGGTGCTTCTTTTTTAATTAATTATAAGAAACATCCAGATTGGGAAATTAAGGTGAGAGAAATTACTAACGGAAAAGGTGTCGATCATGTGTTGGAAGTTGGTGGAGAGGGCACTTTGAATCGTTCACTGGATGCTGTGCGTTTGGGAGGGCATGTCCATATTATTGGTGTTTTGGCCAAGTCTGCTGGAACCTGTAGTGGATTTGGAGAGAAGGTTCTCTATAGTTCGGTCCAGATGAGGGGAATTTATATTGGATCGAGAGGTGTGTTTGAGAGGATGAACAAGTCCATTGAAATTAATGAAATTAAACCTGTTGTAGATAGGGTGTTTGACTTTGAGAATGTAAAAGAAGCTTTTGAGTATTTGGCTAGTGGAAAGCACTTTGGAAAGGTTGTAATCAGAATTGACTAGATTGTTAGCTTTACCATTAATAAAATATGACAATACTGGTTAATAATTGTTTTATTGAGAAGGTTGTGGACGAAGCTTTGAACGAAGAGGTCTCAAAAGTGAGCGAAGTGGTCTAACGTGGCCTTGTCCTGGATGAGTTGAAGCAGTTGGCCTAACTGGATGTGCTGGATGAACACGTGCTGAGGCATGCGGAGTTGGATGAACAGGTCTTGGAGAACGTGTTGGCTTTTGCTTTTGGCTTTCAACAAGAAGAGCCAAGAAGAGGAAGAAAATGAGGAAAGTGAGGAGAATACAGGACTTTTTCATTGTTGTGTGGATTTGATTTTTTTGGTGTGGAATACATTCAGTTTGGAATTAAAGATATGGACTGTGATGTAGCAATGTTAATAAATGGAAAAAGGCTGAGAAAGTGAATTAGGCAGTTCTGGAAATTTTTTCCAATTGCTGACAAAAAGATGATAAGGATTGTTGTTCTAATGGGCAAAAGGTTACAGCGAGCGGGGCTTGAACCCGCGACCTTAAGCGTGTTAGGCTTCCTAACCAACTGATCTATCGCGAAATGAATATCGATATGTTTATTTATCACATTTACCTCTTAAATAGGCTTGCCATTTTACCACAGAATTGACTTGAAACACAATTGAATTTGCTTGTAAATTTTCGGTTTGGATAGATGGTTGAGGTGGGATACTTGTTTCACCCTTATTTCCTTCTCGATAAGGAGGTGGTTGAGAATTCACACAAACCAAAAATAAAATTAACATGCATACTAACAAAACAATGGTAAGCCTTCTCATGGTTTTGAGTGGAAAACACGGTGTGGTACAATTCTCGAAGGTTTTTTTAAAAGATTTCAAAGTAATAACCACACCTTTCAGTGCCAATAATAACCATGATATCAAGGTTTCGTTTTAAGATTTTTGCTTTTTGAAGAAATTGGACAATAAAGGAAGGGTCAGATATAAGATTTTGAGTATCTGATGTTATTAATTGATAAATTAGGAAGGATAACAAGTTAATCAGTCAATTGTTAAAGGCAGAGTGGATGAAGCACCTTGTCTGTATTGAACTCTATAATAACGTTAATAATATACTGAAATATTGGACTTTCGAAAATTCATATTGATTATCCAATTGGAATATAGAATGTTATGATATTAAGATTACAAACGTCATCAATCTCTCTCTTCCAAAGTTTACAAAAAAAAACAAATTAAAAAAATGTCTCAATTTAAAAGCCGTCTCGGAACTCTCATCACAAAGAGTGGAGGAATTGTTGAAGATGATTTATTTGTCATTAAACCAGGAGTGATGATCACCGAAGTTACACAAAATACCGAAGAAGCAAAAGAATTGTATGAAGCAATGCATTGTAATCATGGTGATGATTATTTGCAATCGGCCGAATTTAAAGGTAGAATTACATACTTGAGCTTTAAAGATCAACCAATAACTCAAGAGGAGAGTTTGAATTTTCACGATCGTATGATCAATGAAGCTAAACACTTGTCAATCTATGCTGGTACTCATGTTACATTCTTGATTGCTGGTTGTACAGTGGAAACTTGTTTGGAATTGTGTGCTCATAAGGAGGCAACCATTGCTCGTCTTACTTCCTCCAAGACAATGGCCATGTGTGAGAATTTTTATCGTGTTCAAGGAGAAAGCAAGGAAATCCAAAAAAAGATGATTAGAGATTTTTTGAAATTGAGAGAGGAAAATAAGCAATTTTGGGATAAGAAGGGTGTCAATAATGAAATGTTAAATACCGAATTCTTTAATATGCTCAATTTGGGTTGTAAATGCAATGCATTGACATTCACTATCAGTATCAAAGATTTACACAAATTGCTTATTGGAAGAATGACATCTTTTGGAAACGAAACTGAAGTTCAAGAAATTTGCTCATTAATGTGTGAACTTGCTCACCAAAGATATCCATTAATTATTAGAGAGCCAGCTTTCTATAGAAAATTGGATGATAACGGAGCCAAATTAAATATTAATTAAATTATTGATTGTAGAATTATTGTATTATGTTAATAAAATTCAGATTACAAGAGCTTTTTAATTGCCTCAAATACTTCCTCTGGAGAAGGAGTGGCATCAATCTTGTGAGAGATTTCTTCTGGGAACCAATCAAATGCTTGATCCATTTCGTCATGATAAACCTTAACTCTAATCTTGGCCTTTTCTTCATTATCAGTTGCACGCTTAACCAACCGTTCTCTGATTTCTTCAGTAGGAGGTAAGAACTTGCTGTGATAGATTGCTCCAGTCAATGGGTCAGTAATACGACCACACTGTCTCTCTATGGCTGTATCATCGTCCAAAGTGAGGAAAATGACACCTGTCACATTAAGACGATTGGCTCTGACAAATTCGAGATTTGAAGTAGTTCTTGGATATCCATCAAGAATCCAACCCTTAGTCTTGCAATCTTCTTTGAGGATTCTATCCAAGAAAATTGGATTAATCAACTCATCAGGCAACAAACCACCAGTGTTAATGATGGCTTCACACTTTTTACCAAGCTCTGTTTGTTTAGAGATAACTTCTCTAACCAAATCACCTGTTGAAATATGAACGAGTCCATACTTTTCAGCAATCAACTTGGATTGAGTGCCCTTTCCGCAACCTGGTAAACCCATAATAATAATTCTGTGTGGAATCTTGAAGAGTCTCTTGTAGACATTCGAAAGAGAATCATAGTAGGATTTGTTTTCATCATAGAAAACGTAGCAAGGTTCAAACATTGGATAAATTTCCTTATAGGTGGAAGCATCATCATAGGTAATCATATTCTTTTGGGCCAACAAATCAACATAGGCTCCAAAGAAAGTCTCTGCATTCTCAATTTCATCAATTGTCATTGTTTTGGTCTTGGCCTTTTCCTTAATAAACTTGAGAATACCATCGCGATAGATGGATGATTCTGGAGTTTCAAAGGCAGAAAAGATTGCCAATTGACCACACATGTAACGAACAAAAGTATTGAAATTTCTACGCTCTTCTGGTAAAACTTCAATTGTATCCTTTTCAAATACTGGCTTGACCATTTCTTGCCACACAGTTTCAAATACAATATCTACAATTTCATCAGTGTGAAGAGAAGTGAGCTCAGATGGAGTGTAATTTTCCATGTGTGCAATAAACTCATCAATGGTAAGGAATCTGATTTCTGGAGTATAGTGGCGAACATGTTCAACACTGTCCCACCACTTTTTAATCTCCTCCTTTCTAGTTTCCATATTTTGATAATTGTTTGCATTCCACTTGTAATCTTCAACAAAGAATGGTACAAATCTAATGAAAATTTTCAATAAAATATCAAATCGTTCAATACTTACTTGTCCTTGAATGTCTTTAAAGCTTCTGTAGAGGCTATAGCTTTGAATTTGGTGTCATTTCCCTTGAGGGCAAGATCAACATTGGCTCTAATCAATTTTTCCAAAGTTGGAACAATACCATCCCTATCAAAATCCAAATTAGAACTGGAATAGAGAGGATAAATCTTTCTGGAATCAAAGTCATACTCAATACCTTGCATTTTCAATGCATGAATAAATAAAACGTCTGCCATCATCATGGTAACTGCCTCACTAATCATTCTGAAAGCAATATATACAAGCTTTTGCAATTCAGTAGATTCATAACCAGTATAAATCAATTCAAGAATGCAAAAATGTCCACAGTCATGCATTTGGAATGTAGTTTCATGAATTGGATCCCTCTTTGAAACGAGTGGAAGTGCTGGATTAAGAAGAGTTGAAAAGTAATTATTTTCTCTTCTATTCTTTGAAGACTTGAATACCAAACCATCATTGACAACAGTTTTCCAAACATTGGTAATCTTGTACTTTCTAGTTGACTCATTATTGTACAAATTATGTCCTTCAAAATATGTCAAGACACTCTTTCTAAAATCAATAGTTCTCTCAGTAATATTTTGTGGAGTAAAATTCAAATCCTTTCTCTTGGAATAGTAGAATCTTTCCTTGATATATTCTGAAATAGCCATATCACGAGAGGAAATCTTCGAGCCACCTGATTCAATTTGATCCAAATTACTCTTACCAGAGTATAAATTAACAAATACATCATCCCAACCAAATACAGTCTTTCTCAACAAGTTTGGCTTCTTTCTTGATAAATCAATAAATCCATACTGAACATTCTTGAAAACCTTCTTGACAAGAGCATCCTTTTCCTTATTCAATTGCCAAACTGTCAACTCTGTACTACTTTCTACCAATTCCAAATGTTCCAATTTAGCCCTTTCACTTGTTCCCTTCTTGAACAAATCCATCTGATCACAAATAAAACAAATAGCAGATGTATTTTGTTGTAAAAACTCCAACTTTTTCTGATCAGTATCAAAATCCTTCGGATCACGAATGACTACCCTAACACCATATCGATCAAAATTACGAACATATTCTGGCAATTTGAGTGGATTTGTGGAGAGCAAATAAATAGATCGGATTGAAGACATTTTTTTGGGTGGTTTTTGATTTCTGTGGTGATGAGGAGGAGTTCATCACGAAGAAAAGTTGGCAAGTGTTGCATGTTCATTATGCTCTAGGATACTCAACTTGGAAAATGTAACTTCATATAAAATTGCATTGATAGGAACAAATAATAATAATTGAAAGGTTACTCAAGTTTGATTATAAAATTCTCTAATCGTTGCAATCTTTTTAATAATCTTTTGTAGCTCAACATAAACATGTCAACGGGGTAAAATTTAATGTCCTGTGAGAATAGTTAAATATTTGATTTCCATTAAGGTTTAACATTCTGAGGAGTTTGACTATGGACACACCAATTATTGTTGTAAAATCTCATCACCCATTACACCATGTATTTATTTGGAGTGATTTTTATTTTCCTTCTTTAGACTGCTTTATTACAATAGTTGGAAAAATCGTCTTCTCTATTTGACCCTTCCTTAATGCACATTCTGTTGCTTTTATTCTTTTAACATCAAAGCAGTAACAACATGATGATGAAGATCACACCAAGCAAAGATAAGCAGAATTGCAATGTGGATGACCTTCACATGTGTGCATTGTTTCATCTCTAGCCATTCTGGGAATGCAAAAAAGAGCAATTTTTCAGCAAAGTTCTAGCAACTTCTTCCTCCATTCAAAAATACCACAAAAATGACAAGTTTTTTAGCCTTAAAAAAAAAATAGCAAAAACTCTAAGGAAAGACACTGTGTGGCAGTGAAACAAGTTGAAACTCTGTAGTAATTGTGTAGCGTTTTGACGTTGATTGGCAGGTTACGGGATTGTTAAGTAGAACCTGCAAGCAAGAATTGTGATATTGAATATTTGTATATAATTATTGTCATAAGGCTAATTGAGGATTTTTGAAAATATCGAATTGTACATTAAAACTAATCCACCCGTGAGAGAAACATCATCACATCAACAAGAAATAACATTATCATCACACTAAATTATTAATTGTATATCAGAAAGAATGTCAGAAGCTCAAAAAAGAACACTCCCAAAAGAAGCTGTTGAACAATTAAAAGAATGGTTGTACGATCATTTATTTCACCCCTATCCTTCGGATGCACAAAAGAACCAGTTATCTAATCAAACAAGCCTAGAGATGAAGAGTATTAACAATTGGTTCATCAATGCAAGAAGAAGATTAGTTAGACCCTTACTTGACAAGGTATTAGCAGCTTATAAAAAATCAAATCCAAATACACCACGTAATAAGGACAATGATCTAATAAGAGAACTGTCAGATGAGGGGAAACTTGGAACGTGGGCTAGATCGGTCTCATCTTCCGGACACTCAATAGACATGTCAAATAATAGTAGCAGTGGTGGTCGATCTCCTCCTGCAAAATCATCAAGACCAAGAAGAACAAGACAAACAAGAAAGGTTAATGTGGAATCTGACAGTGAGAGTGAAGATGAAGTTGAAACAGAAGACGATGAAGACGAATATAAAATGGATGTAGATGAGGATACTTCCACAACGAATGATGAACAATCTGACATGTCATATTCGGAATCAGAGTTTGAGATTGAAAATGAAGATGTTCAAGCTGCCAATACTCTGGTTAAAATCAAAATGACTGTAGATTTTGATTCTTAATGTGTTATAAAAATTAATTGTCACTTTTTAAATATTAATTTTTATTACAGTGATATTTATCCCTAATCACAAAGGCTATTTACTTCTTTGATCTAACTTTCTTAACTTTTGGCTTACCACCTCGTCCAATATCGGAACGTTTAGTTTCACTAGCAAGTCTCTTACTAATGACATCATCAACCTTATCACTAGCTTCTTCCATGTACTTCCAGAACCAGTGTTCTTCAGGTTCATTGACGTGAATAGACTTGAGATCCAATTCAGCATCACGAGGATTAACTCTGTTAGGGTGAATGTGGGTTCTCTTACCGTTATTGAGAGCAACAGGTTCAATCAAATCTCCTTGTTCATCGAGAGTCTTGATGAAGGATCCAAATCTGTGCATCAAACTCATCTTAGACTTCATGTCAATTGTATCATTTTGACCCAAAGCTCTAGAATAATTGATGAGAACAATTCTAGCAATAGAATCAGGTGAACTACTTGATTCAATAATTTCATCAAAGTTTCTTTCAATTGGAGCAAACTTGGCAAAAGATCCAGTCTTACCAGCATGGTGATATTGACCACTAGTAAATGGAATATCTCTTATATATGGGATAGTTTCAAGCTTTGGTTCATAAACGTATTTCATAATGTGATATAATCTTTGCTTAATCTTATGTCTGATAGCACTGACGTGACTCTTCAATGGAAGATATTTAAAGTCTGCAAGCATTGAATTGACAGCATTAGCTCTCTTTTCCTTAGCTTCAACTGGATTTTGTTCATCACCATAGTAGTATTCGTCTTCATTATCAAAGTCATCACTTGGTTGTTCAATCTTCAATCTATTTTCGATAGCAATTGTGTTGACACGTTTCTTTGAAAGTAATTCTTCAATTCTTCCATTCAAACTTTGATAAGTACCTTCACGTAAAAGTGATTCCTTTCCAACAAATGTATGTAAATTTTCTCTAGTAATGCCATATTTCATGCCCAAATTAGCCTCGCGTTCTTCAATAAAGTTTCTTTCAGCTTCTGGAAGGAATGGAACGACAGCAGAACCTCTCTTTCTGACAATAGTATCAAAACAGTGATCAGCCAATTCCTTAACAGTTTCCTGTTGTAAGAAGAAATCACTAACACCAGCAAGTTGGAGTGAGAATAATTTAGAGTTAAAATAGTTCAATAATTTTTCAGCCAAAAGTGAAGTTGAAATTTCTTGCTTGTATAAATCCAATTCCTTTCTAGTTAATTTTCCTTCATTAGCCAAAGTTTCCAAGTCCTTAGCAGCCTTAGATTCAACAGCTTCCAAATTTGTAAAATAGTCAGGATCGAACAATTGGACAAGATTCATTCTAACATCAGGATTGAGTTTCAAAAATTCGTTAACATCAAAGTTAGAGTCAATTTCAATAGTAGCACCTTCACCCAAGAATGGATAAATTTCTCTAATACTATCAGCTCTTTCCTTATCTTCCATAGAATCCAAAACTTTTTGAGCAAGAGCTTGATAATTAGAAACAAATCTCATAAGATTATGATAGGCTTCATCGTGAATGGCAACTCCTGTCAAAATTTGCTTCATGAGTGGAGCAAAATTAGCACCACTTTCAGCTCCGATTTCAGCCATAGCTGGAATGAAACCTCTCTTAGATATCGAGTTAAGTTGTTCGTGAACCAACTCTGGGTTAAAACCAGTATAAATTCTATCAATTGTTTCAGCAAAGCTTTGATTCAATTCAATATCAGTCTTGAGAACATCTTCTTCCTCTTCTTCTTCACCCTTCTTCTTTCTTCTGAATTCACCCTTGAATTCCTTTCCTTCTTCACCTTCCTCGCTTTGTCCTTCCTTCTTTCTTTGTTGCTTTCTGGCACCCTTCTTCTTATTACTAGCAATCTTTAATGAAGTAGATGGCTTCTTTTTCTTTCCTTCTAATCTCATTAAATATTCTTGCTTTTCAATTTCTTCACTCAAGGCTCTCTTTTGCATAATCTTTTGTGTTGGTTGAGCAGCATCATCGACAATAATTACGCCTTCCTCTTCTTCCAAAGGTGCTTCAACAACTTCTGTGGATGAAGTATTTGCGTCTTCATTCTTAATTTTCTTTTGAAGTTCCTTCAACTTTTGGGCTTCCTTCAACAATTCACCGTCCTTCTTAACAATTCTCTTTGGAGCAGCGGAAGTGTTTGTAGTGTTGGCAGTGGTAGTATTAGTAGTTGAAGTAGAAGTTTGTTGTGGGGTTGTTCCTTGTGGTTTTGGTTTCATGTATGGTCTCTTGTTGTGTGTGCTTTGTGCTTGACCACTAGCGTTGTTATTATTATTGTATTGTTTCTTGTAGTATGGTCTATTCTCACCTCCTTGTTGTCCTCCTTGTTGAGAGTTATTGTTATTGTAGGTCTTTTTTACGAATGGTTTACCACCTTGTTGTGGTCTATTATTTTGACCACGATTACCATCCTTATTTTCCTCCAAAACAGTGTGAGTGATTGAATAACTTCTAATTTGACTAAGAAGAGATGATGATGGTGTTGATGAAATTACTTTCGTCTTTGTGGAAGACTTCAGCAAAGAAGAGAAATTACGCATTTTTTCAAAAACAATTTTTTTTTACAATAATTATTTTTTAAAGATTTTGTTTTTTTTATTATTGAAGAAAGAAGAGAATAAGAGGATGAAGAGAATGTTATTCTCGGAAGGAATTTGTGTTGATTCAGGAGTTATCAAACATGAATATAACTAGATACTTGCAGGTATGTGCATCATAATATTTAAAAATGGCACAAGTTGATTACAGCAAAAATTACACACAGCATGATGAAAAGAATTAGTTAAATTCTTGTTTCTGTGGTGATGATTTATTGCTTGTTAGTATAGAAGGAACATGGTTTTCTACCCAGACCAAACCACCCATTTCCATTTCTACAAGTCGCATCTGCATGATTTATTCCACCCTTATACCATAAATCATTTGGTGATTCACTAGTAAATTTCTTTGCTTCATCCATTTGACATGCTGGGAAAGTAACAAATCCATCGGATTGATATTGTAAATCAGCAAGTAGATGAACTAGTTCGAGAGCAATGCTGTAGTGAGTAATTAAGCCAATTGGAGTATCTCCACACATTCTTCCCTTATCGTAAGGATCAGCAAATTGATACAAATCGTGAATGCAGGTGCCATCTTTTGGAGAGCAGTAACCTTCCTCAACAGAGGCATAACTTGGGAAGATATCTGGTGTACCCTTAATGCAATAACCTGCCAAAGTAATTACCCAACCAACAATACCCTTCTTATTGAGCTTGAAATTGTCATAGTAATAATCGTAACAAATACTTTGAGCTGTTCTTGAAACAAGTGAACCATTGAATGGAGAACCAATAGTATACCACTCAGATGTTGATAGATCAATATCACAAATACCATTCTTGAAAGCAGCAGCCAAAATGAGATTACCCATTGAGTGAGAGTAAATAATGGTATTTTTGATGGTGGAAGAGTTTCCACTTCCCAACAAAGCTGTTTCACAATAGTATTTTTGCAAGTTTTCATCATCCCAACCAAAGTTTTTGGTATCTCTTGCTCCAAACCAAACATCACCACATTGAGGAACATAATCTGCCACATTACCCCAATAATCAGAGAGTGTTTTTTGAGGAGGAAGATCTTTCTTGTAACCTGCTCCATGAAGGAAGATGCATGTTGGCTTATTTTCATTGGATTTCATCATTCTCTTACATGCACTTTCGTCTCTGATATGAGCCAATACACATGCTTCTCTCTCATTTTGGAACCACAAACTGATACGAGTGTTGATTGGCTTTAATTGGTGGGAGGTTTTGTAAATATTATCTTGCAATATTGGAGCATTGATCTTTCCACTGAATTTGTACTTTTGAATGTATTTTTCCATGAATTGTCTGACAGCTGTATTTGGTTGAGAGCCAGTTTCTTTTCTCATATTTTCTTGCAACCACTTTCTGTCATAGAAAGTACAGTTAGCCATTAACCCATCAAGACGATCAAGGTAGAACTTTTCATGAGATGATAGTTCTGTAACTTTCTTGCTGTCATCCCTCAAAGTGAATTCTGAAATAGAGATAACAAAGGCTGGCTACACAATATATCTTGGTTCCATAGTAACAGCATCAGCACACAATGCCATAGTTTCACTCATTACAGAGAAGGCATAAACTTCCAAACCTCTCTTGAAACACTTGTCATTCAATTCCTTGTCATAATAACTAATACCTTCCATTTGAGAAACCTTCTTGAAAACAATCAAGTCCAACATTTTACTCATCTCAACTCCACTATTCCAAGGCGAATCATAATTCAAATGAAGACATTCAGTCATTGTCTCTCCATCTGCTCCCAAAATTGGCTTTAAAAATGTATGTAAAATTGTCGAATCAAAGAATGTTCCAAAACCCAGTGTTGCACTCTCCAATAACAAGTTTACAGCATTTCCATTGGTTTGTTGATATCTTACAGTAGTACCGTGGTACTTTTCCAATTTTCCAGATCGTTCCTGTAATTCAAATTTAAAAGAAAAACCACCATTTGGTAATTTATAGTCACTATTGATGGTCATCATGGAAGCGTTGGCAATTGTTGTTATCGTTAACATGATAAGAATCATGGCAAGCATGATGAAAGGTTTGCCATCATGGTGACAGTTGTCGTTATTAAACAACATTTTTTTTAATCTGATGTTTGAAATACTCTTTGCTTTAATTGATTCGTGCAGGGGAGCATGAAGTTACAGGTTTGGAGGTCCGAATGATGAATGCTCATTATTGTAATGTTGATCAAGTATTATCCGCAAAAAATGAAAACTATTCGTTGCTAAGTTATAAAAACTCATGCTGGAGCTTAGGTCATTAAGATCGAGTTCATTGTTTGAATGAAGAAGACAGTAGTATCATTAAGAAAATTGAAATAATTTACTATTCCAATTAGCCAAATATCAAGTTCAGTCATCCCATTGTATAGAAATCAAAGTTGTTGACTAGAAAGCACATTCCACATTATCATCTATTGTTGATCAACAACACTCAAAGAAGAAAAAGCAACAACCTTCTCTCTCCACAAAAGAAGCAATTCTTCAAAGAAAGAGAGCTGGCTCTCTTTCCTCCATCCCTAATCATCCGAGATAGCAATCGCTAGTCTTTAAAACATTAAAAAAACTTATGAATCAATTTAATGGAATTTCACTCTAACCTATTATTCAATGCTTCTTTTAGCAATGATGTAACACAACAATATTGACTCCATATTACTCCCACCATCAAAAATAAAAAAGATTAGATATATTGTCCTTAACTACAAGATTACAGCCACGATATTTCGACATCCATCTATCACAAACAAGGCCAAAAAAGTGCAAAACAGATGAATATTGGTGATTTTGGGATTTTTTTACAGTTCACTCCTCTAAGGAAATCACAATACTATTGAGGTAGTGAATTAAAAGATCTTGTAAACAACTCCTTCAACGACTACACAGTTTCTATATAAATACGCCACGTGTAATATTAATAGGTTGGACAATAATATTTTTAAATAGCAAATAATTGAATGATGAATGGCCTCAATCGACACATGTTGAAAATGAATGGCTAATGATTGAAGCCATTATTTTAAATGAATATATCACAATTCAAAAACTAGAAGCAGAATCACATTTTACAAACTAAGAATAAAAGAACAGATGTTGAGTGACGAACAACACATTCCAAGATATTATTATGAACTGATTAGTTAGTCAACCAATTTTACTCAACTTATCGAGAGATAAATTCTAAATAACTTTATTACGATCCTTAATAAGAAATGCGAATCACTCGGATGTCTTGTGCCTTAATATAATCATTCAAATGAACATTAATATTTTCACTTGCATCAAATTGACTACCGTTGAAGCGAAACGCTCCTCACACAACAACAAGGGGCCAAACAAGTTTTTCACTCCAGAGAATCACAAAGGGTTGTGTGAAGTGTTTATAAGAACTCGTAATTAAGGACTTATTGTGCTCTCCTACAATTTAAAAAAAACACAACACTTGATTTTAACAACGTTTCGTGGTGCATAATTTTACCAATAAGAAAACTACGACAAGCGAAAAGTTTCCAAAACAATTCTGCTCTTCAAGCCTTCCACTTTTGTTAATCATTGCCGTGTTATTAACCTTTCAAAAAATAACAAGACAACATCATCACAGCGAAGAGAGTTTTTTTAAACCGCTTTCACTACACACAACTAATTGTACATAATATCAATAGTATTATTGTTATTTTATAGTCTACAAGCAATAATACAATTTAAACTAAATCTAATTTATCAAACATCATTTCCCCTTCAGATTTAATCAAAACGTTAATTTCGTTATTACTTGTAGTTTGATTCATCCCGCGCTGTCATTTCTCTTTAGAATTTTAACAAACGTTGCATAACGGCCTTCATAACCACTCAATTTCTACATTCAAATATTCTACTATTGCTGTAGATACCAAGACAAATATTTCTATAAGAAATACGACAACACAATCCTTTGCGCACCATTATAAATTTTGATCTAGAGATGACTTCCCAAAGACAAGAAATCTTCTTGAAGGATATGATCAATTCTTCGAATACCGATAAGAATACGTCTGCTGATTCGACATCAATCCAACTCACTAAAATTCTTCAACCATTCCAACTTTATACCAAGAAACGTACCGATATCAATAATAACTCTGTAGAAATTTCTCTTCTTGGTAAGACTGTCGAACATTACTCGCTTGATATCCTCACAGATAGAAGTGTTAGTGTGTACTTGGCTGAAGATGGCCTCTCAAGTACAATGGCTACCGCTCAAACCCTCATCAAGAAAATGCTCCCAATTACTTTTAGTTCTGTAAAGAAGAATGATAGGGTATCTGTAATATCATCAACCGGTGCTCGTGCCAATCCAACAAATACAAAGACCAATAATCTCAATTCTAATCAACCACCAAAAGTTGCTTTCAGAGTTAAGAGTCACGGTAAGGGCTGCAACGGTACTGTAAAATTATTTGTAATGCCTTTTGTTATTACAGAAGAAGTTACTAAGAATGAAGAACACTACTTTTTAATGATTAAGGCCAAGAGAAATTCATTGGGTAAAGGTAACAATAAGTATGGTATTGAAAACGCCTACATGTTCCAAAAGTCCCTTGATAATGATTTGATAGATCAAATTATTGATCGTGTCCAAGCATTTGATTCATCAACCATTGTAACACAACCAACCACTAAGAGCAATGAAAGCAATATTGAAGTTATTGAACAAACTCTTACAAGTCCAACCATTCGACGAGTATCAAATGAAAATGCAGATCAAATCTCTAAGAAGAAGAGAGTTAGATCTACTTCTAATGTAACTCAAAGCGAATCCAAGACCAAGTTGAGAAAGACTTTTACAGAAATGGGACCTAGTGTACAAGAAGAATCCAAACATATGTTTACTGTTGTTGGTTCCCCTAATAAGATGAGTCAAACCATAAGTCAGAAACAAAACATATTCCAAATGCCAAATAACCAACAACAACAAATCCCTTCGATAACAACACCAAACAATAATAACTATGTGAATCGTACAACTAGAATCCTTTCTCAAGGTACTGTTCCATTAAGCCTCGATTTCAACCAACCACAAAGACATTCATTCTCTGGTGTTTCCAATGTTCAATCCCAACAACAACAACAGCAACAACAACAACAACCATCCAATCAGCCATCAGCAAGTCAATTGGCAATGATGGTAATGATGCAACAAAACAACCAACAATTCTCGAACACCAATACCAATAATAACATTTGGAACTCCAACCAATTCCAAAACAATAATCAAACTAATACAGCTGCCCATATGAGCATTAGTAGTCTGGGATCTGCCATGAAGAATCGTTTGTTTGAGTATGACTATCAAAAGCAATTTACTAGACAAACCTTCCAACCACAACAAACTCAACAAAACTACCAGCCAACCATGCAATACTTCCAAGCTCCTTCTCAACAATCATTTAATGATAACAGGGCTATCAAGAGAACTATGGATGAAATCTTTAGTGAAGATTTCCATGTTCAAGCCCAACAACACCAAACCAATTTGAATAACCAATTCCCAGTGCATCACCATCACCATTTTACTAATTTACCAACTGATGACGATATCATGTCAGTGCAACACCAAGAAATGGCTGAAATTATAGATTCTATCCAAATGTTTGACTTGCCTTTAACAAATAATGATGACGAAGAAATACTCACCTTTTTTTCTAACTAGATAATGCAAATATTAAAACCTAACTGAGTAGGACAATAATGTAAATAAAAAGTATAAAATAGTATTCTATTCAACAATTTTGTTCAAACTCCAATCAAATGAACCCAATTTATTAACATGATTTTTGGAATTGCCTTATCTCTTTATTAATCAAGACTTTTCAATACCAGTAATTGGCGCCATTTTCAAAAAAAAACGACTATAATAAGATACTTGGAAAAATATTGTTATTTCATCAAATTCTTCAGTAAAAAATCTTCATCGCCACACTTCTTAATCATCACCACCTTATGGCACCATCAGCAATGTCTACAGCAACAATCGCTAAGGTTCATCATCACACAACTCCAATATCAAAAATCCGAACGAGTATCAATGAAGACGATGACTCTCTAGTGTCCTACACAGACGATGACTCTGATTCAACCTCTCCAGACGTGTACAATAGTAACAGTAGTAATAATAGTATCAAGAGGATGAAAACAAACAGCACAACTGCAACAACATCAACCACATGTATTCATCACGATAACTTGTCGAATTATTCTCATCTATCAACGCCTCGTATTTTACAAAACCTTGGAAATTGTGATGAACTTAATATTTTGATCAATAAGACTCCTCAAACTCCCTCAATATCGAGATCACCAATTGTTAATAGGACACCAAGATCAAAAACATTTTCAGATAGCCCAACTCTTTCTGAGGATGAAGATGATATTGAGAATGAATTAAAATTACGAATCAACAGAAATCAGGAAGAGGATAGCGTTGAATTTAATGACATGTTGTTGGAAGAAAATTCATCAGCAGTTCGAAGAGCATATGCAGAAGCTGCAGATGAAGAGAGCTCTGAAAATGAAAATGTGGATGTAATGGAAGGATCTGGGTCGAATAGTCAGGATGAAGAGTCGGATTTGACCTTTTCCATCTCTAAAACTTTTGATTCACCAAGTGAGGAAGCTTCCTTCTTTAAGAGAAAATATTTAGAAACATACAGAGATCTTGAGGTTGTGAGTGAGAATTATGTAAAATACCAAAAGAGCAGCGAAGAATTGGAAAGAGAATATGATGCTGAAATTGAACGATATGAGCTGATGGTTCAACAGCAAGATACTAAAATTCTTCTGTTGAGGGAGGAAGTTGATACACTCAAGCGAACACTCAAAGAATCAGAAGTGAACCATTCAGAAGAAGTTGATAAATTAATTGAGGAACTTAAGGATTCTAACAATTCGGAAAAAATAACACTCGACTTGATTAAAGATATGGAAACTGTAAACGGAGAATTGGAAGACAAGGTGTTCCATTTGGAGGAAGATGCAAAAGTAAAAGAAAAGAAGCATAATCAAAACGTGACGGATCTAGAGAAAATTGTTGACGAATTGAAACATGTCTCTCAAGAAGCACTAGAGAAAGTCAAACGAGAGAATGAAAAACTTGAAAATGATCTCAATCACCTTAGAGGTGCAGTAGAAACCGGGCATCAACATAAACGAGAGATGGGAAAGTTAACAAGTGAGCTTGACGATTTGAAACGACAACTCTACGAAAAGGATCAAATTCTCAAAAAATACGAAGAAGCATCAAGAAGGAAGAAACAAGCAGCACAAAAATTAATGAATGGATACACACCATCCAAACTGGATGGTCATACCATAGATTCTGTGCTGAAATCGGTCAAATTGTTATCTGAAGGTTTGTCAGAGTGTCAAAACAGGTCTTCAAGATTGGTTTCAGAAATTGTTTAAAAGTATATTGAGGGTTTAACCCATTAATTGGCAATTAGATCGAATGTGAAAGAGTTCTTCTATAATGTGCAGAAGATATCTCTCAGAACGAACCAAAATAAATCTACGATTTTGACAATAGAACAATTTCTGCAACAAAAGATAATGCTCTCTTAGACCAATGCAAGAAAAAAACCTAAAATTGGTCAAAAGTTGGGGTCAGTGAGGATCGAACTCACGACCTTAGGATTATGAGACCTACGCGCTACCGACTGCGCCATGACCCCGTTACATTTATAGACAAAATTATAAATCCTTGTTGAATTCTCACAACACAGATTATTAAAATTGTACTAGCGGTATTTCTATTAGAGTAGAAATATCATAAAAACGAAATAGTTTTGCAAGTATTTCGAAGCAAAACATCCATTCAAATATTTCGATAACTCTCATTTTAATGTATTGAATTTCAAAAATAAAATCAAAGGGGACCAGTGGGAATCGAACCCACGGCCTCTCGCACCCAAAGCGAGAATCATACCACTAGACCATGGTCCCATACACCAGTTTAGGAAGGTCATCAAATTCTGTGCTTAAGCATTTATCAAGGTATGGTCCATAGCGACCTCTGCCTGCAGTTTCACCTTGTTGCATTCCCTAAAGTCGCTTATCTTTGTTTCAATGGCATCCAGATGATACGAGAGAATTTCTACTGTAGATGTGGAGTTTTGTTGAAGAGCTAGATACATATTCTCTGTTATTATGTCTTTCATAGTGTTCAGTAATTGACAATTATTGTACATGAAGGCAAGATTGTAACCTGACAGTGAGTCTTCTACTTCAATATCCTCATTAATGTTCTTCAATTCATCTGGTTTAAAAATTATCAAGCGAATATCTTCCTTACAAAGAATGGCTGCATCTTCTGTGGCTCCACTAATAACAGCCTTCCTAAAAGCTTCAACAGCATACCTTGGAATGTAATAATCTTCTGACAGCTTCAAATGAATGTGCTTTTGAAGATATATCTGGACCTTATTTCGTATAACCACATCATTTGTGAACTTGGTAGTAATTCTTCGACCAGTTACAGGGCTTACCACCTCATTCTTCTTCACACACCACTTCTTATAAACCTCCTTCTCATATGTGACATTGTCTGCTGCAACTACAGGATCAAAGAACAAACACATGGAAATTGGGCAAGTGATAACTGTTGGATCAATTTCAGTGTTTGTGATTTGAGATTGGTTTGGATCATCCAGAACTATTTCTTCAATTGATTGATGGCTAATCTCAAAAAAGTCACCTCCACACAACATTCTTTTATCGGTTGGGTGATGCAGAGGCCACTTTGCCCAAATTGCAAATGGAGGTATCGATCCATTAACTTGTTCATATTTGGATTTAATTGTAGGATGCTTATCCAAATAGTTAGAATCAATGAGTTCATACACTCTACCTTTATAATTCACAATCACAGAGTATCTGTCTTCGTGGAGGAGTATCTTCAGTCTCATGGATTCTGTATTGTGAAGCTTAGTGAGTCCATCTTTAGTTGTACTCAAATCTGAATGACGATCGAGAAATTCCTGGATGTCTTTTGCCTTCTTAGAGTGTTTGTTTCTATTGGAGGGATTAATAAGGTCGAAATACTTCATCCCTTTCAGAGAATCAAAGATTGGATCGCTATCTGATATTAATGTTCCATGTACAAAGTAAATCTTTACCCACTTGAGCAGTTTATCTATCAAATCGTTATCAATTCCATCTATGGAGCCAGTAACAGTAAAATCAACAGTACCAGTATTGTACAATCTTAGGAGGAGGGATCTTATTTTACAAGGTTTCAATTTTGGCTGTAAAATGTTATGATTAGAATAATCAGTATTACAATATGAAAACTTACATTATATTCGAGGAAAGACTTCTCAAGGCAATGAAACAATTGTTCCAGAGTAATTTCAGATTCTTGATTGTTCGGAATGTCCATTTGAGCACCTCTGAGAGTAATTAAATTGACTTTAGTTAATATGATTAATTTGATTAATAGGATATTGAATTGAAAACCTACAGATAGAAAGGATTAGCGACCGATCTGATTCAGAATTAGGATCAGACATTACTAGAGTTGTTCTCCGAGTGCCTATCACAACTTTCTTCAGTGGAAATTTGATACTCTGCATGAGTTGATGCACGTTCTCTGTGAGGCTTTCTAATGTATTCTCTGTAGCAGGTTGTTGATGTTGTGCTTGTGCAGTGGTTTGAGAATTTTCTACTACTGCTGCTTGATTTACTCCCGTTTGTTTATCAATTGAATTCAATTGTCTGAAACGTTCCAAGTCCTCTTCAATTGTTCCGTCCTGATTCGAGAGTGAGGTTGGCGTTGAGGTTGATAGAGAGTCTGAGGTGAAGATTGGAAACCTCATTTTTTTAAGGAAGCCTTTCAATTTTTGAAACGACATGTTATACTTTGACTGTTATCGATTCTTGAAGGATAGGATGGGAGTTATTTGGAAACTGAACAGATGGATACTTGTTCTTGTTTTGTTCTTTTTAATATTGTTGGTTAATGAAAAATTAGGAAGAATTTGAAAATAAAAATGTAAACTTTTAAAAATGGTAAATTACTTGTTTTGTTTGTACAACTTGTCATCATCTATTGCACTTTTTACATATGGCCAACATACAACTCTTCAAATTTACAAAGAACATTTCCTCCACTCAGAACTCCAATACATGGAATCCTCATCACATTGTACTACATTTATACCTTCTTGAAAACAGTAAATCTCTCAGGTTGATAGAAGAGTTTGGACAACTCGTTATACTCCTTTTGATTGGATGGTTCAAAACTGGCAATATTGTGTTGGGTTTTGGAGTATAACAAAATCTTGTCAGTATAATCAAATAGTTGATCATTTCCTCTGATTTGAATGAAGAACTTGATATGACCAATGTGGGAGAATTGATTTTGGAGATTGAGTCTTCTGAGGTTTTCTCTAATCTTTGAGATTTTAACTTTATCACCATCTGATCTGAGAATCTTAAAAGTGGCAATCAAGTCAGAATCCTTAACCTTATCAACAGTGGAAGTATTAACAAAGATGCACATATGAAGGCAATCATCTTGTCTGAATTTGAAAATCTCGTCCCAGTTAATGTCGATAAAAATACGTTTACCATTGGCTTTCAATTGTCTTGAACCATGACCATCACATCCACCATCATAATAGTAAATGTAAACGAGAGTATTCAAGCTAACAGAGGAGGAAGAATCAGAAGATGGCGATACTGGTGCAATTACCATGTTTTGTGGAGGAAGGGAAGTTATGCTTGTTTCCAATTGTTGATAGGAGGTGCTTCTTTGGGAATTACCAGTCTTATCAACACCCAATGGAATCAATTCAGTTCGTCTGATAGGTTCGAAAATTGGACTCTCAGTCTTCTTCTTTTTCGCTACTGGCGAAAGAGCAGTGTGTGCACTACTGGTGCTGGCAGTGTTTGTGGGTGGATTGAAAACACCTCTACTACCAGGCGTATCTCTCTTTCTTTTTAGCTCTGATATTTCTGCTTGTGCAACTGTCAATTCCTTACATGCCTTAGTGTATAACTTCATGAGATCCTCATACTTTTTCTTAATTTCTGTATAGGGACTTGGTTTTTGCATTGTTACGATGGTATATTGGTCTTCATCGTCACTTTCGGAATATTCACTGTCATCGGATGATTCAGCTTCGGAATTTGGAAGGGTAGGATGAGGTTGCATCATTGGCACATACAATGAATTTGTATCATGAACCATTGAAGATCCATGTGGAGGAGGTGGAGGATAGAAGGCAGTAGGAGGTTGTGATTGCATAATAGATGGATGAGCACCTGGATAAGTATAAGAATAATGGAGAGGATTAGGAACTGTTCCTTGAGGAATCCCTGCTGGATATACTTGCTGTTTGCCACTGCCATTGGCAACTCTCACTGGAGGTTGTTGATAAGGCATTGCACCGTTTGGATCAAATAATTGAGGTGGATGGTGAATTAATTGAGGTGGCAAATAAGCATTCATAGGCTGGTGTGGATTTATAGCCTTTTTTGATTGCATCAATACTGGCTTGTTTGGGACACCACTAGTTGAGGTATTTGTTGTGCTTGTGTTTAAAGACGACACCTGCTGAGGAATTACTGTTGTTGAAGAAGAACCGGAGGAAGCTTGTGCATTAGAATTCACACCAACCGCTTTCTTTACGGTCGAGTTTCCAGGTTTGGTGTTCGTTGATGAAGGTGAAGAAGAGGTGGCTTCATCATGTGATGGCGATGATTTGTTGCTGCTGCTACCACTCGTACTAGTGGTAGTGGCCGATGGTAAAGTATTATGCTGTTGCGAATTGGTGTTGTTATTATTATTTTGTGGAGGTATGATGGTTGATACTTGAGAATTGGTACTTTGTTCTAGAGGTGATGATTCTTCACTTACTGATGGTGAATTCGGTTCTGGTTTGGCTTTTAGAGAGAGAAATAGAGAGGAGGAATTTTCTGATGATGATGAAGAGGAATTAGAAGGTGATGATGGAGCCATGTTATATTATTATTTTTGCTACTTGTTCGTGATGACGAATTCTCGAGGACGTGGAAATTTAATTTTTTTTTGAAACCGGAATTCGTTGCACAGACATGGAATTGATAAAGGTCCAATCACAGATGACGCACTTGGGTGTATGATGGCTGTTGACTTATTAAAACTCGTCAAAAGTTCTTGCTGGTTCGGATTCTCTTCTCACAAACTCAACAACACTTGAAGATTTTGAAACTCTGGTTGTTATTACATCATTTGTTAAACATGATGAAATTGAACTATGGATAACAAATAATACAAAATCCTTCATCAATGAATACATTATTCATATCGGATATCAGAAAATTAAACAAGACATTTAAAAACATAATAATGATGGCTTTTCGGAAGAGAGCACTGACAAAATTTCAATTCTACTAGCCGGCAATTTGTCCAATTAAAGACACACAATTTATAAAAGGCTTTATTTGCCTTATTAATATTCTTCAGTTTACAAGATTTAAAATACAGCAAAATCTAGATTGACAAAAAAAATGAAACGAAAACACGATAGCACTACCGCAGATTTTACTGAAAATTTATGCAAGAAGGAGAAATTATCTTCACTCACCAACGATGAACTTGTAGATCTAATTTCCCATCTCAAACACGAATATTCGACCCGAATGCTTTACAAGTTGAATAATTTACCAGATGAAATGATTGGCATGATACTATCCTTCTTGGATCGTTTTGAAATTTTGTCTCTCGGAAATTTGTTATTCTTTAAAAAGTGGTCGAAATTTATTTTTCATCATGATGAGTATTGGCGTGCATTGTTTGGAGAGTTGTTTCCACAAGTTGTTTATGATTTCAATTTACATAATGCATATTTATTGGGAAGAATTAGAGATTTTGAGAAATATTGTGGAATTAAGCCAGTGATGATTGAAGTTGGCACTGGAGGAGGAAGTGAAATTGATATTTCTAGACAAGAGTATGAGTTGAGTTTTAAAAAACAGATTTACTACATTGAATGGCCAATTGAAATTCCAATTAAAGTGAAATCCTATGAAGGATATAATGCACAAGAATGTGAAACGGTTACAGATGCTCCAACAGAAGTTATTGGAGTTTATTATTCGATGGACAAACCAACAAAGTTTTACTTTTCAATCAAGAGTGAATATGAGTCAAAACGCGGAGAGAGTGAATATGTTGATAGTACATTAATAGATGTGTATTGGATAACATCTAAGGGTGATATAATTGATGAAATAGTTTCAACCAACAGTGCCAATATTGATGCAGTAACAAAACTACTCAACAGTACCTTATTGGAAGCTGATAAAACACCAGGAGAATGGATTGAGAAATTTATTGAAAAACTTGGGGTTGATAATTGGATATCAAATTCGTTCAAACTTTGTTCATCCGATAATAATGAAGAAGAAGAAGAAGAAGAGGATGATGAGAATGAAGATTAAACTTTTGTCTTTTTTCTTTTTGGAATAGTTTCTTCACTACACATTTCTTTTCTTTTGATTTGTGGCACCATTTCATCGTCAACCACATTGTCCTTCTTAACTTCAAAATACGAAACTCTTTGGTTTTGAGATAGAAAACTCTCATCCCACAAGTAAATCAATTGTGGATTTGTTTCATCAACAAATGAAGCAACATCTCTTATTTCAAACCATGAATATTTGAAGAATGGAAGATCTTTCGTACTGAAGCATCCTTTCTGATTGGTTCTTCCAACATGTACTATCAAACCAAAGTGTTGAGTTTCTTCTAAACCATTGACAACCTCTAAAACAACTAGATATCTTCCTTTACAACTTTTTTTGTAACACTTTGCTCCAAATCTTTCCCATTTGAGCGTTGCAATAGTTGGAAGATCTGCATCAAGAAAAAAACTAATGGTTGGATTCCTTTTTGCTGTTATTAGCCCAATATGTGTTGGCTTGAAGGGAACGTATTTTCCATTTACCTGTACACTTATTCTCAACAGAGTTCTAAAGTTGTGAGATGTAACCTTGCTTTTTGGATCAACTTGTTCAACTGTAATTATTGGAATGGGGTTAGGTTCTTCGAAAAGATTTAACATTTCATTCATTTCTAACGATTGATTCGAGTTTGATAACTGGGGGTTTGTAGAATGGACCATTGGCTCAATTTGATTGGGTAGCTGTGGGTTTGGATTCATTTTTGTTTGTTTGTTACGAAGAATGTGTATCCATTCCTATTAAACGTGAAAATAACGTGATTTCTTCAAACGTGAAATTTACAAAATTCGTTACTTTAGATGGTAATCACGAACAAGATATAAATAATTCGACAAACGAGGTCAATTTATTTATATAGTTGTAGGTTTGTGACCCAAATTAGTTTCAGAATATGTTGTCATTGCAATATTATTACTAGATGGTTGATTGAAATTCGAATTGACTCTTCCAAATTGATCAAATGGAGAACCTGAGCTATTGGTTGAATTAGTCATTACTCTATCATATTGTGGTCGAGTGTTGGCAGGCATTGGTGGTGCAACATTTGGAGTGTTTTGCTGTTGCTTTCTCTTCTCTCTCACGATAATGAAACCAACAACAATTGGAATTGTGATAAAGCAGACACAACACAAGAGAACTGGGATGAGAATCACCACAGCTGCAGCTGCAGAACTATCATTACTATTTCCATTACTGTTATTGTTATTATTATCGTTATTACCATTATTGTTATTGTCACTGTTTTGAGTGGTTGACTTTTCAGGAAGAGGAAGAGTTTGTTCAAGGTAATCAGCAGTTATTCCAACCATTGAATTGTTCATGAGGTTGGAAAGAGAGGATAAATCACACAAACAATGGACAATAAGAGTTTGTTCACTTGCTTTGATATCTGTCAATAATTGGAAAGATGTCTTGATAAATTTACAACTTGATTCAGTTTCAAAATTTGTAAAATCAAGAGTCAAACTGCATCTGAATGTTTGATTGGTTCTTGAACTGATTGGTGCAATATAGGATGGAATTGGAATATTGATATGAACACTTCCTGTCAATGAATTTGAAATGGTCAATTGTGAAATATATTCCTTTTTTACATCTTCAACTTTTCTTGATAATTTGGTTGGGAATTTGAATAATGAATTTGCAATATTGACCATTTGAATGGTGGAAACCGTGGAAACACTAAAAGAGACCAATGAACTATTAGAATTGGAGAAGGAAAAACTATTCGAATTCAAAAAGGCTACTGAAGTCTTGACAGCATTAATAGAAACCAAATTGGATGGTTTTTCACCTGGGAAAAAGTCTAAAGTTGTCAACTCGGCCTTAGTTCCCAACGAAATAGCAGCATTCACAATTGAAGATGCCAATTTGATAGTAGAACTTTCTGGGATATTTGCTGCAACATTTACCAAAATTTCAGAAAGTGAATTTGAAGAATCTGATGACCAAACAGCTGCCTTACTTGAAATATCAACAAACTTGTTAATCATATCAACAGTTGACATTGTACTTTCCTTAGTAAGGAATTCAGGTTTTGAAAGAATTTTGACTTGATTGATATATTTAGAAATTGCTTCGGATGTCACAGATCCTTGGGCTAGATTGACATCCAGTTGGGTGGAAACTGAAGAAGTAGTGGCAGCTAAAGCAGCTGGAATTATTCTTTGAATTTCTCCCATAACAATAGAATTATTTGAAGAAAGAGAATTGAAATTAGAAACCATTGAAATTACCAAATCATTATTCTTGAAATAATCTGAACTTGAATTTGCCAGACTACTTGATATAGATGAAACCAATTCATCTGTAAACAAACTGCTTGTACTAAACTCAATTTGGTTCATCAGGGTTATTGGCAAAGTTGTTTGTCCTCCTGTTTTTTCATCTAGGAATTGAAGCTTGAAATTCTTACCACTCTTTGAAAACTTGAATGAAATTGGTGAGGAATACGAAGTTGCCACAATAGAATCTTCATGATAAAGTGTCATTAAGTATGTGGAGGGTGGAGATATTGAGCATGAAAGTTTTGCAAGTGTAAAGCCAATTTCAATCTTTGAAGGAGAAATGGTACAATCAGCAACATTAACAATGGAAGACAATGAATCTTGTACAATTAAATTGGTAGTTTTTTCAACTAAATCATTGGATCCTTTTAAGGAAAGTGTGAAATAATTGTAGAGATTTGAAATTGTTGTCAACCTAGATTTGAGCTTTCTTTCTAAAAATTGTAATGGAAGTACATATTTAGAACCACTCACAGAAACATTATCTAACATATATTTTTCATTTTGAGAATTAATATATGAAATATCAACTTGGCAGTTTGGAGCTTGAGTTGTCAAAATCTCAAGGAAATAGGTAGTCCAAATTTCTGGGAATGGAATGGTATTTGACTTTAAACCAATCAAACTTGCACCAAGGACCTTACATGAAGAATAATCATTAATTGTTTCAGATATAAAGGAAACTGTTTGTGTTGTAATTCCAACAACTGGTAGGATACTGTTATAGTTTGTAATAACTCTTGAAAGAGAAGAAAGGTCAGAAAGAGCATAATCAGTTGACCGCAAGCAAGCAACAGTGAAGGTGTGAGGAATCGTTAAATCAAACCAAGGATACAATTGATTGACTTGCAATGAAACAGTTTCGTCTGTTTGAGCCATCATAATTCTCTTATAAACTTGATTATTTTCCATTATTAACATCATCTGTGGAATGGAAATTTGATCTCTTCCATAATAATACTTGCAAGAAAGAGTCAAAGTTGGAACACTTGATTCTTTGTAAACAACTACAGTTTCCTTAATTGAAACTGTTGGAGGTTTGAAATTGAAATTGAGTAGAATTTGAGTACCATCTATCATTTGGATTGTAATAAACATATACATAGAAGTGGTCTTTGCTTTGAAGACAATATCCTTTTCTGTAAACTCCAAAGAAAAGTAACTATCCAATATTTTGAAATGTTTAGAAATTGTGTATGAAATAGTTCTTCCATCAATGCATTCCAGATTTTCTGAAAAGTATTGTGATAATGGGATTGTAAGTTCGTTAGATGTGAGAAGGAATGTTGTTCTTGGGAAATAGTAAGGTGTTTTTCTGTAGCTTCCACTCACGCTCAGCGCATCACTAGAAGTATATTTCAAACCAAAATTAGTGACAACACTGACAGATAATTCAATATAACCAAAGTGAGATAGCTCTGGAATGTAAGGGAAAGTCCACTCGAGCTTGTTTTGAGCATTTTGGATGGCATCGCTCACTAATTTGTTTTTCATTAATGATACAGAGTTTCCAGTCAAATTCCAAGTTAAGCTTTGGAAAGTACCAAATTCTGGCTGAGAATAATATGCCTTGATTTTGGTTTCAAAACATCTGTTAATTGTTTTACCACTAGCAACTCCATTGGTCACTTGGAAATATACTCCACGATAATAAGGTTGTTCATTCTTCAAAAAGTCACTTATATCCAAGTTGACCATTTGATAAATAGGAGCTTTAGTTGATGACCACATAACGTTGAAGCTGATAGGGTTTCTTGGATTGAAAATTGCATAGTTATTTGGTATAGTTACTTCAATAGTATATCTATAACTTCGTTTATCCAAATTGAGTCCAATTTCTGTAACTTTACAAGTTACAACATTGATAACTTTAGAAATATCACCAACATTTTCAAACACACGAGAACAATCAACAGTTCCCTGCTGGAATCTAAAATTGGTATTGGTTATAATTATGAAACCATTTTGATAATTCAAATATGGGGCCTTATTTGATTCTAAAAAGTTGTAGCACTCATCACCATAATGAGATCCAGCACATGATCCACATGTTTGTCCAACATAGAATCCAATACACTGATTACAATATGTGCCATATGATCTGCTATTACATACACAATTGTTATACGAAGAACAAACTCCTCTATAATTACAAACTGAACTATTAGTACTTGGAATACCATTACATGTCCAATTGGTGCACTTTTCCCCATAGTAACCAGTGATGCAACTTTCACAAAGCTTTCCATTAATATTGTCATTTTCACAAATGCAAGTATTTAAAGATTTACAAATGCCTCTTCCACTACATACGGTTGGAGAGGTGCTCTCAATGTTGCCACATGTGAACTTTTCACAGTGAGACCCAAAGTAACCAGAATCACATTTTTCACACGATTGACCACTAGATCTTGGAGTGGTACATGCGCAATTATTTACTCCAATGCATTGTCCGTTTCCTGAACAAACATTTGGATCATTATACACAATTCCACTACAATTATAGAGCTCACAGTTTGGACCATAGTAACCTTCCTTACAAACACATTTGTTGTAGTCTATACAGCCACCTTTTGATGAACAAACTGATGGAGAAGCATTGGCAGTTCCATTACAATAGAAATATTCACATTTTGGACCATAGTAACCAGTTTTGCAAGAACAGACACTTGGCCTCACACAAGATCCATGTCCAGAACAAATACCTGAAGTGTTAGCCGCCTTTCCGAAACAAATTGGGAGTTCACAATTTCTTCCAGTGTAACCTACATTACATTCGCAAGTATCAATGTCTAAACAATTACCATGATTAGAGCAAGTTCCATAACTGCTCTTTGGAATACCAAAACATTGTGCTTCGATTGAGCATTCATTTCCGTAGTAACCTTTTTCACAACTACATGTTCCATTGTAATGGCATGATCCTCTTCCAGAACATATGGCCACGCTGTTGGATGAAACATCATTACAAAATGAATATGATGCACAATTGTGAGAGTCAGTGTTAACACTTGATGACATACAGGAGCAATTATTAGGACCTGCACATCGACCATTTCCATTACACACCAACTTACTGGAAGAATCAACATCATAACATACTGGGGCTGAACAGTCATCACCACTGTAACCGTTGGCACATGAATAAGTATTGGTATAGCCATACATATAGGAGATTGAATCAATACAATAACCACTTTTAACTCCAAACCCTATTACCTCTAATCCTTCTGGGACATATTCCACAAATTTCACTTTGTTGTCACATAAAAAATTGATGGTTTGTTTGTTTGTTTTAAACGAAATGCAAAGCAATATCTGCGCACTCCCAAAGGTGGTATAATCGTGGCTCATCTCCTTGATATATTCATCATTGTCTAAATAGGCAGTGATAACTCTACCAATACATCTTGCTTCATTAAAATATTTGATAGCTCCATCGGTGTATGTGAATTTGAAGCAATAAACGTATCCATCACCCAAAATATCAATTCTTGACACCTTTTGGGTTGTTGGATCTCCAGCTCCACTATCACCACCATATCTAGGACTTTTCGAGATGTAGGTATAGTCCTTTTCATTATCTCTATTGCCATAATAAATATATGCTTGAACAAAAAGTTCTGTCTTGTATGTAATTGGTGATGTTCTTGTGTAAAGGATTGGATTCTGTTCTCTTATAAAGTTGTTAGTGTTGACAACTGGACTGGAAGTTGAAACTAGGAATGCATTAGTCAAATCAACTTCAGAAGTGAGAGGAAGAATGTGAATAATCTTTCCATCAACATGTCTGAATCTGTACTGATAGACAGTATTATTTACAGCTTGCATAGATCTTCCTGCTACATCTTTAATTGTATACGAAACTGAATTAAGTGGTGAGATTACAGTAGTCAGTGTTAAATCTCTTTCAACAGAGAGTGAATGAATGGTGAATGTGAAATTTCCAGTTGTAGAAATAAAGTTCTTCACAAATGAATAGACTGTGTTTACATAATCATACTGAAGAAGGAATACATTTGGTGAAACAGCATCTTCATTAAGGTAACAATTTCTTTCACAAATAAGGAGAATGTTGAGTTTTCCAATAGAATCAAACTTGATTTTAGGTGTGGACATAACAGAGTCCGAGCTATGAAAGATTCTTTGGTTGTGAATATAGGATCCATCCTTATTGAGCAATAGTACCCATTGAGCTGATTGATAAGATGAATACGTTTTCATATCGCCAGCAATTGTTAATTGAAAGGAAGACTTCTCAAAGAAAGAGACAATAATTCTTTCATACAAGGCAGAGAAGTGAATAGACAAGACTTGGCACTTGGTTGGATCTTGGCAGGTTGCAATTTGCTGGTTGAGAATGATTTGATTCTTGAAGAGTGTCACCAAGTTGATTTGAGTCTTGTTTTGCATAATCAAGTAAATCTTACCAGTATATTGATCTATATCCAAGGATTGCAGGCTGAACCCAATCATATCCGTAAGAGTTACCACTGATTGCACAGCAGCAGTAATTGGTGAAAGAATTGCTAAAAAAGGGATACTAGTTTCTGCGAGATCTGTTGAGTTTGCTGAAGAATTTTGTTGTGGATACACGTGAAAATCACCAATGCAAACAGATTCACTGGCCACAAACCAACCACTCAATAGAATTTGCCCATCAGAGTTCAAAAACCTTATTGATTCTCCCTCAATATTTGCTTGTCCACAATCATCTTGAATTGTGGTAGATGAGAACTGTGTGAAATTTGAGCCGTAACGTTGATTTCCCTGAATGATAATCTTTGATGAATTTTCCTTAATTAACATATAGTGTCTCTCATTTTGGTCAGCAATTGAATCCCTTAATTCCCAACTACCATCAAATACCTTGATGGATTTTTCAAAATTCTTAGTGAGGCCATTCTTACAATAAGGAGCTGTTTTGGTCATGTCCGCGCATGGTTCTAAGGTCACAGCCACTACACAGCTCGCTACCCACAACAATAACAGGAAAGTTAAATAGTGATGATGAAGAAGTTTCATCTCTGAGTGTTGTTTGTTTGTGTTGTTGTTTTTTTCAAGTTTTGCTTCAAAAGAAGACGCATTGACGAAGAGGCAAACATCTGTGACAAACTGTGCATTCACACCTCAAAATGTTGTTGTTTGCGTGCTGGCAATTTCCTTCATTTACTGTTTGCGCCCTTGGCAACTGTAATCAAGTCTTAATAAGTTGTTATTTTTCAAGATTTACAATTTTGGAGAAGGGCTGTGGTGGACTCTATGTGAGCCCATCTGCACCCTTTTTAACACTATTTACAGTGGACCAAACAACAGGAAATATGCAACCACAAATTGTGTGGGTGTGAATTGAGTGTCAAAAGTGTTGGCCTCATCGACTTTGCGTCCCTTCTCCAAAATCCGAAAAACAAAACACTCAACAACTCAATATGAGAACAACAGTCTTGCCGTTTGTTCTAATTTTCTTAATTGTATCATGTTCAATATTTGATGTGATTAAGGCAGGTTTAGGGGAACCTTGCTCAGATATGACCAAGATTGCACCAAACTGCAAATACGGCCTCATCAAGAATTTTGACAGTACCATTAAAACACTTGGGGAGGGTTCGTCCTTTGTGGATGTAATTTCCGACAATAATGAAAAACATTACATGTTGATTAAGGTTCCACTTCCAAGTTTAAATTCCTCACGAGTGATGATTCAGGGAAATGTTCGTTCTGGTGAAACTTTTAATTCCTTCCTGGAGGTAAACATAAAGGATGATTGTGGAGGAGCACAACTTGAGGGTGAATCTATTACATTCCTCAATTCCAAAGCAGATATATTGTTGACTGGGTATTTTGTTGCTCAGTATCCAGTTTGTATTGGACGTTTCCAAGTCACCTCACAGACATTCTCAAGCTTTAAGAATATACCATTTATGGCAACTCTTTCATCAGCAGGAGTTGTACAATCTGTCACCCCTTTTAGTAATTTGATTGGATATTCTATTCAAGCAATGTACATTGACAATGTAAGCGGAAAGAGATACTTCATTATGCAGAAAGGATATCAAATTTACTTGATCATTTACAAAGATCAAGTTATTCTAAAGAAGGCAATAGCAGGTTGTGAAGACACAACAAAGTGTAAAGTTATGGCTATTCACTACTCGGTAGTATATGATCGGGTTGTTGTTTCGTTCTTTGATACACAAGAATTCCAACTGATCATTGATGGGGAAAATAAGGAATATTTACCTCATCAGTCTTCCCTATGGGTTCTATTGTTAAATCCAAAGGATGGATCCTATGTCCATTCTCAGAAAGTCTTCCACAGTTCATCTGCCATGATTCCCACTCCAAAAATTAAGTTCGATTCATTGGGGAAGCTCAACATTCTCTTGTCATGTGAAGCTGATTGTTTTTTGAATGGAAATGCAATCTCTCCAAATATCTTCCTTCTGCAATATGATTATATCAAGACAACATTTACATTCACAAAGAATTTCATTCAAATTTCCCAGTTCAAACAAGATTATTTCAAGATCCATTCATTGTCAATTGAGCGAGACAATACCATTGCAACAGTCATTACTGGTACAAGCGCTGATCCTTATTCAATTGTGGATGGTAATAGCAGAACTATGCAAGCTCAATCTAAGAGTGTGTATCAATTCCGATTCAGACATCTGGAAGGAAAAATCATTCAAGTTCAACAACTATCAACAGAATACGATATTACTGATAGTTTTATCGTCTCAACATCAAGTCCTATTGTGAATTCCAATAATTATGTAGGCGAGCAAAAGCCAATCATTTACATTAGACTTTCTGGTACTTCCAAAGAGTTGAAAGCCTTGTCTTTTAGTTCTAATGGTTATTATTTAGGTACAGAATATCAGTATGTGACAAGTAGTGCAAGCTACGGAGGTAAAACGAGTTCACCGCAGTCAACATCTAAATTTATCAAAGGAATGAAAATTAAACACAGTAGTGACTATGTGTACGGTATCGAATTCAGGTTTAGAGATGGTACCAGTCAATCAATTGGTAGCAGCGATAATCGGGAAACTGAATTTACACTTGCTGATGATGAATACATCACTAAAATTCATCACGAGTATAGAGACTATGGTTTCTGGATTTGGGCATCCACAACATTGGCATGTATTAGATTTGATACTAATAAGAACAGCTACGGTGCAAATGGTTGCTGGGGTGGTAATATTGAGTACGTCCCTAGTGGCCTCGATTTAGTTGGAGCATCCATGTCTTGTGGCGCTGTTGTTGATTCCATTTGGTACCATTATGGCTACTGGCCAACATATTCATGTGCAAGTGGCTACACAGGGGCCTCCTGTAATACTCCTGTTTGTTATGATCTCGAAGCTACCAACCCTAATGTATGCAATGGAAAAGGTAAATGTACTGGTCCAAACACTTGCTCTTGTTCTGCATCCATTTCTCCTAGTGATTCAGGTACTTGTGTTCCTTATGGTTTTTGTGAAGATTTGTCAAGCTACAATTCAGGATCTTGTCATGGAAGAGGTACTTGTTTTTTCAATAGTACCTGTGCTTGTGATCGTAGTTATTATGGTGATGCTTGTGAAATTGAAGCCGCATGTTTTGGAATTTCCAAGAGTAGTTATGGTGTCTGTTCAAACCATGGAAAATGTACGGACATTGACTTGTGTGAATGTAGTACTGGTTATGCAGGTAAAAATTGTGAACTTCCAATTTGTTTTGGGAAAGTAGCAAACGAAACTGATGTTTGCTCTGGGCAAGGTACTTGTGTGAAACCTGGTATTTGTTCTTGCAAGACTGGTTATTACGGAAGCATGTGTCAAAGTTTTGGTTGTAACGGAACTGATAGCTCACAACCAAGAGTCTGTTCCTCTAAGGGTACATGTGTTGATTACAATAACTGTAACTGTACTGATGGATATTTTGGTGAAAATTGTGAACAATTCACATGTAATGGAACTCATTTCATGGATCCAAATGTTTGCAATGGAAATGGTATATGTACAGCTCTCGATACTTGCTCTTGTACGAGACCAAAATCCATTGGTAGTAATTGCCAAACTTGTGAAGATGGTTATTATGGCACTCATTGTGAAAAATGGACATGTGGAGGAATTGAAAATTCTTCACCAGCCGTTTGTTCAGCAAGAGGTCATTGTAAATCTGTAAACATCTGTGTCTGTGAATCGGAAACTATTAAGGGAGATACCTGCCAAGATTGCATTACCGGTTACTATGGGTCAAAGTGTGGAAATTGGACATGTGACAATGTACCACACTCTGAAGAATCAGTTTGTAATTATAGAGGAACTTGTACCTCCTACAATGTTTGTAAATGCAATACGAGATCCAATGGTACTTATTGTGAACAATGTCTCGACTATTACACTGGACAATCGTGTTCTGGTTGTATAGGAGCTCACTTTGGTGATGATTGTTTCAATTTCTTGGAATCAGATCAAGCTACCTATTTTGATTATTCAGTTGACTTGAATATGGATCAAAATCTTTGGGGAATTGGAAAAAAATTGGCAGCTTTCAGCATTGTTACCAATAGTAATTACAGATACACTAGTTCAAAGGTGGATTGCGAGAAAATATTTGGAAATATTGACAAGTTAGTCACCAAGAGTTCCACTTCTTATCCAATGCTATGTTATGTAACAGAAAATAGATTGAATTCTGACCTGCACAGTTACAGATATACCATCAAAGCATATGTATCTCAATCAGATGCAATCTTCAGTCCAAGAGAACCAATAATGTTCAACGTATTTTGGTCGAATCCAAAGTCTGACAAATACGTTTCCGTCCAATTAGATGTGAGTGCCTTTTTGAGCTCCTTCCAACATTATTATGATGGAGTTTCTGCTAAAATTTCCAATGGAAAGATCAGTTCCAAATCGATGAATAGATGTTTTGAAAGCAATGTTAAGGCTGAATATTCTCAACCAGAACATGGAAATTTCCAAGCAATGACTTGGGAATTGACAGGAAATTCAGTTGCCTTAATGTCTAACAAATTAGTGAGTGATGCCATTCAAAATTCCCAAAATCAATTGGAATGGACTTTCCCATATGTTTCAGATATTTTAAAGCTTTCTACTATTGACATGTCTGTCAGTGTGATTTCTAATTTTGGTTTAACATACACCAAAAACCTTTCGTTCCCAATCGAAGGATCCTATCCAAAATTACTACTCAAAGTTCCAACAACCAAGATTGTAATGACCTCTACGCAAGCAACAATACCCCTTGCCCAATTCTTCGCTGAGAATCAAGAATGTGTCGACGCCAGAACTGTTTCCTTCCAAGTCCATTCTACCTATCCAACTTATTATTTTAATTGGGAAACAACTGAAAAAGCAATTGTTATCAAACCAAAAACATTCAGTGAGAATTTGTCATTCACAATAGAACTTATTGATGGTACAACACTTCCATTCCAATTACAAATGATTGCTCCAACTGTTTTGATCAAGGAATCACTGATTGTGTATAAGCCATCCAGAATTCCTAGTATTACACTCACTTGCAAGAATTATTATGGTGCAGAGTCTTTACAAAAATCAATTGTTTTCCTGCTGTTGGAAAATAATCACGTGTACAGGAAGATTAGTTTAGAGACTTCCTCTGCAACTGTTTCAGTACCAGTGAATACAATTTACCCTGATTTTAATATGACCATTGATCATACCTTTACAGTTGCATGTCTCCAATCATATTATTATTCAGTAGCACCAGCCCCTGATTTATTGAACCTCATGACCAATTCTGAAAATCAACCAGTTGTCATTGGAAAATCCACCCAAGTGGTTTCATTCATCCCTGATACTCGCATAGATGTATCATCATGCAACGTACTTGGAGCAACTTTAACTGGTATGAAAGTTAATAATGTTATTCCATCCTTGGAAGAATCTACAACTTACTTTTTGGATATTTTGACATCCCAAGCTTCTAATTGCCAAGTTGATATTCGTTACATTGGTTCACAATTTGAAAGATATCCATTAGCTTCAATTTTTGTTAGTGGTACGAGATACTTACTCCCATTGCAATATAAAAACGGAAAACTCAAATCCAAAGATTCAACAATTCAAAATGTTGGTAAATACTTTACCCTCTCCTTGATGGGAACCAGCGACGTTACAGATGTTACAGTTCCAGTCACTGTACAAGATTCTCTATCTGATCAAATCAAACTCAAAGATTGTACCATCACTCCTTCTAAACTTGAAGTTGGTTTTACAATTGGAAAGCTTTCTTGTACCATGGGAAATCCACTCTCTACCATTAGTATGACACTTCTTAATGAAGATAGTATCGTTGCAACATCGGTATCCTTCCCAATATCCTTCAAGACTACAAAATTTGGTTCAAATTTCAAAATTCTCTTTTCAGACACCAAAACTGGTGGTAAACTAACAATGCCTATCAAGTTGACAAACGTCATCGAGTTCAGTACCAATAGTTTGTTCACAAATGATGTAGTTTCCTCTCTTTCAAACTCGTTATCAAGTCCAACAAATGATTTCCATAAGAGCAATGATTTGGTTATTTCAATTGTTTCTAATATCGGTACAGTGGCCCAAAATAATTCTGTCATTAGTGAAATTTCTAAAATTATTCCACTCGCCTTAAATGCAACAGCAACATCTCTTTCTACTCAATTAGATACAAATCTTGCACAAAATTCAGTCACTTCTGAAGACATGTCCAATTACATGAACCAAGTCAAAGTACTTTCAAAACCTCAATTCTTAACAGAAGAAACTACATCGAAAACTGTTGACATGATTAACAAGTTTGTTGATATTTCAAGTAAGGCAGCTGTTTGGTCATCAGATTCTTCAAATTCACTTTCTGAAATTTTGGTAAATGTCGCATCAAAGATTCCAGAAACATCAACCATCAAATTGGCATCTTCAATTGTGAATGCTGCTATTTCTTTGGGTACTAAAACAGAATTGACAACTTTAGACTTTTTCCCAGGTGAAAAACCATCCAATTTGGTTTCTATTAATGCTGTAAAAACATCTATTTCAGCACTGAACTCAAATAGTTTTTCCTTCTCCAATTCTAATAGTTCATTGGTCTCTTTTAGTGTTTCCATGATTTCCACCATTCAAATGGTCAATATTGCAAATTCATTATTCAAATTCCCAACCAAATTATCAAGAAAAGTTGAAGATGTAAAAAAGGAATATGTTTCACAATTGAACATTTCAAATTCATTGACAGGAAGTGTTCATATCAATATTCCAATTCCATCCTATATTGCACCAATCAGTTCAAGAACCAATCAAACATTCAGATGCAGTTTGACTCTTGATTTTACAAATTTTGAAACTGAATCAAGTTGTAAATTTGTCAAGACATCTTTCCAATTATTGACAGATATCAAAGCAAGTGAACAAACTCTCATTGTCCATTGTTTGTGTGATTTATCCTCTCTTTCCAACCTCATGAACAATTCAATGGTTGGAATAACTGCTGATTACCTTGAACAAACTCTTCCAAATGACATTAACGCACCACTTAGCAATGACAGTAGTGGAGCAGCTGCTGTAATCTTGATTCCAATATTTATCTGTTGTGGTTGTTTCATCGCTATTCCAATAACTGTTGGCTGTATTATAGTGAGAGAAAAGAGAAAGAGGGATAATGCAAAGGAAACCAACAAGGAGGCTCCTCCTAATCCTCAATACGAAAGAGTTGTGACTTCCTCCACATTACAATCAAATTCTTCTCAAAATGCTTTTAGATTTGAACATCGTGATTCTACAACTCCGACCATAGGCCACAGACAGCCATATAGCATTGCCATGAAGACCTTCTCTACTATTGATGTTATTGATGTTCATTTTGATAATCCAACAACAATTTAATTCCTGTACATAAATTACAAAATATTGTTAAAAGGAACGTGTATGTTAGCCTTCTTCTTCAATTTCATCTACATTTCATTCACGATACTAAAATTATTTTCTGATCCTATGATTAATATTACTGGTAATGATGGTATTAGTATTTTTTTTGATTAAAGGCGGGAAAAAATCAAAGCTAGAAGCAGATTAAAGATTAGTATTGAAAATCAAACTTGAATAATCATGTTTCAAAGAAAGTCACTATTCCAAAAATAAGGTCAAATAATTTGGTGAACTATTTGTTTTTCATTGATTTCACTTCGAGCCAACATTCGAACTGTTTGAAAACCCTATTAATAGAATGATAAGTGCATTTGTTAACAATTTACAACATAAAAAAATGCCTTTAGGAATCTCTCACACTAAACACTTGTATGAATATAGTGCTTGCGTTAGTTCTATTCAAAAAGCATGTAGAAGAAACCTTTCGAATGATGTCTTGTTTTATACGATTGAACAGGATGTTTCTGGTTATGGAAATGGTACATTCGAAGATTTGTTTACTTATGCATGCGAAGATTGTTTCGGAAGCTTGGAGTTACCAATTCAATTATTAGAATTATACGTTGATTGGAAGAAACATGTAAAGAAGGAATGTAAAAACAAAACTAGTACTGCTTGGAAGGAATCAGAAAAGAGTAGGAAAATGCTGGTTGGTGGTGCTTTGTCTGTTTGTAGGACTTTGAAATCTAGAATTGCTGCTATGGGAAGTATTGTTGCTTTGAATAGTGAATTTACAGAATTGGAAAATGATGGAAAGATTTCTAATAATTTGAAATGGGTTCATAATATTAATGAAACAAAAGGAATGGATGCTGAATTGATTTTAAAGAATTTTGAAAAAGTATTTGATGAAACATTTACAAATTGGAATGATTATTTGGAAAATGGAAAAACAAATGAAAAACTTGAAACTGTAAAGAAAAGTGAAATTGAATTGTTGCAATTAACACATTGTATAATAATGATGGAAGAAATTGAAAAGAAGAAAGTAGAAAATAATAAGCAAAAGATGGTGAGGTCAGTATTGGAATATCTCAAAAAAGAGAAGAGGGATGATTGTATTAATTTTGTAAAGAAATATTGTATATATAGTATGGACGACACTTCTAAGCATCAGTCAAGATTATTAATTTGTTTGTTCCATTTCATATTGGGTAAATTATTGAAAATGGAAGTTAATAATAAGGAAATGAGACTTTTGAATATATTATCATTGATGGAAATTATTTGTTTGGGAGTTGGATCGCTCAAACTTAATGTCCAGTGTGGTATACTGTATGCAGTGAGGTCTCAAATGTTACAAATTGATGATGAATGGGAGAATATTGATTATGATGAAATTACTGATGAAGAATCTATTAAGGATTCTATGGAAAGATTATATTCCAATGTTGTAGAAAAGCCAGATGCTTCATTATTATCAAAAAGAAGAGAAATGACAATGTTAGATGTTTACTTTGATAAACACACTCATGCTGGTAAAGGGAAGGATACAAGAACAACTTTGAAGAAATATTGTAAGAATAAGAAGATTGATATTTCAGAATGGGGTGAAGACGAGCTCAACAAATCACATCCAAATGTTATTAAGAGATTTAAGAATCAGAAAGAGGGACTTCCTACTCAAATGTCACATTTTCTTGATGAAGGATTAAAATTAGATGAGAGTTTAGTTTTGAACATTGACAATATATATATGGATGAAGCTTACAAAATTTACATGAATCTGGAAGAAAAGAATACAACAAAAAAGGCTAGAACTAATAGCATTTATCCAGATGTTTACAAAAAATGGGTGAAAAACTTTGAACAAGAAGAGGAAGAAGATAGTGATGAAGAAGAGGATTCAAGTGATGAAGAAGAGAAAGTGGAATCAAAAAAGAGAAAATCAACTCCAAAACTGAGAATCAAGAAGAAAACAAAAATTGAAATGATTTCTGATTTTGAATTATTAGATACAGAACTTTGTGAGAATATTCTCGAATGTCCTATTGGTCAAACTCCTACAAGTAGTTCAAAGAAGAAGGTTTACATTACTAGTGAATATGTATTCAAAGGACCTTATAGCCAAACAAATGAAAAAGATATGGTCAATATTAGGAAAATTCAATTTAGAACAAATTTATTGAATACTGAGATTGGTTTGAGTAATATTTTAATTCCAACAGTTGTGAAATTCGAAAGTGATTCGAACTACTATCTCAGATATATTAGAATTGGTTCTGATATGACTGATTCTGATATTAAGGATAAGGGAGAGAATCTCAATAAGCACAATATTGTTAAAGATAGGAAATGTCTTGGAATTTCACTTGCAACAGAATACTTCAAAACTCAAGAAGATATTTCATCAAAAATTTATGAATCAATTTCAACAGATTTTATTGGAAGATATATTTTAGGAATTGGAGATGTTCACTTGAATAATGTGATCGTTAATTTGGATTCTAATGAAGCATTTGGTATAGATTTGGATGAAAATCGTCAAACAATTCCTACAGCAAAGAAGAGTAAATTTACTGAACTTCTCTTTGTAAAATCTCCTGGAAAGAAAGTTAAGGAACTATTTGATAATTATGTAAAGAAGAATAAGAAAACTTTGAAAGGTATGGTTGATAAATTTAAGAATGAAACTTTTGAGGAAAAACTCAAACTCTATAGAGAAAAGTTTGGGGTTGATGAAAGTAATTGTCCCTCTATTGAAGAAATTCATACAAGATGTGAGGCACTTCTTCATCATTTGAAATAGTAATAACATTTAGTATATAATTAAATATTATAATAAATATATTTAAATAAATAATATTTAAAAATGTAAAATAATTTATTAAAAAAAATGTCTCACAAACCTAGAAGGTTTATTCGTCGCTCTGGTGCTTTGGAAGAATCACAGTTATCATCATCATTGGAATCTTATTCAACGGAAACATCAACCTCTTCTTCTAGTAGTATTAATATTGATAAAGAATCAAGTCAAGTTAATGATCATCAAATCAACCCACCTCCACCAATAGATGAGCCAACATCACCAACAAATCATCATGATAATGATAGTGGTGGTAGTGTTCAAGTGGTAACATCTCCGAAAAAGAAGAGAAGATTTTTTAAGAATGTTCAATCACAAGATTCCCCAAGCTTGATGAATACTTCATTTACCAGTGATTCTGTGGAGAATGCAACCCAACTCATGATGGATGTAACTAGTGATAATGTCGATTCACCGAATATAAAGGATCCAATGCATGAAGCTCCACCAATACCTGCTATTTGTGAAACTGCAGTTGAGGAAGAAAAAAAGGAAGAACAGAAGGAATTAATAGAAGAACAGGAGGAGAAACCAATTGATCCAATTATAAACGAGGAAGTGGTAAGGACTGAAGAAATCAATGAAGAAAACACAGGGGAAACTGAAATCAATGAAGAAGAGGTAAAGAAGCCTGCAAAGAGAAGTAGAAAACCAAGAAAAAAAGGAGTGACCGTCCTACATATTGATTCTACAAACTGTGTTATGATAGGAGGAAGAAAATTCCCTGTAAAAAAATTAAGCAAACGTCTGATTATAAATTTAACTGATATCATACCAGAACTTGAGGATATGGATGATTTACCAGTGGAAATAACAAACCTTATGGAAGATTTTCCAGAATTTTTCAATGAAGACAGGAACAAAATCAAACAAACCTGTTTCTTAACTTGTTCTATCAATGCATTGAATACCAAGAAAGAAGAATTTATTATTGATATATTGTTCACTCAAACAATACGAGAATATGGTTTTGTTACATTCTACTGCCATTTTTGCAGAACAAAACAGGGTTGTAGAATGATATGTGACATTTCAAAGATTAGTAACAAGAGAGAATTCTATGAAAAACACAATATTAGCAAACCAGATCCAAACTTCCAATTTACTCAAAGATTGCCATGTATGGTTACTACATGCAAGGATTGCTTTGAAAAAAAAGAGTTAGGAGATTTTGATCATTACCTTTACAATGGAGGTTGGGTTTGTACTCACTGTAGATATTCATGTGATTCTCCACTATGCACTAAAAAAAGTGGAATTTCTCTATCTGAATGCAAATATGATGGTAAAAATGCATTGGAACAGTTTATAATGATGGCTTCAGACAAAGCAGATATAAAGAAGCAACTCTCTAAGGTTAAGGCGAAGAAAGAGGAAGTCATCACAACAAAACAAGAACCAGCCAGAAAACGTGGAAGACCCTCTGTAAAAAAAGAAACAAAGGTAGAAAGCTCTGAAAGTGAAGAGGAAGTAGAACTTTCTTCCGAAAGTTCTGGAAGCGAAGAGGAAGTAAAGATTACTAAGAGAGTAACCAGATCCTCCAAATCAACACCTTCATCATCTAAATCTCAATCATCCTCATCTTCCACTAAACCCTCTTCCAACAAGAAGGTAAAACAAGAAAACAAAACCTCGATTTCACACAAAACTCCAGAAAAAGAAGCAAAGCAAGATAATCTCTCTAGCAAAGAAGAAGAAGAAATTATTGCCTCACCACCTAAACAACCCTCAATAAGTCCTATTGTGAAGAGAGAAATGGCAGACAGTAATGCCAAAGAATTGGCAAAATATTTTATTGGTGCTGCATGTGTAGCAAGAACAACTTCAAACGTCAACAGCTCTATTTGAACCCAAGAAAAAAACTGTTGGACAATTTTCGTTCACATGTTACAAAAATCGTTTAGTTCACCCCAAACAATGAAGGCTCTTCTCTTGCCTATTATCAGTAGAATATCCGGATTTTATTTGGAGGCAACAATGATGTGAACGTTTTGTGTTGATGGAAGAGAAGTCTAAAGAGAAAAAAACAAAGCTAAAACCATCACAACAAGACCATTCGTCAAACGTGGAATTTGAGAGACAAGCCTTTCCATTCCTCTTCTTGAAATAATAATTCTTATTCTATTCAATATTATTAATAACCTCTCATCACTAACTTTTTAACTTTTTCAAAATGACATTTAGCATACAAGGCTCTGAAATACTTTTCATAGTATTGTGGTGTCTACAATTTCTGTTGTGTATTGCTTGTGCTATTGTGATTGTTGTATTCAGAAACAATCAGTCTATGCGTGCAAGAGCTCCTGTTCTATCATCCTTGTCATCAATAGGTGCTTCCATATATTTAGGTGCCTACACTCTATCATATAGCATTCCGGAAACACCATGTAGTTTAATTGTTCTTGTTGCTAACATAAGTTTTTATGTTCTGTGGGCTCCATTGCTGTTGAGAGCTTGGAGAATTTACTTTATCTACCACTGGAATTCAAAGTAAGTATTAATTAACCGAAATAATTTACCTTGAATGTCATCATTGTTTTAATGTCTTGTGTTGGAAATTATTCTCAATGACAATGTTGTTATTCGAAACTAATCTTCAGGATGATTGCAGAACAAAAGAAACAAGAAGAAATTTCAAAGGAAAGGAGAAATGCAAGAAACTTGAATAGAAAATTGCAAAACAAGGCAAAACAACAAGGTGAAGCCATTGAAGATGGTCTCGGAGAAAGTACTGCTCCACCATCACAACCACAAAAACCATCAACGAGCACAAGAGGTTGGCGTCATAATAATCAAGATGATTTACAAACTGATCAAATTTCAGTTCTTGATGTTGAAGATGTGCCAACATTGATTGATGCCACAGAAGTCTCTGAAATGATTAGAAAACAAAAGGCAACCAACACTAGCAATGTCAATAAGAGAAGAGCTGAAGAAAGCAATCTTGTCAAATTCTTTGTCATTATGCTAATTGTTGTCGTTGTATTGATGCTTCCAGTTTCTTTGGCTTATCCAGGATTATGTCCTCATGACTTTTTGTGTCAAATCAATGAAAGAGAAACCAACAATCCAATCATGACCTACATTCTCTACCCTAGACTTGTTGTTCCTTTAATGTTTATTGTTGATATCATGTTATTGATTGAAGTTATCATGTTGAGAGAAGTTAACGATTCCTATTCATTGAATACTGAAATCAGAGTTGCTACTGTCATTTCAATTATTGGTACTATTTTCCTTGCAGTTCTTTCATTTACAAATCTCTCATTTGCATTTGTTGTTATGGCCCAAATTTGGGTTCAAGCAATTCATACCACTTGTTTATACTATCCAGTTCTCCTACTTGCTTATAATGCTCTCAGAAAGAAAACAGGTATGAGTATGACTGAACTAGGAAAGATGGAAATTCCAAATAGTATTGAAAAGATGCTTGAAAATGATGTAACCAGAGAATTATTTAAGAAGTACTTGTTGAAAGCCCTTTGCAGTGAAACTATTCTTTTCTATGAGGATGTTATGAATTATAAGAGAGCTACACCTGATGAAAGATCTCACATGGCTCCAAATATTATTGAAAATTATATCAAGGATGATGCTCTTAATGAAATTAACATTGCTGGTAAGGTAAAGAAGAGAATTATTCACAGATACAATCAAATTACTTATGATGATGAAGTCCCAATTGATTTGTTTGATATTGCCATTGAAAAACTCAAACTTGTTCTTAACGAAAATGGTACCTACCAAAACTTCTTGGAAAGTTCAGAGTTTAAACAATACGTCAAGAAGATTAAGAATAATAAGAAAATTAAGGAGTTAGAAGTTGCCGGTGGTATTTAAAGTAAGAGCACTTGCCTAGAACTCTCATTGTTGTAACATATTGAAAGAACTCTCGGTCTAATAAAGTTCTTTTGGAAATTATTCCTCTTAACCAATTGTTGATTTGGGCCACTGATATGGATAATGTTGTTTTTTGGTCTGTCATACTCGTGCTCCCTTTTGAGTCAAACGGTGCTTTGATTTTTCACACGAGTTGAAACCAGCTTACTCCACAATTTTCATTGAACATCATTCCTATAACTATTTCCTGTATTATAATCAAATAATTGGGTTCTTCTCTCTCCCACTTTGTAAAGAGAAAGCTTTGATCATTACAATATATTAAAGACATTATTCACCAATTGAAAGGGTGACATCACTATTGTGTTGCCGGCAATAGAATGTTCCCCCTCTCTTTATATTATGGTTGTTTTTGATTTACTTTTACGTGCAGACATTTCCAAAAGAAAGTTTACCGCCATTCAACTTTCCACATTGAAAAAAACAACACCATCCCACCTTGGTAACTTTTATCACGTCTTCTACAACAGAAACTTTGGTCGTGGTGATTCTGGTTAGCTTTTTGATCATCAAAAGGTCTTTTGTCCATCATCATTGTTTTAATACAATACATTAAAATATTGGAAGTTTTTGATTCAAAATTGTTTCTTCCCAATATTCATCATAGAGAAAAAGAAGAATATTTAACCGTAATCAAATATCTCGTCAGTCATCATCATAAGAAGATAATCAGTGTGTTGGTTATACAGTAGAGTATTTATCACATTACAGCAGTGTCATCATTTGTGCGCCAAAAGACTATCTACAGGCTAGTAGCTAAGCTAAAAAACACAACTGTGATCATCTAGTTGTGTTTACTGTGCTGTTGTTGTTGTGTATCCGCACAATTTATTCCATAGAGAGCATCCTCAACCTTCGATTCAATTCCACAACACTGTAAAAGTACGGGCTGCCTTCCTTAATTAAGATCCACACCCAAAAAATCAAGTCCTAAAACCCATTCACAAATATTCACCTGCCATTTTGTTGGTCTCTAGAAATATAGACGGAAAGAATTACTTCCATTCTTGTTGAATCCACAACTCGTTGCTTATTACTCTCTCTGTGTGTTGAATTCACAAAGTATTGTAAGTAGGTTACCTTCGCAACGGACTTGTTAGGATTGTATTGACAAATCTCCTTAGAAAAAAGACTCAAACAATCATCCTTATTTGGCTTATTGCTCTTGCTTTCTTTGAAGATGAGCAATAAGCAAAAGTTGCATCATTCACAACTTGTTAATCATCAGCATCCCAATCTTTCTCAACAACAAGAAATATTGAATGAAATTAACAAGCAGTCTTGTGATGAGTCTGACCTTTTCGATAACTTAGATCAATCACAGCAATTACACACAAGAATGGTATATTCATCGTCCGAAAATCCTTCATCCTTTTTAACTCAACAACAACAGGAAGAACTTAACCAACAATACCTTAATCACCAAACAATTTTGAATCCACACGATTTGAATAACAATTTTGATAATTTATTCTCACAAGAGTCTGACCATCATTCGATAAGCAATCATCATAATCCATCTCCACACATTCTCCTACCAAGTACATCCAGCATTCAGCCATCCCATGCCAATCATGGTTTGAATCAACATACCTTTAGCAACGGAATCAATGCACCATTGGATTCCTTCATGAGCAACGACATGTTAACAACCTCAACATTTATACATACTAGTTATATTCCAAATAGCACCACACAAGCTTATCCATCTTTAAATGTGCAAAAGCCGGAATCAAATGCCGACTTTTCTTTTAGACAAATGCAATTTAATAGCAATCCCCAAGGCTTACTGGTTGGTTCTTCTGATGTGTATAACGATACAAGTTCTTTCGAAAAGAGAGAGTTTGGTCCATCTCCCTTAACATTTAAAGAAAATTCTCACCTCTCCAAGACTGAAATGATGGTAAGTAGTAGTAGAAATAGTTTATTTACTAATAATTATCTGTCATTCTCATCCTCATCATCATGCTTAAATACATCATCTTTGATCATTGATTATATAACATACCTCTTCAAACATACAATATGAACTACAAAGACCAATGATTTGGTTTATAATGAACAACAAAAAGATTACTCTTTTATTTCAGATGGAGAGAGAGAGTCAAACAATGTTTCATCCAAGCAAAAACATCATCAACATACATCAGACACCTCGAATCTAGATGCAATTTCATTTTCAATAGAAGATGATTCAGCAACTGCATGTTCCTTCTCGACTCTACCAACTACATCACTCAATAATAATAATAATAATTTATTCAATAATATTCAACATCGCTCAACACCAAATATCATACAAAGATCCAGATCCCATTCCTTGCATAATCCACTAAGGAGAGATGCGAATCAAACATTTAATATCGACGGTATGGTCAACACATATATGAACAATAACAATACGAATTTGCAACAACAACAACATCTCTACTCTCCTTCCTCATCAAATTCTAGTTTTGCCTCATCACCTAATAATTGCTCTTCTATGCAACACCAATTGCCTTCTTCAACCGATGTATTAACGAACGCTCCAATCATGGACAATAGTTATCAACATACATCATCTCTTCATCCAATGAATGGCTCTCCAACAATTGCTATGGACAAAATTATTCAAAACAAAGCAAAGAGAACTATCAGAAGCAGAAGCTTTCATTCAAAGGACAAAATGGAGATTTCTGATGCAATGATGATGGATAATAATCACTCGTATCAGTATTTTGGATTTAATGCAAATAATAACAATAGTGTTACCTATTCACCAACATCCTCTGCAGGATGTAGCTCAATGGAACAATCACCTCCTCCTTCTCCTCTGGCAACATTTTTGAGTCAAATTGATATTTCTAAATTGAATCAAGAACAGTTGGCTGCTCTTCAAGTGTTGTGCATGTCAAATCAAAATAATTTAACTTCTCCAGTTTCTAATACTTATACATCATCGAATGAAGTGGTAGTTTCAAATTCTCAACAACAACGTAGATCTAGTGTTGCAAGTTACATGTCAGAAGATTCTTCAACAACTTTACCAAGAGATTCTCTCCTCAAAACAGTTCTTCAAAAACAATTACATACAAATAATGAAGTAGTAGATGAAAATCAAGCTCTTTATTCAATGATCGATAATGCACTGAGTGGTTGCAAATCATCTCTTGGTCTAAAGCTTGTTACAAATGAAACACCTGTAAATAATTTTCCAACACGTTCTAGAACTTTTTCATCTCCTCCACAATTCCAAATTACCCATAGTACCAACGTTCCTCAAGAAATTGTTAGTCCAATGAGTAGGTCTAGTGAAGAAACTGTTCCAACTATAGAGATTTCAAATAATAATACTTTTAATTTTGGTTCCTTTGGAACAGATTATGAGCAAAGTTTCGAGAATAATCAAACTTCTGTTCATCCACGACATCATTCATCACCTGCAATTAATACTTTTGTAAACAGGGTTGAGAAGCCAACAAAAACAAAGAGAAAAAGTTCGTCTGTAAGGGGATCTATCAATAATGCCAGCTCTTCAACAGGACAACTGGAACAAAATATGGTGGCTAGTGCTGTATCCGCTGTTGCCAGTAACAGTTCAAATAATTCAAAGAAGGGAAGCAGAAGGAATTCGATATCGTCAGTAGAGCAACAACCTATCGTTGCAACGAAACAAAACAAATCCCAAAACAAAAACAAGACTATCGTTTTTAACAATTACTATGACGAAATTCAATTCAAGAAAAAGTATGGACCTAATAGCACATTCTATAAATTTAAATGATTTGGCAATGATACATTAATCTTTATTTAACTCTTAGTTTAAAAGAGCAATCGAAATCATCACAAGAATTCCACATTGAATAATCGTTTTCAAGGGTTTCAGCTCTTTTTCTCATTCTCTTTAGAGATTCATCCTTACTTTCATACTTTTTACAAATATCAATAATTGAAGAAAAGTCACATTTTGACAAGGCAGATTCTACTTGAAATGAGGCATTATGTATCTCTTCCTTCTCCTCTGTTAGTAAACTAAAAATGCTTTCCAAGCTATAAACTGGGAAATGGCAATCTTCAAAACAAACATAATCAACAAAGTTACAAACGAAATTTTCCACAACTTTCTGATAGGTCTTTTCATGGATGAGAATTTTCTTTCCAACATGCTTATTCAAGAATAGAAGAGCTTTAGCAATAGGTACACTTGAACCTATTACAGTAACATTCATTCTCGATTGGCTTCCAGTATTTCCGCAAAGAATATTTTCATCAGAGGTAATGGAAGCTCTAACTTGCAAATCAGATAGATGAATTCTATTAAAATTCTCAATATTCATCATTATTTTGAGAGCTGCCCTACATGCCTTAATTTCATGATTTTCCAATGGAAGGCAATAAACATTAAATACACAAACAGCTCTATCTCCAATAAATTGGGTAATCATACCTCCCTCCTCTTTGACTGCCTTTGAAACAATCGTGAAATAATTAGTCATAAGGCATGGAAGAAAATCATCATGAATGCCATGTGAAAGCTCTGAAAAACCAACCAATTCAGTGAATAGAATAGTCATGTTCCTTTGCGCCAAATTAATCTTATCAAAAGGTCCATCCCTCTCTGTGAATGCCTTCACAACGAGTTCTGGAACATATTTGGAGAAAGTGGAGAGTCCATTTCTAATGGTAGATAATTTAGATTTCATTTCTCTAATATCCACAAAGAATGAGAACGATTTAAACGTGTTCCACATTCTTACCAATGCATTTCTGGAACTTATCTGCTTTTCATTTCCCAATTTTAGTATTGAAAGAGCTTGATTCTTAACAGCAGAGAAGGACAATCTAATATTCACAACACTAAATACTAGAAATATTGCCTGTAGAACAAATACAAGTACAAATGTTACAACAAAATCTGGAACTTGACTCGGTTGAATCAAGACTACTGATTTGTAATTTCCTACCACCACGAACCAATCAATTCCATACTTGTCACAAATTGGAGCAATTTCAACCTCAATTGCATCTGTTACTAACTTTCCATAGTTTTTAGAATTGAGTTTAAAGAAAACAGTTCCATAGGAAGTTATTTCTGATTCTGTAATATTGCTTGTCATGTTTCCACAGGGAGATGAAAGGAGAGAAAGCAAATTTCTTTCCTTTAGAACCTGATGGATAGTTGACAATAATTTGTTTTCATTGCTTTTACCAATCAAGTTATATTTCGAGTCAACTATCATGCTGTATTCCATCGCATCATTGGTTTTAAGAAGATCTGTCCCGTAATTTGAACCATTTAGAATAGTTTTTGATGCTGATTCCCATGAGAATTGAATACTCAAGACGCCAAATAAATATTGAGGACTCTTCAAATAGGGATACTTGGAAAGTTGTCCATTAGGAATGGAAATATATTTTGGATGTAACATGTTTTGAATCAAATAAGAATTATTCGATTCTTTAAAGAAACTCATCGAATAATTACTAAACACTGGAATGCTCAATGTAATCACGACCTCATCATTAAAATTAGCCCAACTGTTAGACCACATGATATCAGTAGCAGATTGATTTCCCTTATCATATGGCAAATAATATTCTCGTTTCTTTGGATAATAGGTTGAATTTCCATCATAATACGGATCTACAGAAATTCCTTTTAAATATTCATGAACATCCATCTTACTCCCAGTAGGTGCCTTTGACATTTGATTCTTACTGACATTGTAATATTTAAAATTTGTAACAATTGGATTGTACACTCTTACAACATAACCATCAACAGTTTCATTAAATTGTCTCGCAAAGTAAAAATCATCAAATCTGGCCCACCTATAAGCACCTGCTCCAATCTTTGAGTTGTAAGCAGTGTCAATACTGTCAATCATCTTAATCATTGCCAAATTATCATTCAAGTTAAATCTTTGCATTTGTTTCGAAATGTGGTTGGTCATTGAGGAAATTTGTGAAATGAATTTTTGTAACTCTGAATTAAAGTAAACTTGTAATTGTAATCTTTGATATTGTCGACTGTGTTCGAGAACATGATTCACTGACGAGTTTGTCAAGATGAAGGCCGTTCCAACTCCTATTAATCCCTGAACAATAAACATTAGAATAAAAATGTTGGTAAATGAGAAGAGTTTGATGAAGAAGGAGGAATATTTGACCTTCTTTTCTTCAGGAGGAGTCAGTTGAGTGGAGATTTGACTGGTTTCGTGATGAAGAGTTGGTTGACCAATGGTTGTAATGCATTGATGATTATATCTGGTTGTTGAAGTTTCGTCTAGAGCATGATGACCATCTAAACTCTTTGGTGTGCAAACTATTGAGGATGTTAAGGATAAATGTCCTCTTGAGTCGCCATGATTAGCTATTGGTGCTGTTAAAGATAATTGAGGTCTTCTTTCTATTCTAATTGTTTCGTATGTTGGTTTCCCAGTCATGTACGACTCTTCATTCTGTATCACAAATAGGGTTTCTGAATGAAAGGGAGATGGAACTATTGTGCTTGGTTGAATTTCCTCATCTGATAGAGTGTATGCATCGGCATAGTTTCGTTTAGTTGTGTTTGAAGAAAGAGGAGTTTCCGATATGGTTACCTCGTGTATATGTTGTTGCATTGTTTTTGATAGTTTGATGGAATTGGAGGTTTTTCAAAGCTATCTCCCTTATTGATGACTGTTGACACATTGAGGTTTGTAGTTTGTTATTATTTAGAATATTTTTATAGCTTCCATTATTTTAATGTTGTAGTAATACATTCTGAAATAATAGAACTAGAATTAGAATTAACGAGAGGCCAATCTGGTAAATATTTCTTCCAAAGTTGTTGGTGGAAGTTTTCTACATGACTTCTTATCCTGTGAAAAGAGTTGTTTACAATGCTTGACTCCAAACTCTATGATATTTTGATGTAATTTGGAGAAGAGTGGATCCTCAATATAGTCATATAGACCCTCAATTAATGAGAAGTAGTTATCAGTTGAGATTTCTAGCTTCTTGCTGCAGAGGGTAATTAGTGGCTTGATGTTGTGCATGTGGGATGCCTTCATTACACCAATCAAATGAGAAGGCTCAATGTCAATTTGTAAATCGTAGCAATATCTGATTATGTAATCAGTGGCAATAATTGATTCCTCATCATTCACATCCAGTTTGTATACATCGGTATCGAAATCAGACCAATTGCTGCTCTTGAATAGGTCTGTAAAGTATAAACTAGTAGATTCCAATATAGTCTTATGACAATAGTATGTTACTTGATCACCAACAAGTATTCTGAGATCGTGGGAAGGTTCATGATTGAATAACTTTACATATGGATTTTGAATATTTACATCTCGATCCTCATTGATTACTATACTTCTTATACTCTTACGTTTGAAAAACAATTTAAGGTAATTATCCATTCTGATATCTTTTTCGACATGTTCCGCAAAATCTTGAGTGTGTGAATAACTTCCCAGCATGTCTAGACAATATTCTCTAAACTCTCTCAATAAACTTTCTTCACTCTGAATAGAGATGTATGTTTTTTCTCTTTCAATATATTTTTCTATTGTTTCCAAGTTATCCAAAACATTTTTCAAGTTAATCATTCTCGTTAAATCCCTAATTAGACTGTTTTTCATAAATATAAGGTCAGTCTCCGTAGTACTCAATAAAAATGTACATATCATTTTCTGTTTGACATCAAATTGTCTTTCCTCTGTTTTTTCATAGAGGATTTTCTTAATAATACATTGAAGAATTGACTGTTCCTCTTCATCCAAAGACTCTATAAGTTTTTGATTATTTACAACTCGTTCATAAAAATATGGGGTGATTTGTTTTAAAGCAGGTTTGAAACAAACCACTGATGAATTCAATAGCTTATCCCTTTCACATATCTTGAGAGGTTTCAAGAATTTAAAATCACATTGCAAAAGGAGTTTTACACAATCTTGATTGTGTAAACTTCGAGCAAGATTCAGAGGCGTTCTATCCCTCTATCATTCTTATTATATTTCAAATTGAAAATACAATTACATACACTATCTTTGATAAGAGGATTTGCATTATGGTCCAACAAGAACTTTACAACAACTACCTGATTGTAATAAACTGCTCCATGAAGTGGAGTCCAATTAGCTCCAGTTGAGTTTTTATAATTTATATCAGCCTCATTCTTTACAAGAATATTCAAAATATCCAATCTTCCTTTACAACTTGCCGCATACGCTGCATTCTACAAGTACATTAATAATCCCATAATGAAAACTTACAAACTATTTCCGAGTTCAATATTTCCAATACCAATATTACTACTTACTGTCAACTTAGCATATTCAAGTTTCCAATAACCTAAATTAAACTTACTCCAACACTCTACTCGATAATTAATATTATTAAAAAACTATTTCAAATGAAATACAAACATTCTACAATACGCAAATCAATAAAACTCCACAAATACGACAAACATACATCCTTAAATAATTGAATTTCCAACCTCATTCCAAAAAACTTACATCCTTAAATAAACGTTAAATATTGAATATTCTAATTCATATGTTCATCAAAAACATACAATATGCTTTAAGAGAATACAAAATAATATTATCAATTATTTAAATATGCATTTCCATTGCAAACCTACCAATCTCTTCTCAATTATTATTATAAGTATTAAAATTGATAATGTTCCTAATACAAAGCCTTTGATCAAACTTACATTATAGTAACTATCACAAGCAACTTCATCATCCACTGATCGGATCCGAGAGGCAACACTCTCAATCGATGATGTATTACTTCCACTCGGAACTGAAAAACAAATTCTCAATAATTCCTGTACATCTAGCAATGATGTCATTTTTTTTAAATACTATTAATCGTAAATATTAACTATTTTGTAAATATTAAATACTTGTTTATTAATTTTATCTCCATGATACTTCAAATTTAATATTATTTAATATTTAATATTTAAATTTAATAATTTTAAAAAAAGCCTAAAAATGATCACGGCTTTGGAGGCTTCATCGTCAACTCCTCCAAACAATGATGATTTGCTTCAACAATCTACATCATCATCTTCATCACAAAATAATGAAAATAATATTCAGCATGATAATCAAGAGAATAATCAGTTGTCAGCATCACAAGTTGTGGATGTAAATAATAACAGTATTAATCATATTAAAATTAATAGAGAATGTGTGATACCAGATAAACTAATCAAGACGTTGGAAAATTGTGAGGGAATTGGCTTTGAACAATGTCAACAATCACTGCAAGAATTATGGAAAAGGTATCAAATTAAAAATCATTTGGAAAGACAGATAGAAAATAGTGAATTATCGTTCCATAGTTTTGAGTCACGATCATTTGGATTGACTAAATTCTATCACTTTTCGAGTAGAGGGAAGAAAGGAAATATTGGAACAAATGGTAAAAGTGGAAAAGATGGAAGATTCGGAAGCAAGTAAGTGTTAATAATTAAAGGAGAAATTTTAATGTGGAATTTAGTGGGAAAACAGGTATAATTGCTGAATTTAAAGATGAAGTGGAAAGAGAAATGATTGATAGAAGAAGATTGAATGGATGTGATGGAGAAGATGGCACAAAAGGTCAACTTGGTGGTGATGGATCTCATGGAGAAGATGCTCAAGATATTTATTTAAAATTACTCTCTAAGGATAACATGATTTCTTTGAATGGATCTTTTGAAGCTAATTTTGAAATTAACGAGAATAATTTATTTATTGTTGATGCTAGAGGTGGAAATGGTATGTAATTTTTATGAGATATTGTAAATTAACACAGTTGACTAATATATATTATATAGGTGGAAGAGGTGGAAATGGTTAGTATTGTAAATATATTAATTTCCTAATTCAATTAGGTGGACATGGAGGTAATGGAGGCAATGGAGGATCAGGAGCCAACAGTAGTTTTGGTAAAGGTGGTAATGGAGGAAACGGAGGAAATGGAGCTAAATCAGGAAAGGGGTAAGTTCAAAATGAAATTGTCAATTGATATTAATACTTGTAGTGGAAAAGGTGGCTCTTCTGGAAAGGGTGGAAATATAGTAATCGAGTCTGAACACAGTGTATGTAGAAAAATATTCTTTTCTCGTTAACCAATATTAGGAACTCTTTGTCTTTTTCAAAGCATTTTCAAGCTGTGGGAAACCAGGTGATGCTGGATTTAATGGTAGACCAGGAATTGGTGGTTTTGGTGGAGATGCTGGCTGTAATGAGATTTCCCACGCCGAGAATGGAAAACATGGTGAAAATGGTGCTGATGGAACAGCTCCTCATCCATCCAGTCCTGGAGAAATGGATGAATGTGGAAAATTTTTATTTATTGTAACTAATGAGAATGGTGAAATTGTTGAATATTCTAATTCACTGTATAATGTAATTGTGAAAGATTTTCAAATTGTTCCAGTGTTTGATGATGGAGTTTTGTCTCCAGGTGAGGAATGCTACATTACCAACATTGTAATAGAAAACAATGGTTCTCTAATGCTTCCAAATTTGAAAGCCATCCTCAAATTCCCAGGTGTTTCCAGTCATGAACTACCTTTACCTGCCATCAAACCAGGAGAATCTATTATCATCGATGAAAAATTTTATTTCAAGATTGAATCTGAACCAATAATGAAAATAGCTTCCAATGTCTCTATATTAGGAAAGGAATTTGAAAATGGTGCTCGATTAGAGAAATGTGTAGAATGTTTGCTCCCTATTAATGTTTCCTCTTTTAATTCACCACAAACAATGGGAAGAACTGAGAAGCATACATGCAGTTTTGATTTGGTCAATACTACAAACCTACCATTTAAAGCAAGTAAGAACAGACTAGCTAAAGTTAAAATAGTAATGGATGATAAGGATTTAATATGCAGTCGAACAACAGGTTACGAAGATACTAACTGTAAGCTGACACTTCACGATGGAGCCTTGGAGAAGGAGGTTGAATTGGATGTTGGAGAATCGCAAACCATTACTTTTGATATTTCGGTCTCCAGAGACGCTTCATTCTTTGTTGACAAGTGTTGGAAATTGGAAATCTACCTGAAATATGGACAAGAATATCTCCTAACACATTCCAGAAAGATGAATATTCAAATCATACCTCACTACATTATTTCAGAAAAAGCTTCAGAGTTTGATTTACTCTTTGTCATTCATCCACAAATGTCGCATAAGGAATTCTTGAGATATCAAAATATTATGGATGGACTTGGACTCAGATGCAATTATTGGGATATCAACAAGGAGAATGGTTTCAGTTTTAATCAAGCCAAAGTGAAACTTTCCTATAGATGGTTACCAGATTTTTCAGGTAAATTGATACTATTCCCCCTTATTGCTGAAGCAACATCTCGAGAAAGCTTTTCACAAATGGTAATGTCTCACACAGTTATAGAGGATGAGTTTGTCTTGGTTTCTCAAGAGGAAGACATTAGCAAGAGCATTAATGATGCTGCAAACACTGATTACGAAAGAGACCAGAAGAAGGTTTGCCAAGAATTGTTTAAATTCATAGACTACGACGATATTATGAAGCATTTGAGTAATCCAAATTCTGCATTTTTAATTTTGAATGGACCTGAAACTGAAGTTCTGATTGACTATCTCTTCACATGTGTAAAACCAATTGATATTGAAGAGGATTATTTATCAGGAATGTCAGTTTTTACTACTCCTTCAGAAGACACCTTCATTAGAAAATGCAATGATTATATTGTCAAGATGAAAGATCAATTCCCAAGTAAGATGTTCCGTCTCAATAATACATTTTTCAATAGACAAAAAAAGAGCCTTACTAAAACCAAACTAGGAGAAGCCAATTACCAAACGCTTTCTCCTCTGAAAGTCATAGATAGATTCTTTATTCTTCCAAACTTTGGATGCTTGGATGATGAGAAAATCTACCTCCACAAAACTGTCACATTTTACACGAATTCAAAATTTTTCTGCGTACTCTATGCCATACTTTGTGGATTGTCTGTACAGAAAAAGTTAGATGTCCTGAAGGCAAGTCAAGATAGTGATTCAGCAATAGCATACGCTGAAAATTGGACATTCAGATATCATGAGGACCAAAGAGAGGAATATCGTCTCATTGACCTTGTCAAGAGTACTTTATATTATGACCTTATTCAAGAATGTAAGTTTTTTTCTACTATAATGTTCAAACCTCTTTATCAAACTAGTTTTCTTTAAGGATTTGGGTTTAGGACGATTGGATGAATTGGTGAAATATGTTTCTAGTAATTTACTTGAATTTGCCTTCCAAGATGGTATCTTTATTATTTGGAATTTATTCACATTATTGGAAAAGGCCAAATTTTGGAGATCTTGGTCCAAGTTGCAATCCTTGGTAAACAAACGTACAGAACTTGTAAATATGAAGAAAGGAGTACAAACTCTATTATTCGAAGGTAAAATGGAACAATGTGTGAATTATCTGATGGAAATCAAAGAGGAAGCGGAGGCAGCTTTTGAACTCCCTCGTTTCTTCTACGTGTTTGAACACCCTCTTATGGAAATGGATGTGGCTTCAAAGATTGTGGAAGAATTTAAGGAATAAATAATTTTAACTGTTGGAACAAATTAGTTGAGGCCAAAAAAGCTGAACTTTTACGAAACGTTTAATATTTGTCAAATTAGTGCCTGCTGTTAAAAAAGTAAGCTGGAGATGCGGGGTATCGATCCCCGTACCTCTTCCATGCTAAAGAAGCGCTCTACCATGTGAGCTACACCTCCCCTTACGTTTATTTGCAATTATACCTTTATTTAACAATACTTGAATTTCATGGGAACTCAAAACCTGTTGCTGCGTATTGAAAACATATGAAACATGTCTGTTCGCTTTGGGCACGCAATATAACTCAAAATCCTTTTATTTGTTCAATGCTATTGGGTTTGTAAATGAGTCAGTTTGAAATATTATTGTGAAGATTGTGAACTAACAGTTTGACGTTTTAATAAACCCTCCATCACTCTTTACAGTTGTGAAAACTGCATATCAACGGATTAGTTTGATACAATCTTCAAACTTCAACCGAAATTTGTTGCCCACACCAGCAAAAAGGCAAGTCTCATGTTGGCGCCAATTGTGAACGTTTAACACTTTGGCGCTCATTTTTAAAAATATCAAAAAAGCGCCAACATTACAACCACAAAGTGTCACACAAGCGTATTTAACCTGCCAGGTGCCAAAAAATTATTTTCACAACAAAAAAAAACACAACACTAAATAATCTAATAGAAATGAGAGAAATCGTATCAATCAGCGTTGGTCAATGTGGTAACCAAATTGGTCAACATTTCTGGGAAACCATTCGTAATGAACATGGTTTAAATGCCGATGGTGAATTCGTCGAAACTAATCCAATTTTAAAGGAAAACTTGGGTGTCTACTTCTCTGAAAGCCAAGGAAACCGTTACGTACCAAGAAGTGTCTTGGTTGATTTAGAATCATCAGTTTTAGACACTGTTAAATCATCAAAGAGTGGTACATTGTTCCGTCCAGATAATTTCATTGCTTCTGAAGGTTCAGCTGGTAACAACTGGGCAAAGGGACATTATACTGAAGGTGCTGAATTGGCTGACCAAATTATGGATGTTTTGAGAAAGGAAGTTGAACATTGTGAATGTTTGCAAGGATTCCAATTGACTCACTCATTGGGTGGTGGTACTGGTTCTGGTTTGGGTACTTTGTTGTTATCTAAATTGAAGGAAGATTTCCCTGATAGAATGTTGGCTGCTTTCTCTGTTTTGCCATCACCAAAAATGTCTGAAACTGTTGTTGAACCATACAATGCTACTTTAAGTTTGCATCAATTGATTGAATCTGCTGATGAAGTTTTCTGTTTGGACAATGAAGCATTGTTCGATATTTGTACTAGAACCTTAAAGTTACCACAACCATCATTTGCTGATTTGAATAATTTGGTTGCTGGTGTCATGTCTGGTGTTACTTCAAGCTTGAGATTCCCAGGTCAATTGAACTCTGATTTGAGAAAGTTGGCTGTCAATTTGATTCCATTCCCAAGATTGCACTTCTTCGTTGTTGGTTCTGCTCCTTTGGCTGCTACTTCATCTCAACAATACTCTGCCTTGTCAATTGCTGAATTGACTTCACAAATGTTCAATAAGAAGAATATGATGGCTGCTTGTGATCCATCTATGGGTAAATATTTGGCTGCCAGTGCTACTTTCAGAGGTCTTAACTTGTCAACTAACGAAATTGATGAACAAATGTTGGGAATGCAAAGAAAGTATTCTCAAAACTTTGTTGAATGGATTCCAAACAATATCAAGTCATCTGTTTGTGATGTTCCTCCAGTTGGTCAAAAGGTTTCTGGTACTTTCATTGGTAACTCAACTGCTATCCAAGAAGTTTTCAAGAGAATTGGTACTCAATTCCAACAAATGTACAAGAGAAAGGCCTTCTTACACACTTACATTGATCAAGGTATGGATGAAATGGAATTCACTGAAGCTGAATCCAACTTGACTGATTTGGTTAATGAATATCAACAATACCAAGATGCCACTGTCGATGATCAAGTTGATGGTGATATTGAAGGTGAAACTGAACCACAATATGAATAAGTGTAATAATTATTACATTCTTATAATTGTATAAACTGACTCTGAGCAATAATAGCAACTAATAGAACATTCATTGTCGTGTAGGCAATGTTTAGTTCGACAACACCTAATAAATCAAATAATTAAAATTAAATAATAATATTAAATTCTTATTAATGATTTAAATCGTTCAAGAAATCTTCAAGACAATTCCTTGTCTCACAGCAACTAGTGTTGCGTGATGAGAATAATTGCAAGGGTAGAAAATCTGTCATCCTTTCTATTCCAATTTAATAATTAATTTCGATATTATCTAAAATTACTATTTCTTCATCTTGTTTTCGATCCATTCCAACACTTCCTTGTCTCCAGGCCCATTTCCGAACACACTAAAGCTAGTCAAATATCCTTCAAATATTAATTCCCTTTCATTCTCTGCCTCCCAATAAATTTGAACGGAATTCAAATTTGAAGCCTTTTCATAACAAACTTTTAAATTGTATTGCACTCTACACCTCCTAACCAAACTTTCAAAACGTTCAGTTTTATGAAGAGGTGTCTTTTGTCCTCAGCATCTAGTTGGTCCATATTCAATACGAATGGATGCCGGATTTACTGCAGCCTGTGGCAGTGATTGATCCCCTTCTTTGTCTTTAAGCATTTTTTATTAAGTTTACTGGTTAAGTATTTAATCTTTAAAACAGATGAATAATTCAAATATCAGTTAAGGCGGTTAACTGAACAACCAACAAGTTTTTAAGTTTAAAGTTTTTGTTTTTAAGTTTAAAAAAAATATGAAGAAATCAACGATAAGTAAAGTTGATGAAGGTAAAAATCAAAGGAAAGGCCTTGTGGTCGATCAGAAAAAGAAAGTCGCAGGCACAGCTTTGAAAAAGAATGAATTAGTTTCAAGTAAGATAACATACACCAAGAGGGAAGAGACAAAGCCACGAGTCTCAAAGATTGTTGGTGATACGAGGAAGGCATCGGTCGTTAAAAAGAGTTCTACAATGGGAGTGTTTGAAATTTTCAAAACATCCTTTATTCCTTCTGATATTGTTTTATATATTTTCGATTTTTTGGGAGGAGATTTCATGTCGAGTGCAACATCAGAGAGAGGAATTTTCAATTTGAAAACGTTTATGAGAACTTGGTATGGAAGATTTAAGGTAGATACTCAAGTCAAATTCTTATTTAGATATGGAATTGTGGATGCAAAAGTATTGTCGTTATATTGTCATTCAGAGTTGCTGCTCCTATTGAGACATCAGTTTATTACTAATAATGAAATGTTGGAAACAAGATTAGTCAACAAGTTGTGTGAATGTAAAGCAGATGTTCAATCTCAAAAGGAAGCATTGAGGAGACTGTCAAAACTCAAACGATACCATTCTGATTTGTGTGGAGTTTTTAAGAGATTGGATATAATTGGAGTTAAAAGTGCAAGTGTAGTTTTAGAGAAAGTGTTTGACATTTTTAACAATGTGGAAATTCTTCGAATTGGATCATATCCTGCCTATCCTGTTAAATATGCAAGTTGAACTTCCTTTCAACTCTGAAAATATTGGAAAAATGTTAGCAAAAACAAATAAGAAAATTAAGGAAGTATTTTATGTAGGAGATGTTCCAATTATCACGAAAGAATTTGTAGAGAACACTCCTCAATTGGAAAAACTGTACATAGAAGGAAGCATATCTGTGAAATATATCTCGAATATTAACAATTGGAAAGAACTCAAGACCTTTAAAACATGTTTTAATGACTACATTTGGAATCACCAAAAAGAAGTCGAAAATTTAGAGTTCTTCAAATCTCTCTCGAAGTGCAATAATTTGACATCATTAGCATTTGAAAATGAGGACATATCAAGCTGGGAATTTAAGGAGCTTTTCAACAAATTGCCAAATTTGACCGAATTACAATTGGTTCAAATAGAAACGGATCTTTCAATGTTTCAAACAATAGGATCATTTACCAATCTCAAAAATCTTTCGTGTAATTGGAGTGCGAAAGATTCAATACCATTCATTTCACCTCTTCGAAAATTGGAACGACTTCAAATTGCTGAAGTTACAGACTCAAATGTTTCGTTCATTTGTGAGCTTCCACGCATCAAAGAGCTTGAAATACTTGGTTCTCCAGAGCTCACAGATGTTGGTGCACTGAAAATAGCTAATCTTAAAGAACTGGAGTCCATTCGATTTGAAGGCTATCAATGTACTCACCATCTTGTTGAGGAAATTTGCAACTCTTGCACTAAACTCAAGAAAGTTGCAATCTTACTTTCGGTACCAGAAAGAGATAAAATACCAACACATATTCTCGAAACCTTCTTCGAGTGGCAAAACTAGATTATTCTGAATGATGTGGATGCACTAACTACTTGTTAATTGATCTAGTATTTGTATGAAATAATCCAAACCAAGAGAAGTAAGAGTGAATTAAGTAAATTTCTTTTCATTATTTAATATTCTTTTATTAAGTTCAGCCATTAAACAAGTAAGTCTTAATAATTTTTTATTGAGATTTTTGGGGAGTGATATGTAGCCCGTCTAGCTCAGTCGGTAGAGCGCAAGGCTCTTAACCTTGTGGTCGTGGGTTCGACCCCCACGGTGGGCGATTCTGTTTTATATTTCTAGTTATTTGTATCTAGATATTCCTTTTTAATTCCCTTTATCCTGAGTACTGGATATCTTATTTCCTAATTATTGATCATAATTGTAAAGGATTGTTACGATTATTACATGCGATCTCCTCCTATTGATCATGACGACATTTTTTTTAATTTTTAATTTAAATTGTAATCTTTCCAGGTCATCATAATTTAACTTGGTTCAGCAAAGAGAGAATTAAAAAAAATGAAATTACAAGATTTGGATGATGATTTATTTCCTCTCATCTATTCGTTTATTTATCAGCTTCCGTTGCGTGCCAGTACAAATTTTAAAGATGAATTTGATCAAGATAATGACCAGCACGGAATAAGCCTTGCATTTCCACATACTTGTTCGAAAATTCTTAGATCAATGGACAAGCATAATCCATTCCAATTTGACAAATTTATTCAATTTTATTGTCTTGGCATACGAAATGGACGTTTTGAAAAATTGCAAGAGCAATTCATCAATATTGAAAACGATGATTTGAGTGAAGTTTTGCCAATTGTGTTTTATTTGAATTTTCCAGAGTTGACTTTTCTTGAACACTTAAAATTTGAGAGAGATTTAGTACTAATGGAACGTAAATTCCGAAGGTTATTTAAAGTTAACAGAAATGAATATGAAGACTTCTTTTTTAAAATTGACAGAATTATTGAAATGGTTTCAGCTTTCATAAATATAATCAAGAAAAAGGTAAACGTAGAGGAATTATCACAGGGTACAGAAAAAATCATTAGTGTTGACACGTTGAATATTCCAGTTTCTAGTCTCCTTTCAGTGGTATCGGATGTAGACAGGGTTATAAATCAGTGCATGAGAATATTTCATTGGAAAGCTTACTATGAAACCTATTTTGAGGAACAATACTTGAAAATACCAAATGAGCTTGTACTTGTTTCTAAAAAGTATACCGATTGTGAGAGAATTATTTCAATACTGAAAAGTGATAATGATTATTTTCTTGGCTCTATTGAAGAGCTTTACCAATTATTTTCAACTATTGATTGCTACTATTGTGACAAGCTTGCAGCAATAATTTGTTTCAGTTTTTTCAGACAGAAAAAGGATTGTTATGAAATGTCAAGCAATAATGTTTTAAAGGAGAAACTTTTAAGATATTTAGTGTATTATGGAATGCATAATGTACCTACAATAGTGACAGACTGTGGTGAAACTCTCCTAAACGATGAGGAAATTGTTAGACGATTGATTTATTCAACTCCTGACGCCTACTCGTTAATCGATGAGAAATTTCAAAAGGATGCTACAATTGTTGCAACATGCATTTATCAAAGCGTTCAATCTATAAGTGGAGTATCAAATGTTCCTATTGGACAGAAATTAGTAGTTGACTTTTTTACAAACAATCTTGACGAGTTCTACTATGCTATGGAAACTATTTCTTCAAGGGAGTTATATGTAATTAACTCAATTATTTCTTCATTTGTGGAACTATCACATCCAACTCTTTCCAAGAAGATTCACTTTTTCTATGAAAAGAGATTCTTGAAAGCATGGTATTTGCTGACTGAAAAAGAATGGAAAACAAGTTATTTTTCATCTCAAAAGAGAAGATTTATTGCAATGTTAAGAACTGGTTTTGAACCGATTGACCTTTATAAGAGAGAAATTTTAAAGGATGATATTTCCACCATTGATAGTCTTTCAGAGATAATTGGAATTCGACTCTAAATACATATTCGATTATTAACGTGTTAGGGAAAATGGAATTGTTATTGTAAAGCCTCCCAACAAAAGAAAAAGTAAGCTGGAGATGCGGGGTATCGATCCCCGTACCTCTTCCATGCTAAAGAAGCGCTCTACCATGTGAGCTACATCCCCTTACATTCATTTTGAATTATACCTTTATTTAACAATACTTGAAATTAATTCATTTTACAACATCTAAACAACATAAAATCTTTACCACCAAACCAATCATAAACCAGGCCTTAGCTCTTCTAATAATTTGAAAACGAGTATTGTAAATATTGACATCTTTCTTTGGTCTCTTCATCAAATTAAGAACTTCAGTCAACGCACAAAAAAAATGAAAACAAGTTCATCATCATTTATTTCTCTCATCATCGGAGGATGCTTGTTATTTTTGATCAGTGTGGTGGCTCTCTTTTCTATTTTATATTTTCATGACTCTTCTTTTGTACAATTTATTCATGAATTTTCTTCTACTAATGAGATTATTGGAAAGATATTTTCATCAAATAATAATTTACAATCTTATCGATTGAAACTCTTGGAAAAGGATTGGAAAATTCATCAAGAATTGAAAAGAAAAAAAATTGGAGATGAACAATTAATGAAAGTTTCGTCAAGTTTAGATACACAACTTGAAAAGCCCTTCTATATAACTGAACCTGTTATAAAGATATTTTCAGAAGGAAAGATGGAACAGAAATGTAAAGAATTGTCGAACAAAAATTACAAATGGATGGCAGATAACTATGAAAAGATTAAGAAGAAACCACTGAATAGAATTAAAATTCCTGGAACTCACGATTCATTTACAAATTCCATTAATTTTAGAAATAATGATTCTGCACTAATGTTTGCAAATGATTCACCATCTGAAATGTGGAAAGTCTTTTCAGTGCCGTTTATTCCAAAAACTTTCATGTTAATGATGTTGGTTCCTTGGGCAAATACTCAAAGTTGTACTGCCACGGAACAACTCAATCACGGAATAAGATATTTTGATGTTAGAATATGTAAAGATGATAGAGAATCGTTGGATAATCAATTCAAAATTTGCCATAATTTCTATGCTGGAAAAATTATGGACATTTTGAGTGAAGTGAGAGATTTTGTAATCAATGTAGCTCCATCTGAGTTTATCATTTTGGATTTCAATCACTTTTATGGACTTTCTCAAAAGGATCACGATTATTTATTGTCGAAGATAATTACTCAGGTTGGAGATGTCATGATCAAACCATCTCAGTTTAAATTGAATTCTACATTGGAAAGTATGTGGGCTAATACCACTAGAAGAGTTTTTATTTTTTACAATGATAACTACTTGAAAGCTACGAGTCCTGATATTGCCGAATATTTCCACACCAATGACGATATTGAATATACTTGGGGAGACACTCTCAATATCAACTATCTCAATGAATACAATCTCCGCAAGCTAAAGCAAAGATCTGAATCAAAAGATGATATTTCAAATACTCTCCTCAGTCTCCAACTAGTTCTAACACCCAACATTGGAACGATTGTTCAGGGATTCTTCAATCGACCTTATTCCATTCTCGATATTACTCAACCAATGATAAGTCCCATTCAACAATGGATTCCTAGTTATGACCAATCCCTCCTCAATATCATTACCTGTGATTACTATCACTTGTATAATTTTACTGATATTGTCATTCAAAGCAATACTTAATACCTTCCATATTTGTAAATATCAAACTCTTTACCACCAAAACTGCCATTACACAACAAGCCCACTCAGTGCACTGATCAAATAAATGATGAGGATTATTCTAATTATCAGTAATAAACTCCAGTAAAACCAAAATCATTACAGATATCAACACAACAAAAAATGTCTGTAAATGATTCTCATCATTATAATGGTGTTGATGAAATAAACGTAAAGAGAAAGGTGGAGTCGACGAGAAGCAGATATAAACAGCAGGAGAAGACTAGCCACCGACAAGAAGAAGAACACAACTCACCATCTTCGATGAATGTGTTTTGCAAAATAGTGACCATACTGTTGATGATTTACATGACCATTATCATGGTCTTGGTCTTGATGGACACACTCTATTCTAATAACGTGCACACTAGTGGCCATGATGTGAAATTATTTCATGATAATAATTATTTAAATAATGTTGATGAATCGGAGTTTGATGTTCCAACTCTTGAGGATGAACAGATATCATTATTAAATAATAGAAGAAAATCACAGTTGGGATCTATGAGTAGAAAAACAAGAACAATTAATTCAATGAGTCATAATTCACTGCACTGGAAGAATTGTTCATATAATTTGAATTATACAGAGACAACGAGAAGAAATTCGGATGAGTATTATAATTATTTCAATGATGGAATGATGGCTCCAGTGATTGGTAAAATAGAATGTCAGGAAATTAGGTTTTTTCAAAGTTATTCAAACTTTAAAATTTCTTTTTTTGGAATGTTTTATAGTAAGGTGGTTTCGTTTATTGATCAAGTGAATATGAATTTATTTACTCAGGATAGCCATTTATTTTATCCAATTACGTCAACCTATCAAGTAATTACTGTGGAAGAGGACAATTATATTAATATTTGTGGAGATGTTTCAAAACTAGTTTCAAAATTAACTAGAAATGGACAAGAACACTTATTACATTTATATCCTAGTTTAAATTTCACTTCATGTGAAAATTTATTTTGTAATGTGAATGAATCATTGTATGATCCATTCAATTTGTATTTTAGAGCTCAGAATTATTCACAAATTTATCAAAATGCTGAACAGAGAACATTCCTGTATAGAGATCTTCATATTTTATCAATTCTTACCAACAGATGTCAATATTGTAAATCAGAATCTCAATTTAGAACTCGAGTCCAAAAACAAGAATGTCCATTTATGGTAAATTATCCAGCTCGTTCTGCAGAAAGAAATTGCTTGGGGAAGAATGGATTCTCTGTATTTTATCCATATATGTCTCTGGATCAATATTTACAGACCACTGGTAATCCATTCATGTGTTATTGTTATGAAAATAACATTTACTCAAGTAGATGTGACAGTATTCACATATTTATCTATCCAATTTATAGAGTAATTATGAATCCATATTTAGAATTGGGCATTGAAATTGTATTATTTATTGTAATTACTTTTGTACTTGTATTACCATTAGTGAGGGATTTCGTTAGGAGAGGAAAATATGCTTTTAAAGATTTTGATATGATTTTGAGAGCTCTCTCAGTAATTCCTTTCTGGATCTTTAGACTTTCTTACTGTATCATTAAATTGACAGATGGATTTTCAGAACCTGCACAAGATGACAAGTCCAGTAGATTTGTCAAAACCTTAATTTCCATAGCGATGGACACTATTGGATTCGATTATGTTTTCATTCCTCTGGTAATCAAGTGGAATCAAACCTATCAAAAAATCAAACTTTATACCAAGCAAAATGCAGATTTGAGTAGAAAGAAAACCTATTTGAGCTCAATAATCATGCTCATTTTCTACTATACCATTACAATTGGATGTGGATTGGTAATTATATTAAGTGCAATTTTATTGAACTATATACCTCATATATTTGATGAAGATGGGTCAGGCGCTGAAGGGTTGATTGTAATGATACTGGTCTTGATTGCAACACCAATCATAATTACATTAATGGGATTCTTTGTCTTGTCTGTTCTCATTCAAAGAAAATTGAAACAAGCTTCAGATGTCTCATTTGTGAGCACTAATTATCTTGCCACTTCGATTACTTATGCAATTGTTTCAATGGCTCAATTCATTCCAACACTTATCTCTGCATTGACATTATATTTTGGTTACGATAGTATTTTAGCAGCTCTGTACTTTTTCTCATCCACTACAATGCAAATCACAACTGATGCATTGGAAATTTATGTGATTTTCCTATTGGCAGATAAGATTTCATTGAAGGAATTCTATTATGATACCATTTGGTTGAAAGTACTTTCTCCAATAATTGAAAAATGTTTCAAGAAGAAAATTACAGTGGTTGAAAATGGAAATTCGACCACAACCACTAGTGGAGAACCATCTGATGAACAATATTCTGGAGTTTATTATTCCAAAATGGAATAATGTTAAAAAAACAAAGTAAACACCAAGATTGATTTTGTTTCAAAAGAAAGTGTCAATTTCAGTTTCTCAAAACCAAGGTGATTTGGGAAGATTGTTTCAAAATATTATCCAATTATTCCAAATCCATTCCACAATTAGGTTAAGCCATGATTTTGAACCGAAAACTAAGTTTCATAAATTCTATCTTCACAATAACCTCAATCAAAAAGAACATGAATCAATAGAATTTTAAACTACAGTTGGCAACAATAAATTAAATCTACAAAGATGACCAATCTACTTGTTGTCATCCTCCAATTCGAAAGTATAAGGTACCCCAAACTGAAGTGCCTTATTTCTATCGGAAGGATTGAAATAAGATGAAATGAGAGAAAAATCAGTTTCCTTCCTCACATGCAAATACCACATGTAATGCGATCCAGCAGATGGATGCGCAGAGTAATGATCAAGCATCACTCCATGACTATCCACCACTACATATCTTTCAAAAAAGCACTGAATCATTCTAATAGTTCCATGTGTGGCTCTTCTTCTATAAAACGATTCATATACATCAATAGTTGATCCTTTAAATGTATCATCCTTAGTATAATCCTTATTCACTGCCTTTGTATTAAAATAGGATGGGAGTGTTTCCATTAGCCCCTTAGAAAACCACATTAACACTCCTCTATCATTAGTTAGTGCAGCATTTACATTCACTCCATCCAATGTTGAAATTAATGGTCTAAAACATGGCTCCACATGTTGCATGGCATAATTTGATGATGGTGACCTACTTGAATCATGTTTATGATTTGGAAATGAATAACCTCCTCTCCCTCTCGTTGTATAATCAGCAGTATTAATTGATTCATGTACAGATGCATCGAACGAGTGTTCATTATCCAAATTATTATATTGAGATGTATCCAATTCTGATTTTTCATTATTCCATCCACTACTACTTGATGATGCTGTATTTGATATTCCATTACATGAGTGCTTATTAGCATCAACATGCGAAGATTGCATAAATTGATTATTATTCACAACATTTCCAAAAGCATGGTCAAATGATTCATGTAATGATGTATTGCAAAGATTGTTAGCATGTTGCTGATGACCTACTTGTTGTTGCTGAGGAGAAATATGCATGTTAGTAGTCATTGAAATTGGATCTCCATTATTGGATTCACACATTGTACGATGAAGGTTGTTATTGAAGGATGTGGATGGAGCAGTGAACGAATTAGAACTCGCATTATGAATAGGCATCATCATATCCATGTTGCTATTGTTGTTGTGCTGCATGTTCAACTCAACATCTCTAATAACATGTTGTTGTGATGGAGAAATAACAGGTTTTGATGGTTGTTGTTGTTGTGGAGAAACATATGAGGATGATGTATGTACATGATGATTAGGAAGAGATGATACCGAAGACGATGATGCCAATGTACTACTTGAAGGTGGTGAAGATGTTGATGATGTTGATGATGAAGGAATCAACATGATTTCAAAGTTGTTATTAAAGTTAAAAGTAGTAGGATTACCAGTTGAAGAAGAAGCAGTATTAATATTAATAATATCATTCTGATCATAATCCAGTGTTGGATCAACATCAATATTTGCATCATCTATAATGACAGTAGCACCTTCAGCAATACCACTCAATTCTTCCTTGATAATAACATCCATCTCTCCTTCAACATCTTCCAATTGTTTCCTACTCTTCATGTATTGATCGTGGAGGGTTGTTAATTGTTGTTGGAGTTGATTTTGTCGTTTTGAGAGGCTTTTCATTCTTCGGTAGGGCCATCGTTTAATACCTAATTGTCTACATGTTCTCTTCAGAACAGAGGAGCAACATCCCAACTTGATAGCAGCCTCTTCCAATGGTAGATGAAAGTATTGCTGTATTTGCTCCTTATTGATTTGAAATTTCATTATGTATTAAAATAATTGTTATGATGATGATGATTAAAGATGATGATACAAGGATACAATAGTAGGTCGGTTTGTGTTGTGGTGTGCTTAATTGTGTTTTCGACTTGATTTTTCAATATATGTCAAACAACAACAACAGAAATTGTCGATTTACAAATTGAGAGAGATGGTCGACAAGAAGAGTAATATATTATGGAGAGAAGACACAAGTTATCCACACATCAAGCAAACGGAGAGCTTGTAAAAAAGATAGACCTATTTGGATATTGTGTTGTGTTGGAAATAAACTTCAAAGTTTGAGAGTTAGTTGATTTAGCTAGAGTGAATCTAGGCACTTTTTCAAAGTATTCTCACTGTTGGAGATTTAAGTGTTGTGACCTTGTTGTTTTGAGTTGAAAAAAGGCAAACAAGTGGAAATAAAGAAAAAAAGGCATCCGCAGTAATACTGAAGAATCTTTTCACACTTGAAGTTGTTTAATCTCCGCATCTCTCCATTCGAAGTTAGAACGGGATGCCACTTTTATGGATTTTGTCAATTTGAGTAAATAAAGAGATGTTTTTTATAAAAGAGACATGAAAATTATAGTTCAAATTAGAGAGATGGATGTTTCAGAATGGTGGTGTTACAGTACTTAATAGTGTTGTATATTATTAATATTAATTATTTAATGACTAGGTAATAAGACCTTGTTTTGAATGAAGGAGGACAGTAATTTGGCCATCTTCTCATCTCCTTGAACATTTGGATGAGATGCACAACCAATGTCGGTATTTTGATTCAATAAATTATGCATTGAAAGGAAATAGAGTGAGTTTTGAGGAAATTGAGGAGCTGCTTGATTTGAAACTCTTTCAGTGTAATTTTCCCAACAATCGAACTCTAATGGGCCACAAACAAGAACTACTTTAAGGTCAGGCTTTTTGGCAAGGTATTTTCCATAAACAAAGTTCAATAAATTAATATATCCACCATAATATTGTTCATAGGAAGGTCTAGGTGCAGTTGAGAAATCATTGCCACCCAGAGTAATAACAACGAGACTTGGAATGTAGTCTGTAAAGTTCCAATTGGAAATGTTTTGATTGGCAACAGTTCGTGGATAATAAACTGGATAAGGATCCTTAGATGTGGATGAAGGATCTGCATAATTTCTAACCACTCCTTTTCCACTGCAAAAACATTTTACATTCAATATTGAAAACATATCCACCATGTATGAGATTAAGGCATGTCGTCATTATAACAAGAATATTAGATGGTTACTAATTTATGAATTAATTTAAACTAACCTGTAACATTCGACATGATACTCATCAGCTTGTAAATACTGAGCTGTCTTGACAACAAAGCTTTGATGAACATCTTGAGTGGTTACACTATATCCACATGGTGGCTTTCCAAGATTTCCTAAAGAATGAAAATTGTAAAGTGACCATATTAATTAAATGATTACAAACCATATGCACAAGAAAGAGAATCGCCAAGAAACTCAACAATTAATTTCCCATTTGAACCTTTTGTTTGACTTGTTTCTTGTTCAACTAATTGAACATCCAAAGTACTTATTAATTGTACATCAGATAATGTAACAGTTCCAAGGAAGGCCTCAGTTCTCTTTTCAAATTCAAAAACGAATAATGCCTCTGGATCACCAAGGAATGTAAATCTAACAGTATACTGCTTTGGAATTGGTGATGAAATAGTTGTCAAAATCTGATTGGAAACTAATTTTCTTGGACCATTTTCAGTTTCCTTCCACAAGTAAACATTATACAAATTTCCAACATCGTGCATTGTGAGTTGAACTTTAATATCCAAAACTTGTTCACTATCCATTCTAAAAGCAGAGGTAATACTCACACCCGACCAATCGAATACGACAGGAAGTGTTTGATTCGTGATCGGAAGCACTCTCCCATGTTTGAAAATAATATTCTGATTGAGTGATGTTGTTTGTATCTCTCCGAAAAGTGGTTTGGCAAAGCTGTTGTGAATTATAGACAAGGTAAAGAAGCTGCTGATAACAACAATAAATAAATAAAATCTGAGAGGAGCTTTCCAGTTGAGCATTTTTTTTTTGAACGGATATCGGATTTTTATGTTAACTATTTGGGTCATTGTAATGCTGGTGATGAACATTGGTTTTACTGAAATTTTAATGTTACTGTTCGAAAGTTAAAATATTATTGGGAAAGTTTTATTATGCAATCGGATTGGGACCACTTAGATTAGAACAACATTATGGAATACTCAATATGAGAAAATCACTCCAGCTTATTGGATCAAAAAATAAATGCATTGTAATGATACTTCACAAATATCAACTAAACAACACAACAAAATTCATGTAGCATTAAAATTCATCCAATTGATCGTTCTTTAAAATGCACTCATCACTCAATTATTATCCATTTATCACTTTTGAAAATGCACCACAGGTTTTGCATAAATACATCTTGTGGGAATCAAATCAACAAGGATGAACTTTGAAAAAAAAATGTCTCACCAAGAAGAACAAACAACTTCATCTGGAGTTGTATTTCGTATTGAAAAGCAAAAGATGGTCCAAGTGGAGTCTCCATTGGATTCATCAATCATGAATATAATTTCCATGCAGCTGAGAATGGAAGGTCAAAATGTGGAAGAATTATCATCAAAGAGAGGTAAATTGCTGGTCATTGCTCTTGATCGTTCGGGATCAATGAGTGGATCTGCCATCTCTGAAGCAAAATTGGCACTGGAATCACTCTTGACAAATATTGATGGTCACAATGAGAGAGTACTATTCATTCCTTATGATACAAGTGCTGAATTGATTGACATGTCAAGAATGTCACTTACTGAAAAGTTAAATCAAGTTCAAAGAGTGCATGCAGGAGGTGGTACTGATTTTGCATGTGTATTTGATGCTATTAGATTATTTACTGGTGCGTTGGATGGACAAATTGCTATCGTGTTCTTTACTGATGGTCAAGATGGTTATAATGGCAATAGAGAAACTGCAATTGACATGATGAAGAAGAGATTAACAACTGAGAGTGAATCGTTTGAGTTCCATACAATTGGTTTTTCATCAGGACACGATGCAAGATTATTGACAGATATGACAAGATTGGGATCAGCTCAAGGTACTTTCCAATATGCTGAATCTGCTTCTTCTATTTCAACTTGTGTTAATTGTTTAACTGAACTTGTAAAGGGAAGTTCTTTGACTTGTAATTTAATTGTCAAGGATAAGGAAGGAATTGAAATTTTGAAGGAAAGGATTAATTTGGAAAATGATGATGGATTAATAACTTTCCAATCTTTCATTAATATTGAACTGGCTCCAGAATCTCAAATTTACCTAGAATTCGAAAATACAACTGTACCTGTATCGTTAGAAGCATTCGAAAGAAGCGAACCATCATCAATAGAAAAGCTCTCCTTACAAATCAAGTCAATTGAAAGATTTTTGATTGAAGCTGCTGGAACCATCTCAAGCGAAACTACTTCATTGGAGGAGATTCACACCAAGGGAAAGACTATTGAAGAAAAGCTGGAATCTATTAGTTCAGACATTAGAAAGAATCGTGACAGATCTGTTAGAAGAGCTCTTTTCCAATTGATTGAACCTATCTTTGATTCATTGGCGAATTTCAACAAGGTTTTAGCTGAATCTATGGTTGGAACTCTTTCCAATGAAAAGATTGCCAACCTCAATTCTTTAGCTTACAGATCTATTACCAAGAGAAGTTTACAAAAGAAGTTGGATCAAAGAGCTCAAAACAATGTTGAATTGTTCGAAAAGGCAGAAGAAATAATCAAAAATTCTGTAGATACTATGAATTTTGAAGAAATTAAGGGAAAGTACTCCAAGCAAGCAGATGAAATAGGACCATGTTTTTACACATGTTGTAATTGGATCGATCTCTTGCAAGATAAGGACTGTTTATGTTTGGGATTACAGGTCAATCGTCCTCAAACAGCTATTGCTGATTCTAGCAAGGTTCAAATTAGTTCAGTTTCCACATCTCTTATGTCAGCGGAATCTTTCCTTGACTCAGTTACCTTCTCTATTGGAAGTGCTTATAATGTAGAAAGTTCTCATGGTGGTTTCAAGGATGTTCGAGTCAATGAACAACATAATCCAAATGAAGCTAAGATTATTTCTGGTGCTTCAAGAGAAAGCATCAATGCAGTTCTTCCATTGTTTATCAGCGAAGAACATTGGAAGGTTTCCAGACAAAAGATGAAGCCAATTTTGGGATTTATTGCAACATTGGATATTATGGGATATGCTTTCGAACAATTCAAGACTATTCCATTCTTGGTTCTCAATAAGTTATTACAAGAAAGTTCAGAATCTGAACTCACAGAATTCCAAAGTATGAGATTAAACCTTGTTATGGACACTTGTTTACAAATTGTAAAAGAATGCTCATCTGAACACATGCAAGAAAAGATGTCTGAAACATTGTTAAAGCTCTTAACTGATTACAATACCAAGCCAGAAACCAGAACTGTAGACGTTATTCCAAATAATGAAGTATTCCTAGCCCAATTAATCTGTGCCCAAAAGCTGGGATATGTTGATGTAAACTCTGTGGACATGGGATTATTCTTCAAGAATATTGCTGAAGAAGAATTGAGAAGAAAGGGTGGATTCTCATTGAATTTAGATGAAGTTACTGTTGATTTGTGGTTCTCATTACTTGGTATCGACACTAACAAGATGATTACTGAATTTGTAGAAATCAAGAAGGAAAAGTATCGTGAAATGATTAACAACAGTTCATCTCAAGAAACTCACTATGGAGAAACTATTAGAAGCATGTTGGGAATTTCAAATACTCCTGTTGTTTCAACTGAATCGTCTGGAACCACATCAACTGAAACTGTTAAGGAAACTGTTAATGAAAACCAAGACATTGAAGATTATATTTTGAATTTAACAGAGCTCACACCAAAGGCTGAAGAATTGTATACAAAGCTTTCTGAGGTTTTCCAAAAGAGAATTCAAAAGTACCTTGTAAAGATCAATAACTGGATGGGACAACAAAATGAAATTGTTTTGGATATTGATAATTCAGCCAAGATCTGCCTCCTTATTCAAACCATTAATCATCAAAAGAATGCTAATAGAAGAGAGGCTATCCAAAGAAATGAATACATTTCACCATTCTCATCCACCCAAGAGGAACGTACTAACTATTTGAGAAAAATTGTTCTAGAACATGTACAAAACAAGAGAAACGGACTCTATGCAAACTTTATCTCAGAAATGAACTCTTGTAGTGTGGCCAGAGTTGCCTCTCTCTTTGCTTCCACTTCTGATATTTATGAAGCTGCTGGTATGATTTTTGGAAGAAAGAGAGGTCAGGGTGATGCTATGGCATTCTCTCGAGCATTATATTCACCAAATATTCCACTTTTCAAGGAAAAGGTCAAGATGCTTCTGGAGGGTGAATTCCAAGGTATTACATTGTTTACTGATTCAGTAACTAACCACACATGGGTTCCTGCCAGACACCATATTTTCAGATTGTGGTTCAATCATGAAAATGATATGACCACACAAGAGTGGGTTGATCTTAGTGGTAGACCAGAGGCTTATTTCTTATCAATTCACCACTTCCACAAGGTGTTGAATAAGAATGATAATGTCCATTTATAGAATGGAATAATAAATAGTAACACTATTTTGTGGAATTGATTATACATCTTGTTTGTCTGGTTTTTCCAGTACAAAATACTTAAGTGACCAAACAACAAAGCTTCTTCTTGATATTCCAATATTTATCTTAGGCTTCAACAATCAAAATGAAAACAAACATCACTTAGGTAAGCTATTTGAAGCAATGTTGATAGTCTAGGGAATAAATGTGAAATATAATCATACTTGACTAGAATTGCAGAGTGAAAATCACCGTTACTCATTTGAATTGGGGTTTTGCTTTCCAATTCAAATTCTGTCAAGCATTTAAAACTTTTGATAATGTCATCTGATTTGAAATAACCTGTTATGTATATCTTATTGTCCATGGAAAGAGCAAAAGTGGAATAACCTCCACATACTACTGATGAAACTAACCCACTGTAACCTGGAATATTACTGGCATTATTGGAAAGACAATCAGTCAAGTTAATCTTGACAGGTGTATAAACAGTGTGCAAATCCTTAGCTGATAATTGATGACAATTATTATATCCAAATGCATATAAATGATTTGATTCGGTGATAGCACAAACAAAGAACATTCCACATGAGAAGGAAATACACTTTTCTTTCATAAATTCTTTTGATCCACTACCAACCCGACATATTTCATGATTTTCTCTTTCGATATCCTCCCCCAAACCAAAACATCCATAAGAATGGTTTCCAAATCCATACAATTTCCCTTCACTAGTTCTGAAGATTGTAGAGTTATCGTTTGAATGTATTTCAATAATTTCACAATTAGAATTTGGATCTAATGATAATAACTGGCTCTCATAGTCTATCATGGCCATGAATTGAGGTTTTGAAGAGCCAATTCCACATTGTCCCGAATAATTAACTCCACTTGCAAACATCTTGTTATCATCTGTAATACAAATGCTAAAATCAGTTCCTGTTTCAATATTCATAATTAATTAATATAAAAACAATTCCAACAATTACCTGAAGAAGCAAGTTTAAACTTTGGATTTCCAGCGTTTGGAATTGATAATTTTGTAACTTCTTCCAAATCAGAAAATGATTTCTTTGAATTTGTGTACATTTGCATTCTTCCATTATGTCCACATCCATAAATATCATTATTATAGGTCAAAAACAGATTATGAGATGAAGAGGAAATTATATCTCTAACTGGAATTTCATTTCCATCAATAATTAGATAAGGTTCTTTCAAATAACCATTATCAACAAATTCCGATGGAGCATATTTAGCACCACTAGGAATTGAATTTGGACCTAAAGCATAGACGGATGAATTATCTATGCAATTCCATAATTTCATCGGTTTATGTATGAAAGAAAAATTACCTGTAATAAGGAATAGTACTAGTCCAAAAGCACAAACAACCTTCGTCACGTTGATCTTTCTTCTTCTCAATTCTTTGTTTAATTTCACTCCGATATCATGATCATTGTCATCCGATTCCAATTTCATCATTGTTTGCCTTAATGATTCGGCAGATGTGAGATTACACCCCTCCGAGTAGCCATAATATGGGTGTAATAAGTGAAGCATTTTTCTTATTTTTTATAACATTTAAATATTAATATTTATGTATTAAGGCTCAATATTAATTAAAAAATAATAACTTTAATTATAGAAATGCTTCATTTATCAGTTTCCATCTTATTTTCAATAACAAATTTAAATTCTTTATTTGTAAAAGTAGGAAATACTGTTTTACATGCAGATTTTGTGAATGAACAGTACTGTTCTAATTTCGGGAAATAGTACTTGATAGAATACTTTTCATCAACGCCTTTGCATTCTAGTTCCTCTTCGAAACAATTGATCCATTTGTAATAGTTGGTAAGTTCAATTGTTTGATAGATGGCATGTGTAGCACCTTTAAAGGTTAGCACAATAAAAACAGTTTCGTTTAGAATTAGATTTGGGTGTCTTTGAAGGCGTTCCATTAGTTCGCAAACAGCTGATTTTACCTCAAAGTTTGGAATCCTCAAACGTATCACATCGTCGTCATTCTCATTGGGTTGCTCAAGATGAAATAGTTTGGTCTTTGAATTAGATCCTGTTAAATATCCAGCATAATACATCATCTGCCAAAAGAGTGAGGTTTTTTCTCTTGAGCATTCTAAAGAAAGGGCCTTATAGTCAACACTTGAAGAGAATTTTTTCCTTATCTCCTTTCCATTGATTAACAATTCAAGATCACCAATAACATCGACACAAGATGAGTTGATTAACATTGCAAGTTCATCAATCGATCCTGTTTTAATCCAATAATAATCAGTTCTACCAAACGAGAAATAACAACTCAGCGACCAAACATTGAACAGAAATTTGGGAGTATTGTTAACATCATAGCCATTGTACCATGATTTCAATTTGGTAAGCTCAAGACTAACATCTTCTCCATGTCTTAAAGTAGTAAGAAATTGGCATAGCTCATTTTCAGTAACTCCAAAATCTTCACTAAAGTAATTGTCTTTATCCAGAGAGTAAGCAACTAAATTATTCATTCCAGACAGGTATCCTTTATCTTTCAATAAAATCACCCCACTAAAAAGTACTGTTTGTATCTTTTCCAAAATGAACTCATCATTTTTCAAGAATATGAACATGCCAAAGAATAAATCTAGAACCTCTTTTGAAAATGTTGAATTAATATGTGCCAGGACTGGAGTTTCATATTCATCGATCAATAAAACAACCTTAGAATTAAAGTGTCTGTAGAGTAAGCCAATCAGTAAAGATAAGGAACTTTCATCACAATTGCCTGAGAGTATCTTTTTAAATTGAGATTTCTCCATTTCATTCAATTTGGAACTTGTTTCCAACTCTTGGTAGCGTTCAGCCGCCTTAGATATGTACATCCATAGGTTCGAAACAAACGCAGTAAAGGAAGAAAATGGTTTCATACCGAAAGACAAAGAGACAACAGGATGTTTGTGATAATGATTCTCCCAAAATGTGATATGTTTCTCAATTTTTGTTCTTGAAAATAAATCTTCTGTTTGCTTAATATCAACAAATGCCCTAAGCATTCTCAAGTTGAAAGACTTTCCAAATCTTCTGGGTCTTAAAATTACAATTGGAAACCCTGCTGCTGTTGTTTCTATAGCTCGTTTGATAAATAAAGTTTTGTCAAAGAACAGGTATTGTTTTTTGTGGACAGAATAGTCTTTACCAGGAACCATAACTGCTGCCACAGTAGCGTGTATGATGATAACATTGTCTCTGCAATACCAGCTACACTCATCACTGCTGACAACAGGTTTGTTGTTGATAATAAAACCAAACTGTCCAGAATTAGCATGGAGAAACGTTTCTAGTGCATCCCCTATTTGCTGGTCCCTAGATAGAGTAACTACTACATTAACAATTTCGTTAGATAAGAAATTTGATCTGCAAACCGAAACTGTGATGGGATTGTTAGTACGTTTTGCCTCAAGTATCAGATCATGTTCTATTCTGAGTCTCTCGTTTAGCACCCACTTTGAAGAGTAAAATTTCCAAGAGTGACCGGTTAAGGCTTTGAAATCTTCTAGAACATTTGAAACTGCAGTTTGAAAAGGGATGTTTTTCTCCCATATCAAACCTTGATCATACCGAATGGATACTTGTGGCATTTTTTTAAGGGTGATTAAGCAATAACTAAACACCTGAAAATATCAAACCTACTATGGATTAGAAACTGGGCATTAGAAAGGATCAAAGACTAAATCTTGTAAAATACCAACTTTCAAGATTAGTAATTCAGTAATCCTCTATATAATTAAATTTCTGAATATTATTCTTCAGTAAAAGTAAGAATATAAATATTTATTAAGGTTACTCTTCGTCACTTTCGTCTTCCTCATCAGAATCGTCATCACTTTGCCACATATCTCCGAGGAATTGAAGTAATTCTCTGAGTCTTCTTTGTCTTCTGTTTACACGTGGTTGATTTGTTGCCTCTTCAGTTTCAGTCTCACTCAATAGTTGCATAATATTCAAAACCATACTAGCTGGAAGAATTAAACTTTGATGACCTTCTCTCAATTTTCTTTCATTTTCCTTTACCAACTCAGAAACATCGCTTGATTGATTATTAACTCTGTAAGCAATATTATTTGAAATTTTAGTTTCTTTTTTATCTCCAAAATAGTCCAATTTGCCCATTTCAAATAATTTGATATTATACTCAATACCACTTGTAGCCAATACACCTGGGTAATAAGGGTGAGGAGATAGGCAATTAACTACATGCTGATCTCCCTTTACAATATTTACAATACAACCTGTTTTCTTATCCCAAACAAAAACATTTCCACAATCACTTCCTGATATTACAAACTCAGAATCCTCTCCAAAGAAATTAACTTCTTTAACTGTTCTAATATTACAATGCCCATTGTATTTCATCTTTGAGTCTGGGCCATTCTTATCAAATAAATAAATATTATCCCCACTATAGGTAGCCAATATTTCGTTACCATGTTTGTTGAATCTAACACCTGTCACATGAGTTGGGAATAGATATTGTGTTCCTTCTTGATTTCTTGTGATTAAATTAGTAGGACAATAGGTATTCCTTGGTTCATTATTCAAAATTCTTCTTCTATCAAAGAGTCTCACGTATTGATCATCACATCCCAAAATGAATTCATTTACATCCAATGGATTCATGTCAATACTATTGATATCAACTGATTTAGTTCCAGTGGAACCTTCTTTTAAGGTTAATAAAGTTGTATGTTGATGCACAGGTTGTCTCAAATCAAATAATTTACAACTACCATCTTGTGATATTGAAATAAATATATCAGAAGATCCATTCTCAATGCAAACCCTATGTACCATTCCATTATGTTCCTTAATAGATTGAGTATGTTTTCCATTTCTATAAATTCCAATCTTTCCATCAGCTGCACTAGAAATAAATGTCGACAAGTTAGTATTTGGAAACCACTTAACACAAAATATATTTCCTGTATGAGGTGTTGGAACTCTTTGAAGACATTTCGATTTGTTTGCATCCCAAATATTAATATGACAATCATCACTTCCAGAAATTAGCAAATTATTCAAATCTACACCTCCATAACAATTACTCTTCAATACATCCTCAGCTGGTGCCCAATTAACAGAATTAACACAACCTCTATGTCCATTCTTCTTATCATGAATCACATGGCTCAAATGCATTTGATAAATCAAGGAAGAATGTGATTTCAATTTTTTATGCGGACTAAATCTTACATCACTATAAGGATTGATTCTCTTACAAATATTTGGAAAATATCTTTCCGATCCAAAATGTATTTTTCTTTGTAGTAAAAGTCTTGGAATATCCGAATCAGATTTAAATTTATAATCCTTATGATCATAAATATATTCAGATGTTGTACTTGGTTCACTGGAAACAGTTGTCGAAACAGATCGGAGTAGAATCTCTTCGAAAAGATTGGTATCTTCTTCAGGTTGTTGCGGATCCATTTTTTTAAGCTTTTTATTTTCTATTTTTAAAGATATTAAAATGGAAATATTCTGTTTTAATTCCAGCCAAAACAGAAACTTTTAAATAACAGAACTGAAATTGCTCTTTCCAGATTACGTGGAATAAGGTTATGATTCACAAAATGTAAGCAGCGATAGATCAGTTGGTTAGATCGTAAGCCTAACACGCTTAAGGTCGCGGGTTCAAGCCCCGCTCGCTGTAACCTTTTAACTGATTATTTACATTTTTCAATTCTACTTCATTTTGATAGACAAAAATATTTAATATTTACAACATCACAATAATTTGAGTTTATTGCTGATTTGTCATCTGTTCAGAGCCTTCAATTTTCCTGTGTTTAAAATCTTCACCTACCTCATCCTGATTGAAATTTTCTTCCGAGGTTGGTTGATATTTTCTTTTCTTGTCTTTAGCCTTATCAACAGCTTCCTCAAAAAGAATAGAAATATTGTCAGGACTAATTGATGAAACTCTGTCATCCTTCTCTATCTTTGATTTGAATTCTTCAAAGTTGCTTGTATCATCAATTACAATATCCAAATCCTTAATCAATTTTCTAAATGTTTTCTTGTCTTGTTTGTAGATTGAAAGTAAATGATCTATAAAATCATTGAAAATAGCTCTGGCCTTTTCAATAGTATTACGTGATCTTTGTTCTTGATGCCTCATTGGTGAAGATGGTGGTATGTCTACAGTTTGATTAGCAATAGCTTGATAACGATCCTCAGTTTCAATTATTGGCTTAACCTCCTTCCAGCTAGAAAGTACATTGACTTTACCACTCTTTCTCAAATCAGAGAGTAAATCCCAATAATTATCTGCATGTTGTTTAATGAGTCTTTCTCTTTCTTCACGTCTTTGCTTTTTCTTGTTATAATGTTCAAGCTCCAAATTTGAAATGAATTCTTCCCAAACTAACAATCTATCACAGTAATCTAAAGCTTTATATTCTTCCTCTGATTGAATTTTTTCTCTGATATGTCTCCAAAGAGTTCTGTAGGAAATTAGGCCTTGTTCCTTCTTCCTGATGAGTAACTCTTTAAAACGTATTTTCTTCTCCTTCTTTTCTTGTTTTGAAATATCCTTATCCTTATTTTCCAATTCATCAAGAAAAGAGTAAAAATAATCCAATCTGTCATCCTCACTTTCCACATTTAAAAATCTGTGGTCATTTTCAATTTTTGGTAAAACCTGTTGATAAGTTGTTGATAGATAGGCTTTAGGTTGAGAAAATATAGGAGTAGATTTTAGTTCTGCTAACATACTTAAAAAATCCTCTCTTAATTTTCTTCGTTTTTCTCTTTTCATTTCTCTTTCCCTAGTAATTTTTTCGGAAATGTATTGATGAAAGATGTCCTTTCTATCTTGAATCCTACTAATTATTTTAACTCTAGAGTCGTTACCAACTCTTTTCATTGCTCTAGACCAATCATCATCTATTTGAACTTTACAATCATCTAACATTTTCTTGAAAATACTAACCCTCTCAGCATACGACATTTCTCTAATTTTTGATGTTTGGGATGAGGATGTTGGACTTCTAGGAGGTGATGAATCTCCATTTTCTTGTTGTTCCCTATAATTTGATGATCGTGGAGGAGGTGTTCTGTTGTTGTTGTTGTTGTTGTTGTGATATGATGATCCTCCACCTCGGTTTGAGTAAGAATTATACCCATCATAATCTCTTCTATCATTGTGATAGTAATTATTATCATACCTGTCATAATCTCTACGATTGTAATCCCTTCCACCGTGATAATGATGTGATGATGATGAATAATTGTTGTTATTCTGTTGTATTTATTTGTTGTTAGTGATGAAAAGAGGTTAATTTTATGGTTAAACGCAAAGTGGTCCGACAACTTACTTGTGGTGTATTTCTATCCATTTTTTATTATTAAATAGCTTCTTGTTCATTAAATTATTAAATTGTTATTATTTAACCATTGACTAACAACACATAACAGCTCCTCTAATAGTATTTAATAATAATTTAATAAAGACCTACTGTAATTTTACATAATTATTGTTTTTTTATTATTAAAAAGTCCTATGATGTTTAAAGTTATTGTTGGAGGTCCCAAAACTTTGTGTGATAGTGGTTTGCATTACTTTAAAATTATTGTTATGATTAATTCAAGATAATGTATTGTTTACTTCTTTTGTTGAGCCAACAATTCTTCGAAAGCCTTCTTTGGAATCTTTGGAATTTGACGGAAAATCTTACTAGCCTTGTCAGTATTTTGAGTATTGATGTAAACATTGAGGATAGCATTGTAGTGATAAATCAACGAGATTTTATCATCAGGATTAATAACATCAATAAATTGGTTATATAATTGTTCAGCTTCAGCTTCCTTCTTCAAGAGAGCATATCCGCGAATATATCTCCAAGCGTTTTTATATGTAATTTTACCATCTAATTGGTCCTTGTTGATGATACTAATAACTTCAGCAGACTTTCCTTGTTCGGCCAAAGTTTCAAACTTTTTAAAATCATCTTCAATATTAATGTCCAAAAGGGAAGCTCTTGATGAGTGGAAAGAACGAATAGAAGAAATTGTTGAGATTCTGCTATGACGATTGATGCGAGCAAGAGTTGAAGCGAAGGATTTCATTTTTTTTAAATATTAATAATTGTTGTTATTCTTGTAGAATTAGTTTTAATTTATTGATAATAATTAGAAAAAAGGAGGATAAATAGAAGATTGGTGGATGATTATATTAGTCATTGTTGCGAAATTGTACAGAAGGGAATTTGAAAAATTTTAAAAGAGGTTTGTCTTTTTCATAATACGGAGGAAATCTTCCTTTGAGATTTGTCCCTGATTCGATCGATCAGCTTCTTCAATCATTTCTCTCAATTCTTCATCAGTCATATTTTCACCCAAATCTTTAGCAACTCTTTTGAGATTTGCAAATGTAATAAATCCAGAATCGTCTTCATCAAAGAGACGGAAAGCTTTCATTATTTCGGCATGGCTATCCTTTTCACTCATTTTTGCTGTCATTAATTGAAGGAAATCATTAAAATCAATTTTACCAGATCCATTATCAATTCCGGAGATCATCTTTTTAATTTCCTCTTTCTTTGGTTCAAAACCGAGTGCTCTCATTGCCACCTTCAATTCCTTTGCATCAATTTTACCTGAACCATCCATATCGAATAAATCAAAGGCTTCTTTAATTTCTTGTCTTTGTTCATCAGTTAATTCAATTTGTACCTTTTGCTTATTGCTTGATGTAGCACTGGTTGCACCAATCTTCTTAGAACCGTATTTTTGCATTTTTTTGTATTGTGTTGGTGGGAAATATTGTAGCAGTGTTGGTGCAAAATAATTCTTTTTGGGCGGGAAAGTTTCATACAACTTACCTTACTACACTTTTGAAATTGTTTAGGAATTATTGTGATTATAAATTAATATATTTATTGAGTAGTATACTTTATTATGATGATTATTTGTGCATCATAATATTGTCAAGTATTATATCCGAGATCTCTTTTCAATTGGTAATTTCAATTATTATTATTATTTTGATGATAACCCTATTGTAAAATTACTCTCCTAATGCTTTCTTTTCATATTGTTGGACATTGTTAATGTATGATCTCAATTCTTTTTGTCTATTCAAATATAATTCTTGTTGTGGATTGACACACTTCATTAATTTATCCCAAGCCAAATCAGTTTTTTGAACATAGAGTTTATATTCAAGTTCCTTTTCAGATGTTTTTTCCTTTCGGATGGAATTCTTCAATTCAAGTTTAACATCATCCAATTTGTTATAATCACTGAAAGCATCATAACAAGGTGAATTTACATAGACCATACACAATGGACATTCATCTCTAATATCAACAACATCATCCATCCAAGAGAATTTATGTTTGTACATTTGTTCTAATTCATCTATAGCGGCTTCTTGGTTAGCCTTTTCGCTCTTTTGAAAACTTGGGTTGGCAAGCTTTGGTTTACTTGAACTCATTTTTTATTTGTATTTGAATTGATTGGATTCCGATATTGTTATTTTAAATATTACTTTCTTTGATCCTCATACATTTTCAGTTTTCTATAATAAGGCTGTTGAACAGAAGTATGTGATTACCATCACATATTTTCATACAGCAATAATTTAATTTCTCAAATTTAAACTGTTTCGAATGGATTAAACAGCAAATCTAACAAATGTTAGTCCAACAATTACAGAGGCAACAAAGTTTGCTACAATTAATACAAGGGAAATACTGTTGAAAATAACTTCAAACATTAATCTGTTATTACATAATTGATCAATATTATCATTTTTGATTCCACTTACACATATACTTGAAGACAAAGAAAATAAATTGAACCTCCCAACATTAACAATAGAAATGGCAAGCTCAAGAAAATTGGTGTATAATTTTCAGTGAAATTTCCAAGTGAATCTAAGGTATTCGGAATGTCAATGTTCAAACAATCAAGCATTAATACATTTACATACTTAATTTCAAGTTTGCATACGTGATGATTGCATAACAGAACCATCCAATAAATTCCAACGCAAGAGCATATGAAGGATAAAGCAATATGGATCCCTTTACGATCAGTGTAATTATGGATATTGCAATAACAACAAAAGACCAAATAGTGTTTCCTAATACAACGAGTTGAAATGGTAGGGATGTCAACATTTTTTTTTCAATTTGTGTTTTTATTCGTACACCATTTTGGCGCCAAAGTTTTAACCACAATACAAGATCTTGTATTTTTCAATTAGAACTATTTGTGTTGAGGTACTATAAGAAAAGATTCAATGATTGTATATTATTCTAATCTACTATAGTCTGCTATTGAAATCAATATAGTTCATTATGAAATGCTTTCAATGTTTGTAAGATTTTGTAATAGAGAAGGAAATGGTGAATTGTCTCCATGTTTGTCTATGAGCATTTCAATGAATGATTTTAACTCATTTTCTCTATTTAGTTTTCTTGCTGCTTCAATTCCCAGCATAATAGATTCAAATAATTCATCAGTAGGTATTTGAGATTCGTAATGTTTCATTAATTGAATAAAATCCAGTACTCTAGTGTAATTTCCATTTCTAAATGATGAAGTTAGTCCTAATTGAATTAAATTGTAATGCGTAGGAAATCTTGAATGAGTTTCAATTTGGTGGATCCAATCAGATACGTTACTATTAGAATTTTCAAAGTGACACTTCCAAAATAGGATTGGAGTGAATTTTAGATCATTAATTCGTTCCTTAGTAGTTTCATTATTATATAAATTAGATTGATGAATTCTATGGAGGGTATCTATGTTGATTTGTTTTGAATTTTTCAAAATTTCTAGAGCTTGATTGATAGATTCAGAATTATTAAATAGAACTCCTTTCATGAGTGGAATATAAGGATTGAGTGGGGATTTTACCATTTCATCATCGCAAATATCTATTATTTCATCTTTGGTTTGCTTAGTAGTTATAGATTTGAAAATATTATACATTCCATTAATATTTAGAGGTAGTTCAGTTTCCAAATCATAAATCCAATCAAATTCATCTTCACTAAATCGTTTCCCTAAAATGCTAGTCCAAGATTGCTCAATTGATCCTTCATACAGTTTAGTATATAATTCTTTCACTCTTGGATAATCTCGAACAAACATGGCCATCGCTCTCAGCCCTTCTGCATTCTTTGAATAAATTAATTCGGTAGTCAACAAAATTAAACTAATTAGCTTTTCTCTTGAACATAAATATTCCTTATTGAATTCTCTTAAATAGCTTTTTCTAAGAAAATTCAAATAGCTGACCTGATCAATCTCTAAAACATCTTTTCCATCTATTGAAATTCCCATTTCTAAATTATGAATTGGCTTCATTTCTGAAATATTAAAACTCTCCTGAGAAATTGATTTAATCAAAAACATCATTCCTTGCGAATACTGCAAAAAATTGGAAATTAATTTCTCCTTTTCCTTCTCTCCTTCACAATAATTATTTTCACTAATAACTTTCTGTAATTTAATAATCGAATCTCTGACATTTCCGAAATTATTGCATGCTATTTCCATTACTCCATCACGATGATGATCATTCGATAAAATTGCAAACATTCTTTGATTAAAAATTATATTCCTCCGAATTGTACATAATTCATGAGATGATTTAATTGATGCAACAACATTTTGATAACAATTCCTCACAAAACTTTTTTGCATTTTTTTTTCAAATAATTATTTCTACTAAGCGAGAATCTTGAAATATTGTACTATTAAAGATATTAAAATATTAATTGTAAACTTTGTTACAATTCAAAGAAAAAATTTGAAAGTCCGCGCACCTATTCGAATGACCCACCAGAAACTCCTGAAATTACACGCCCTTCTCCATCTAAAAAAATGTCAGTAAAGATGATGATTGGAAAATTGGTTATTCTCATCTTGATATTTATTTGTTTGGGAAGTTTGGTTCATGTCAATTCCGAGACGAATGATAATTTAGCAGTTTATTTGTTGGGATTGGCAGATCAATCAGTTCTTGCTGGACAAGTCAGAGATGCCAATAATTATTATAGAAAGGCTGCTGATTTATGTTCAACAAGTAGTTTGGCTATGGCTGTGGCCACACATGCTGATGCATCTGCAATGGAAGTGATGAATTTAAATTCATATTTGGAATCAATTAATTATGCCTATTTGAGCGCTATTAAATTGGCTGATTCTACACCATTGAGTTTGGCTGTGGCTACCAACGCTGATGCTACTGGAAGCAAGGATGGAAATCCACTCCTCTATCAATATGTTGTGTTGAAATCTTTTGAAAAATCAATTTATTTGGCAGATTCAACTTCCATGGCTATGGCAGTGGCCACAACAGCAGATGCCATGTCCACCAAGAATGGAAATCCAAACATTTTATACCAAACTGTTGAGAATGCCTATTTGAGGGCCTTGGAGTTGAGTGATATGACTGCTTTATCACTTTCTGTTGCTGCCAACGCCAATGGAGTTGGAATTAAAAACTCAAATCCAAGTCAATATGATCATGTCATTGAAATGTCTCTTGAGAAAGCAATCAAGCAAAGTCAGGTAATATCTGAAATCAAACAAGTTATTTATGATGCTTCAATGTATGGAAGATTCCCATCTATTATTTCCAAGGCAATGACCAAGTTGAGAGAATTATCTCAATAAATTTGTGTTTGGAAATTTTACAATGGCTTTATTCATCATGATTTAACCTCCTTTACAGATTTAAAAGCCTCTCTTTATCACCTGGTCCAAGATTCATCAGTATTAGGCAACGCTGTGCGAATGCAATGACGAGTTGTCATTTACACATCCAAACATCTGCATTCTTTGCTAAGCATTCACCAAAGCAAAAAGAGTCAACTTAAAAAAATCTTCCACCAATATTTCACAGTGATCTCTTCAACATGCATGTTCAAGCACTATTAAACACACCTGTTACTATTAAAAATGTTAACAGTGGGAAATATTTGAATATTTCTAGTGATTTTTCAAATAATGGAGCCTATTTTCAATTATGGGAGAATCCAAGTGTCAGTCGTAGTCAATTTGTCTTGATAAAAAGTAGTGATACAGGAAACAACCAGAATGATCTAATTGTTCTCATCAAATGTGAAGCCAGCGGTAAATATGTTTGTGCTGACAATGGATATATGAATGAGGGAGTTTCTATCATTCAATGGGATAATCCTGCTTGGAAAAATTACCAATGGATTGTCAAGAAATGTGATCATAATTCAGTTTCTCTGATCAATCTCAACAGTCAATTATATTTGGGTGTTAAAAGTGATGAGAAATCAAATTATTCATCCATTGTTCAAGTCAATGGACATTATTCAAGTGTTCAATGGTTGATTGAGAAGGTGTTTCAACCATCAACCCAATCACAACAATTAATTGTTTCACTTCCAAGTTATTGGAAGAATAATACTTTCTTATCATTCACTTCAAGATATTATGTAATTGATGTTTCACAATATTTGAAAGATATTGTACAAGAAATTATGAATTCCACATGTAACACCCGTACACTCGGATCAGGTAGAGATCAGATTCAAAAAGCATTTTATTCTAAATTAATAGTTTCAAGTGTTCATAGAGTGGAAAATTATTCTTTATTTTCATCTTTTGCAGCAAGAGTTAATCATTTACAATCATATCAAGATCCTCCAAACTATATTCAAGTTAAAACTGAAGAAATTCCAAAATCATCAACAGCATTCGAATGGATGAAAAATAGTGGATTGAATTCTGATATGAATGAAAAATATTTATGGCATGGAACTAAACCTGAATACGTTCAAGCAATTACTGAGCATGGATCTGATGAAAGAGTTGCAAGTTTGAGTGGATTATTTGGAGCTGGTATTTATTTTGCCGAATATTGTTCAAAATCAGATCAATATTGTACACCAGACTCAAATAATGAATTCACAATCTTGTTATGTAGAGTTGTGTTGGGAAAACAAACTTATTTTACTCCAAACGGAATGACTAATAAGAAGACCCCCAGAAATTAGTTTTACAAATAAGAGAGTTTATGACAGTGTTATTGGACATTCTAATACTTCTATTCATTCTTATAGAGAATTTATTGTTTATGACAAATGTCAATGTTATCCTGAATATATCATTAAATATAGGAGAGCATAGTAGGGTACGAAATAATAAACTATCAATAATAATTAACACTATTTTTTGAAAATATTTTAATGTGGGAAACAAAGGTCAGGCTGTGGAAATGATCTAGAAGAAGTAAAATTAACTCTTTTACATTGATGTGCTCGTCTCCTAAAAACTGCCTTGAATACGTAGAGGTTGTAGTATGAGCACTTTATCTATTAGTTTATTTTAATTGTTTGTTTTCTGATATCTCAATAAATTTGTGTTTGGAAATTTTATAATGAAATTATTCATCATGATTTACCTCCTTTACAGATTTTAAAAGTCTCTCTTTATCACCTGGTCCAAGATTCATTGCAACTATCAGGCATGACATAAATGTTTTATCATCCAATGAATGAAATCTCATTTTCTCCCTCAATATTCTGACATTCTGTCCAATTTTAACTCTTTTTTCTCTTTTAACATAGTCATCCTCAAACGAAAATAGTGAGGACCAACCATTACTCAGTTTGTGACGAATATTAATGTACATGCAATCAGCTCCACTATCATATTTCCCACAATCATAACGAGAATATTCAATTTCTTCTCCTTTAATATTAGATGAAGATGAAAATCTATCGGAATGGCTTGATACTTTTACAGTTGAGCTTGTAGCAGTAGCAATCATTGTTTCCACTTTTTTATGAATGTCATCTCCATGCTTTTGTTTAATTTCATCTAAAAGTGTTGAAGAGTTGTATAACTTGGATTCCTTTTCAAAAAGGCGGTCATCATCACTATCTGAGTCTAGAGACATTTTTTATTTGAATCGTAACTTCGAACCAAGGCTAACTTTGTAAGAAACTGAACCAAGTTCCAAGCCTGTGAACATTGGCTAGAAACCTAAAATATAAACAACTCACAACGATTGTAGGTTTATTCACTTATTTCAGCATCAATTTCTTGTTTCTCACCATCTGGTTTGATTTCTGAACTATTAGATGATGAGCCTGCTATCTTTTGGAAAGCTTCTCTCATCTTCTTTGCCAATTCGATTCTGGTCAATCTATTACTTTCCTCAATTTCTGCATCATCACTATCAATATCGTCTGCTTGGTTACAGAATAATACATCATGATCTGATATGCCAACAACGTTTTCCATTTGCTTCAAACTTTCAATATGCTCCTCAAGCCCATCACAATCTCTTCTATCTTTGGAGTGAATTCTATTCATTCTGGAGCATGTTTCACTATGACTTGTTTTTTTAAGGGTGAACATTTCTTCTAGATCTGCATGAGACAAATATCTGTATTGATTTGACGCAATAGTTGCTGTTCTAGATACGGTTGTCTTGCTTACTTGTCTGTCGTAGTGGTAAGAATTAGTAATTTGATTTTAACTTACCTTTTGTAAATATATTCCTCAATTGTACCTGCTGAAATCAATCTATAAACAATCACATTCTCTTTTTGACCAATTCTGTAACATCGGTCAACTGATTGTTCATCTATGGATGGATTAAAGTTTGCATCAACAATAATAACTCTTGAAGCTGAAACAAGGTTAAGTCCAACACCTCCCGCCTGTACGAATTATTGTTAGCTCCATAAATTTAAACCAAACATACCTGAGAGCTTAGAATAAAGCACTTAATCTTCTCATTTTCATTGAACTCGTCCACCAATTGGGTTCTGTCTTGGTGTCTTGTAACACTTCCATCAATTCTATTGAATTTTACCTTCATACTTTTTAAAACATGTCCAATAATGTCCAACATTCTTGTGTATTGAGAAAATATCAATACCCTATGTCCTTCTTCGTTGCATTTCTCAACAAGGTGCTTTACCAATTGTGCTTTAACGGAAGAAGATATCAATTGTTCGATTGGTTCATTTCTGATTCTTTCCTTAATCAAATCGTCTTGAATCTTTTTAAGCCTTCTTTCCATTGCTTTTCTCTGTTTATCATCTAAATCATCCATATCAAAGGACATGGAAGGAGCTACTTCACTCTCCTCAATGAAATCTTCATCGCTGCTGTCTGCTCCAAAGTCTTCTTTTGCCTCCTCTTCAAGTTCTTTTTTCTTTTTCTTCATTATTTCGTCATAACCACTACACATAATGGCATGATTACAAACTTGCTTCAAAATAACTATACCAACAAGGGCACTCATAGTCTTATTAAGCACTTGTTTGACGTCATCAGATGATAGATATTCCTTATACCAATGTTGTTGTTCATCAGTGAGCTTGCACCAAACAATCAGATCATTCTTTTGACCTATTTTAGCACTTGTGTTGCTTGATGACTTGTATAAATTCTTATCTATGGTAAGGACTGCGTTTTTCCCTCTCATCAAAAGGTATGGCTTAACCAATTCTCTCAAATCATCTGCTGCTCTGTTTCCAGCCATTTTTTGAGTATAGTTTGCATCCCTTCTTGTGCTCTGATTAATTGGTGTGGAATAATTGGAACTGAACTCTGATACCGATCCAAGCAAATCTTCTCCAAAACACCAAGAGTAAATAGAATACAATTCAGTCTATTGTACATTGGATGGGAAAACAGATTAGTAACTGTACTTGAAAAATGACTTACCAACTTGTTCATTATGGGAGTGCCAGTAAGACCAAACTTTGAGGCAGATCCAAGAGTTTTCAAAGCCATTGAGCATTTGGCATCCTTATTCTTAATTTTGTGGGCTTCATCTATGATGATCGAATCCAAAAGTTTGTCACCTGAAAAGGATTTTGATAGATATTCAACATGGTTTGCTATGGTTTGATAGGTGGACAACATGACAGCACCGCCCTGTTTTGCATACTTCTCAAACTCCTTTACAAAACCTTGTCTCTTTCTGTTTGTTGAAGATGCTTTGCCAACTTGGTGGAAAATAACAACACCCTTAATCTGATCGCCTCCCCACTTTTCTAACTCTTTCTGTTATGGAATTACATTTCATTAAAAAAAACAGTAACTTACCTGCCAATTTCCTACCACTGAGTTTGGACAAATTACCAATACTCTTGAAGCTTTCTGAGTTAGAAACAAACCATGAATGAATGAGGAAATTTGAATTGTCTTACCAAGTCCCATATCATCTGCTAATAAACCACCTTTTAAAGATGAAGCAAAATGTCTCTCAACTAACCATTTAACTCCGATCTGTTGGTGAGAGTAGAGCTTTTCGAATATATCAGCAGATAGAGCAAAACCGTAAGTATCATCACCAATCTTGAGAACGTAATGATCATTCTTCACATCAAAGCACCAACCATTCTCAGATTGTCTCAATTCGCCAGGAGTTTTCTTTTTCTTAATAGTGAGAGTAACCTTTGGCTTTTCTTTGGTTTCCTCTTCAGAGCCCATTTCATCATCAGAGAGAACCCTTTCATTCTTTCTTGGCTTGGGAGCAACAGGTTTGGAAGCAGCTTTCCTTTGAGGCTTGCTTTTCTTTGGTTGATAATCATCATCTTCCGAATCTTCTTCAGAGGAGGATGAAGTAAAGTCCTCCTCTTCATCTAACATTAGTTCCTCATCTTGTTCTTCTGCTTCTTCATCAGCACTGCTTTCTTCACTCTCAGATAAAACCACTTCCTTCTTTATAATTTCCTTCTTCTCAGATTTGAAAATCTCAACACTATCTTCATCACTGCTAATATCGAACACTACTTGAGGGCTGCTTTCCTCAAACTCTGAACCACTACTTTCTTCAAACTTCACCTTCTTTGGAGGTCTTGTTGTTCTCCTTATTACTCTCTTAGTTTGTTTGAATTCTTCAAAATCATCTTCTTCATCCGAGGAAGAAATTAAAGGAAGGGAGATCTTTCTCTTAGGTTGCTTTGCCTCAACAGTATTCTTGTTCAAAGGCTTTCTCGTTGGCATTCTAGATTTGATTGGGATTGGAGAAGCAATTTCTTCATCATCTGATTCCCTTTTTAACGCCTTTTTACCTTTCGAATAATCTTCATCGCATTGCTTAGCAATCACATTTCCCTTGTTCAACACTTTTTGAGTAATGTCTTGGAGAGGAATTGAAGATTTAGAAGCTCTTTTCTTTGTTCTCGATTTGATAGTTGGAATGATATCATTTTCAATATCTAGAGTTTCCATTTTTTCTTAAGACTTTATTAAATGCTGTTAATTAAAAACAAAAAGAGGATTGAATGGCGGGAATTTTGTTACCGTTACACACAAAATCAAAATATCCAGTTGATTGAGGAAATTTTTCCTTCGATTACAAAACTTTGGAGGGAAAACTTTAAAGGAAATATTATATTGAGGTAGTGAAATATTGCAGTAAAACTAGAAAGACGAGTGTCTTTTATTGATTTATCACAGAATGTTACATACCGTAATAAAGAACCATTCAATAGCAATCCATTCATGAAATTTATTCCGATCAACTCCTTATTTCCGTCCTTCCAATTTCCTCAACTTGCCACTACTAGTAAATTTCTTGTATTTGAACCTTTTAAAAGAACAATATCACAATGAGAAGTCATCACACACGGGACAATTCCAAGTAGAAGACACAACGAACAAGTAACAACAACAGGAAATTTGTTGCTATCACTCCGTGTTAACAATAAGTTTAGCAAAAAAATCACCCAAACGTTTGCTCACAACAATCAAAATCACAAAACAATAGCCGGATAATGAACTGTAACCACCACAATAAGAATAGCACTGCAGGAGGTTCTGGTGATGAACTATTTTCTTCATCATGTTGCAATAATAACACTACAAAGGAGAGAAGAACCAAAATGTTATTACAACAATTATTCCCAACTCAAAAATTGGATTGTGGTAATAGTTTTGGATGTTCGGATCAACATGTAGCCTTCAATACATGTAGTGGAAAACAAGAAGAAGAGGAAGAAGAAGAAGAAGATACCCATATCAAATTGTATCCTAAAGAGTTGGATTTAAAAGTTAAAATTGCTGGAGTGGGTCGTTATCTTCCTCCAAATATTGTTTCATCTACCACAATTGATGTTTTGTGTGGTAAACCAAAGGGATTTACTGAAAAAACAACTGGAATCAAAGAGAGAAGATGGGCTAATTCTGTAGAACACGTTCTTACAGTTAGAAAGGAGAAGTTTGCAAAGAATGTAGATCAATTTATTGATACAAAGAAAGTACTAACTGAAAAGGAAATCAAAGAATTGAAAGACAAGGAAATTACAATTTCATGGATGGGAGCTCAAGCTGCTTTGGAAGCTTTGAAAAATGCTAATTTGAAGGTTGAAGATTTGGATTTAATTGTTAATGCATCAGGTACTCCTCAAAGAACTATTCCAGGTAAGTTTTAGAAAAGATAACACTTTTTCACACAATTTCATTCTAGATACCTCATGTTTCATTCATAAGGAATTGGGATTGGGTGATTCAGGAAAACCATCACTTTCTGTACATTCTACATGCTTATCATTCATGGTTGCCTTCCACATGTGTGCTGGTTTGATTGAAAGTGGAATGTATGAAAAAATTTTGATTGTCTCAACCGAAATCAGTACTGTTGGTTTGAATTTTGAACAAAATCCACGTAAGTATTTCAATTTTTTCACATTTTAATCGAACATTTCAGATGCTGGAGGTTTAATCGGTGACGGAGCTGCTGCAGTAGTTTTGACAAAGAGTAAACCAGAAGATAAGAGTCGTCTTACTAAATACATGTTTGGAACATTTAGTGACGGAACAGATTATACATCAATTAGATCTGGTGGTAGTGAATTCCACCCTAATCACATTTACACACCTTCAAATTATATGTATTTCGATATGAACGGAAAAAAGATTTTGGAGTTTACAATTTCTAAAATGATTAGAGTTATGGAAGATTACCAAGAAGGATTATCAACAGGAAAATTCGAAGGATTTGATTGGGCTGTGCCTCATCAAGCCTCTCATGCTGCATTCCACGCAATGGTAAGTTAATACTTTATGTGGACGGTTTCTCACATATTTAACAATAATTCACTCACACAGTCTGAAATCTTTGGATGGCCAAAAGATAGAATTGTAAAGACTTTGGAAAAGTTTGGTAATACTATTTCTGCATCCATACCTATGGCTCTCTATGAAGCAGTTCAAGATGGCAGAATTAAGAGAGGTGACAGAGTGCTTTTGATTGGTACAGGAGCAGGTTTAACAACAGGTTTGCTCTCCTTCACTTACTAAGTAAATTAACAGATTTATTCATTATAATTTTATATCATGTCACAAAATTTTGTATTGTTACATCAATAATTCTAGTTGTTTATTGAACAACAAGAATTTTTGTAAAATCACCACAAAAAAATGTCTCAACAATTCGAAGAAGAACATATTGATCATTCCGATGAGCAAAGTCTAGTTGAAAGTATTGAAAAATTATCAATCCATCAAGAAAAGAACAATAACAAATTTAACGGAGAGAATCCAAACGTGAAATGGAAAGCACTTTACTATGAAGATATCAAGGAAATTTATGTTAATAGATATGTGCCATTGAATCCTCCTAATGAACCTATTGATGAAAATAATTGTCATTTATTTCCACAAAGAAGTGATAAATGGCTCGAGTTGAGATCAAATAGAATTACTGCCTCTAGGTTGAGTAAAGCTCTCGGATTCTTTTCTCCTGCAGCTGTGAAAATGTTAGATTTATCAAAATCATTTTTAAAACAAGACAAGGAAACTGTTGGTACAATTTATGAATCAATTTTAACAAGGGATGAATTGAAAGAGTTGGGTATGACAGATGAGGAAATTGATCAACTTAAACAACCATCCAATGAAAATCCAAAGGAGGAAATTGTTAAGAGAGTTTTTATGGATTGGGGATCTAATCATGAACTCAATTGTGTTTCAACTATTTTGAATTCTCATTTTGACTATGACATGTTTTGTGAAACTGGATTTTATATCATTACTGAAGATAGATTAAATCAAGTTTTTACAAAGGAAGATTTGGAAAAGTATGAACTGAGCTTTGAAAAGTTGCCAGCTCTTGGTGCATCCCCAGATGGTCTTTTACAATCTATTGATACTAATGAAATTCATTCATGTGTAGAAATTAAGTGTCCAACATGCTTTGTTGAAAAGTATGTCAAGAAGGAGGACCGTGAGTCAGGTAGAGATATTCCACTCACCTTTTCCTACATTAAGAAGAAACCCCATGAAGAAGTTCCAGTTTATTACATTCCTCAAATGTATCTTCAAATGATAGCAACCAATACTAAGCAATGTTATTATTGCAGTTGGACTGTAACTCAAGGTTGTAACATGTTTAAAGTTGAATTTGACAAGGATTTTGCTTTAGAAATTCTGTATTGGATTTTTAAGCATTATGACCTTGTTAAAAATCAAAAGAAACGTATCACACCAGATTGTTTCATTTCTGATGAAAGATTTATTCAATTTTTGCAAAAGAGTTTGGAAATTCAAAAAGGTATCCAATTTGTTAAAACCATCGAAAAGAGTATGGTTTATGAAGGTATAGACCCTGAAAGAAAGCACATGTTTAATGATAACAAATAAAGATCTTAATCACAAGAACTATTGTAATCTATTTATCTGTAATTTCTAATTTTTGCTTAATGTGTTCTAGGGCACTTTCTACTTTTTCTTCTTGAATAAGCAAGTAATCAGTCACAAAAGTTGAAAAGTAAATGACTGCTATTTTTTCAGGGTGGCTCAGTAAACTTCCTGTTAATTTTGACACAACACCAATTTGAGCTTCATCAAATCCAAGACCCTCTGTAGTATGAATCATTACTGGAACGAATTTCAATGGAATAGTTTCTATCATAGCCGTGCATTCTTGTTCTGTATCCTCCAAACCAAGCATTTCATAAACTTGTTCATTTAACACTATTACATTTTCATCTTCAAATGATGCCAGAGCAAAAAAGTCTCCAATTTGCTTATATTCAAACCACAGAATATTTAACATATCCTTAATATGATATTGATATTGAGTGCCTGAGAATCTACACATGAAGAGTTTATCATCCAATGCAGTCAATTCATCCGATTCATAATTTTCTTCTTCTCCCTCAATTTCTTCTCTCTTTCTTTGGAATAAACTTGGAGGAATAATTTCTTCTTCCTTTTCGTCTGAACCACTTTCAACTTTGTTTTGAATTAATTCCATAGCTTTATCAAAATTTTCTTCTTCAATCAATAATAAATCAAAATTCCAAAGTGAATGATAGAAAATTGAAATATTATTGGATGACAAAATACTAGCATAACGATAAATAGACCTTGCCGATGACTTTTCCAATAATGATTTAGAACTTCCACTTTCACTAGATGATACTGAATGTATCAGAATACCTCTCCATATGGAACCTTGTTCAAGTAAAATTGCATCCATATTCAATTGGTAGGATTGTATCATTTCTTTATATCTCTTAACATTTTCAAGACTTTCCTCATCAAGAATAATTGAAATTTCATCTCTAGTCTCAATAAAACTAATAAATCTATTTGGTGAGTCCAACTTGACAAATAACGTTTTCAGCAAAGCCTTGCTATAGAAATGAAACTGTTTTCTTTGAATAGAAATTAAACCAAGGTTCATTGGTAGAATTTTAAACGAATCCGAAGTCATTCTGTCCAATAAATTCCGTTAATGTATTACTATGGAGAATGTATGATGAAAATAAGTGATGATAACAAAGTTATTGCTTTCAATATTTTTTTTTCAATTCGAAAATGCAGCAACAGAATGAAGGTAAGATGATAACCAAAATAAAGATGATATTAAATTGTTGTAGTAGTTAAGAGGATGGCTTAAAATTGATAGTGAATGATGGAGGCGGTTCTTATTGTATGGAAGCCTATTTCAATTTTAGTTTTTCTATTAAAAACTTTGTTATCCAAATGTAAATATGAAGGCTAATGTTGTGTGTCGGATGATATCTCTTGAGAACTCCTTTTAAATAGAAAATTAGGATGCAACCACACTAAGTGCTTTTATGATTGAACAAACTTGAGAACAATGATGTTCTGTCATATTGAATTTGCTTACATCATCTTTGTAATAAATTTTCATAATCAACGTGATGATTCATTAATTTATTAATGATTTTAAAAATAACTTTTTTATTCTAAAAAAAATTCCGATTACCAACAAAGTTGTTTTCTTGTTTTCTTGTTCGGAAGGCTTTGATAATTTAAATAACAATTTGATCAAGAATGAGTTTCCTCTATAGTATATTTAGTTGGCTGTATAATACATTTGTTAGCTATTTACCTTTTAAATTCGCTGCAAATCCAAGTGAAACTGTGGTAAGAGAACAAATACAACAACAAGCCATTGCTCAAAATAATCAGTCATTACAGGATTTAATTGTGGATATTATATCACATCTACCTTCAGTAGAAGAAATACTTACTCAACATAATGAAACCGTAAACGAAGAACATATTACAACCAGCATTCATGAATTGATTCCACAATTATTTGACAAATCATTCAAAGAAGCTATTGATTTCTGTAAAAATAATGATCAAATTCTACTTGTATATTTACATTCACCTGGACATGACGATAGTTATGATTTTATTCAAAACATATTTTGTAAAAAGGAATTTATTGAATTTTTAAATACTAACTTTGTAGTTTTTTCAAGTTCAATCAGATCCAGTGAAGGATATAGTATTTCTAATCAATTACAAGCAACATCTTATCCTTTCTTGGCTGTTTTATTGGGAAATCAAGTACATTGGAGAATGGATGGTTTGACTGAATTGAAAAATTTAACAGAAATGTCAAATGGTCAAACTCATGTAATTGATAATTTAATGACTCAATTAATTGAAGTGCATGAACGTTTGGATTCTCAATTGGTAATTCAAAGACAAGAAAAACTTCAAAGAGAATATGAAAGAAGGGCAAGAGAAGAACAAGACAGAGCATACGAGGAATCCTTAAGAATTGACAGAGAAAAGGAAGAAAAGAGATTAGCAGTGGAGAGAGAAAGGCAAGCCAAGGTTGATGCTTTTATGAAAAAATTAAGAATCAATGAATCGACACGTAATGACATTAGAAATGAAATTGTATTTTACAACAATGAAGCAGAATATAAGAATATCAAATTGAAATTACCAAATGGAACAGAAGTGCAAAGAAAATTCTCTTTGGATTTGTCATTTGGTGATCTTCACAGATTTATCCATGCTTACCCTTCAACTGAATGGCAACCATCCAGATATAGCAATGTTGAAACCGACTATGAATTAACCTTAAACTCATTCCCTAAGAGACCTATTCCATTTGATGATTCTCAAACATTGTCTTCAATTGAAGGAAGAGCCCTCTTTATTTTTGTCAGAGAAGCTGAACACGATGAGGATGAACAATTTGCTGCCGAACATTCCTTGTAAGATATTCACATCAAGTAAAATATGCAAATATATTCTTTCATCGAATAGTATTATTTAACTTTTTAAATGTGTGATTTAAAATCTAAAAACATTCCAATTAGAATTGTTTTAGAATAATAATTAAAAAATGTCTTCAAGTGCTGTTGATCAACAATTATCATCAAATGATACTGATGCATCTTCGGAAACATTATCAAACACCAACGAAGCTACAACTCCAACAACAACAACAGAAAAAGTTGAAAGTGGAAAAGTAATGATTTTATTCCAAGCCGTTGGTAGTGCTCCAATTTTGAAAAAGAAGAAGTATACTATTGGTGCAGCAAGTTCTTTTAATACTGTGATAGCCTTTCTCCGAGATAAACTGCTGAGGATTACAAATCCAAACCAAACTTTGTTTTTATATTGTGGACAGGCTTTTTGTCCAAATCCTGATGATTACGTTGGTGATTTATTTGATCACTTTAATACAAACGGAATGCTCGTGATTAATTATTCTCTTAAAATTGCATGGGGATAATTTAGATAATAATTAATAATATATTATAATTGTAATAATAAATATTTTGTAAATAATTTATGAAATAATTTTAGACTGGAAATAAGAAAGAATTGAATAGATGATCAATTCAACACACATAAAATTGAAACCAAGCTCTGTGACGAGTTTCATGAAAGCTGGTTAGCAGTGAGGAGAATTACACCTGGTCTAATGATATCCAATAATCAGACAACTGTGATTGACTTGAATAACCAGCTCAACAGATTACCTATTTCAGTCCTTACTATTTGTTTCACAAAATTAATTCGATGAATCGACTCGATTTTACAATTATTCATTCGAATCCATTATCAAAGGGTGTACATCAAGCTATAATGAAATATATTAAATAAAATTCTATGGCTCGCCACGTTTACCGTCTCGGGAGGAATCGAACCTCCGTCAATGGATTCAAAGTCCACTATGCTACCATTACACCACGAGACGAGCACATTAAGGAAGATCACCTTAACACTCCTACAAAAATCACCTTAATCCATATTGTACTATTGTAATCCTGATTGAATTTTCCACATGAATCTGAGAGTAAAAATTAAAACATTTACCGACAATGGGGCTCGAACCCACGACCCCAGGATTAGAAGTCCTGTGCTCTATCCAACTGAGCTATGACGGCTTACATTCATTAAGAATAGTTTCTTGTTATAACATTCACATCTAGAGGTTTACATAAATTGGATGTTAAGCAATAATTTAATATATTAAGAGTGCTATGCATGTTTTTTATTGATTGTAATTCTCTACATAGTATTGTAAAACTTGAGATGGAGTGTCATTCATTTCAATTTCTCCCAATTTCATCAAGATGATTCTATCATAATCTTTAACAGTTTCAATTCTGTGAGCGATGGTAATGATGGTACAATTGTTGAATAGTGGACCACGAAGAGTCTTTTGAATTTGAGAATCGGTGAATGAGTCAACATTGGCTGTGGCTTCATCCATTAAAAGTAATTTGGATTTTTTCAAAATACTTCTAGCCAAGCATATTAATTGTTTTTCTCCACATGAAAAGTTGCTTCCATTTTCAGAAATTGAATAGTCTAGTATTTCCTTAATATTTGGCATGGATTGACTCTCTTTACAGACCTTTCTTTCCAACAACTCTGAAAGTCCAACCTGTTCAATGGCACTCCAAATTTCCTCATCACTATTAGAATTATTAAAGTCAAGGTTTTCTCTCAAAGTTCCCAAAAATAGCACTGGAGATTGAGGAATGAAAGAAATTGATGTTCTTAAAGCATGTAATGAAAGATCCCTCACATCTGTTCCATTCAAATAGATACCACTGTTATTATTATCATTCTCAATTTCTTGAAACCTTAACAAGCAATTGAATAATGAGGATTTTCCACTTGCTGTTCTACCAATAATTGCACATTTACTACCAGGAGCAACACTAAACGTTACATTCCTGATCACTAAATCTTGTTCCTCTCGATACCTCATAGAAATATTATCAAAACTGACACTCAATCCTTCGTTTGAAGTTTCTTGGACGAGAGACTTTTTGTCATCTCCATAATTTTCTTCTTGAATGGAATTTGAAAACTTTTGAACTCTTTGAACACAATTAAATGAGTTTCTTGCCTTGGTGAGTGTATACATGATCCTTTCTGTACTCATGACCAATTCTGACGTTCTCACATAGAACAAACTAATTGTAATTTGAATTGTTTTGAGGTTGGCATTATTTGGATCATAATTCCAAAAGTAATAGAAGAATATTCCAAGAACACTGAGAGAAGAAATCAATTCTCTGAAGAAATCATTTCTAATATAAAACCAAAACCATGCAAGTTCTTTGCAGTGTGATAGAGTATTAATTGGCTTTTTCTGAGTATTAATATCATTAATGAGATGTTCAAATTTCTCATTACCATAGCTTCGAATAGTATCTAAACCATCCAACATTTCTGCACTAATTGTTGGAGTTGGATCATGGAAATCACTTTGAATTAGTTCAATTTTATCTGAAACATTAGTATAGATACCTCTGAAATAACTTGTGATTGGAACAGACACAAAAAGCATTAGAATTGAAAGAGGAAATGAATAAATAACAACAATAGTTGAACAAATAGCTTGCCAAGTATTTGTCAACAAATCTGTCATTCTATAACTAATGTTATCTCTAATTTCATTAACATAACCAATATTATCTAAAATTTTACCACTTGGAATATCTTCAAAGTATCTGAGTTTAGTTCTTGATATTTGTTTGATTAACTTTTCTTGGAAAACATCGGCTAGTTCATATAAAAAGGTATTGGAAATCATAGTGTTCAAGGTAATTGCAAACATTTGTACAAAACCTTGTGAAATGTAAATTATCAAGTAAAAGGTGAGTGAGTGATAAACAAACTTCTCATCAGTTGACCATTCAGATAATGTATAATCTTTAAAAATTCCTGAAACAGGCTCAAGAAGAGAAAATGCAGCCATTACAGAGAGATAGATAGTACTCTTGTTGATTGAGAATAAAAATTGTCTAATGAGAGAGAATGAAGGACCTTCAGATTGAGACATATCAGAAGAAGACTCTGATAATTCATCCTCTTCAGGTTCTCCTTCATCTCCTTCTTCTTCTTCATCATCCAGTGCTTCGTCTTTAGAGGGGTTTTGATTTTCTTCAACATTGCTATTAACAGAATGAGTGGCTGATTCAAAGAGCTCACGTAAAGCAACATTTTCTTCCAATTTTCCAACCAAAAAGTCATAATTTCCTTGTAAAACTATTCTCCCCTTATCCATAACTATGGTTCTATCCATGTGAGGAATTAATTTAAGTAAGTGAGTAGAAAGAATAACTGTCTTATCTTTAAGGAAGGCATTTTCTCCAACAAATACTCTCTTAATGATATTGGCAGCTGTGTGAATGTCAACTGCTGACAAAATGTCATCAAAAATGTACAAATCAGAATTGTGATAAAGTGCTCTAGCAAGTGCTAATCTTGTCTTTTGACCTCCACTTAAATTAATTCCACGCTCTCCAATCACTTGATCGTCTCCATTTTGCATTTCCTCAACATCAGATTTAAAGTCAGCTGCAAATAATGCACTTTCATATCTGCTCTTGTCAAAGTTTGTAGATCCAAAAATAATATTTTCCTTGATTGTAGCATTTCTAATCCAAGGTGATTGAGAAACAAATGAAATTTTCAAATTTTCCTTAATTCTTACAACACCCTCTACGATGTGTGATTCGTTCAATATCGTATAAATTAATGAACTCTTACCACTGGCCACCTTACCAATAATACCAATATGTTCACCCTTTTTAATTGTTGTGCTAACATTTTGAATGCAATAGTTTGGATCATCCTCTTCAGATTGAGACCATCTAGCACTAACATTTTCCATCTCGACAATTGAAGAATCAGTATGATTCTTGTGTTGTGAGTGTTCTGGACTATTCAATAAATGGCCAAGTCTTCGAATGGCAAGTCTCTTATTCATAATTGATTGTAAATCACTGGAAATTGCATATAATGGATACTTGAGGGAGTCTGCCAATTCAACAACTGTGAGAGCTGTACTCAACTTGAGAGGATTTCCATCAATATAGCAGTAAATAAAAAAGCACAATGATGATACAACAAAACTCTGTACATAATAAATGGCATCAATAATGAAATTAAGCCATTCTGTGGATTTCAAATTAGTCTTGAAAGATTCTTGAATTTTACAAATCTTTTCAACAAATCTATTTTCCAATGTGTAAATTTTGATCAATCGAATAGATTGAATAAACTGAGATAGTGTACTAGATTTCTTATCACATAATTTTGTATTTCCATCATAGTTGGCCTCTCGTTTCTTCAAAAAATGATAGTACAATGGAGAGGAAACAAAAAGAAATAATACTCCTATCATTGTAGCTTTAAATCCAACCAAATCATAAATAGCAAGTATACACAGTAAAATATAGAAAATATGTGAATAGAAATTTGGGAGGTCATAAATGTTTGAATTCACAGACCAAACATCTTGCCCCAATATTGTGTCCACTATTCCAAAATTGAAATTGGTCAACTTTTGAATGTAACTCAGTTTTGATAATTTTCTCAATACCATACTTTGCATACTATTTGAGATTATAGTTTGTCCATAATCTTTCTTCATGTAATAATAATTTTCAGAGAATTTGTTCAAGTTTTTGAATATGAATTCAATCATCAAATAAAAGGTTGCAAACCATAACAATTCAGAGCTTTGAATATTTTCCTGTTCAAATAACTCAAAAACCCTTCTCTTCATATACAAGGCAACACTATCACACAATTGCATGAGGAGAGTCGCACCAATCATTTGAATCAGAACCCAACCCACCAATCTATGTAATAAGACAACTGTTTGGCTAATACTCATTGTTGAATCTGTCTCCTTTTTGCTATCATCACCACCATCAGCATCATCAGCATTAAACTCCATACCTGCAGTTGCTTCTTTGATAAGTTTGAATTGATATTCATAATAGGCTTCTTCATCTTTGGTTGCCTCTCTAACATTCAGGTTTTCCTTCTCAAAGACTTTGAACCCTTTAGATGATTGATTTTTAATAGGATCAAGTAAATCAGGCCAAATCCAAGAGCAAAATATATTGTCTTTAAATTCTTTAATAATAGTTCCCAAAACCATTTTCTATTGTTTCTATTATTATTGAGACCAATGACAATAGACTCTTTTTTTTTAATAATGTAATGAACAGACTGAAACAATTGATCCTCTTTAAATAGTTTAGAAGGTGCTTTCGGAGTGTTAACTGTTGTTTAGGTCAGGGTTTAATGCATTACGAAATTGATGAAATTTTTTATTATTAAAAATTAACAGGTTTTATTGGTTGGTTTCTCTTTTGATGTTTACAATAACAATCGAATTTAATGAATTGGATTTTGAAAATGGAAGTGAATAAGAATATAAGAAACATGGTCCAATTGATATGAAAGTAAACATCAGAATTGAATGTAATCCTTACTTCCCACTCAAAATTGATGTCATTGGTTTGTTTCAGTTTTTGGAAATCATGAAAGATATCACTACTGCTTTATGAGTTTCATCTAAAGATTAAAATGTAATGTCTGTGGATAAAAAGTCAATCACTCAATTTGTAATTTTGTAATTTGTGTAAACCAAGTCTGGAGTGTTTAAACATTCCTTCACCAAATTCAAATCCTTGAAAATAAATTGTAAAAGGAAATATTTCACAACATCTTGAGGTGACATGTAGTCTTGCTGATTAGTCTTCTTGTCAATTTCTGTTTTGATTTTGTAAACAATCTTTTTGAAAATAGTATTATGACCTGATTCCTGGGCAATGTAACTTGCTGTTTCTTTTGCGCTTCCTAAATTCATTGCAAATTCAATAATTTCCAAAGATCTTTTAGCACAATCATCAATAGCATTCAAGACCTCATCGTTAAACCTTCTCAATTCTTGCTTTTCCTTTTCAGTATTTAAAACTGGAATGATATCATCAATACAATCATCCATTACAAATTTCCAAATATGTGCTGGTGATGGATTACCATCAGTAACAAGTTGTTTCTTTTTGTGTTGTTCAGAATACCAATTGGTTTTGAATTTAAACATTTCACCTGAAACTTTGTGACGAATGACAACTCCCTCAATACCTTTGATTGTATTCACTTTGCTCTTCAATTGTTTGAATGATTTGATAACTGTCTTTTTGGATTGTTCATCTTGGTCAGTATTACTGAAAATACATTTCACAAATGGAATAGAAAATTCATTACACATTTCACACATTTCATTGTATGGTACATAATCTCCCTTTTCTGTATATCTAATTGCAATTAAAGTCAAAAATGTTGAATCATATTCAATTACCACCATATTCTCTTTCGAATAAAATTCAAATATTGGTGTATATCCTTCTTTCATTAATTTTGTACAAAATTCCAAATATTTCACTTGAGATTCAGCTACAAATTTATCTGCTTGATTTGTAACTTGATTAAAATAACCTCTTTTAGTTCTAAACACAATTTTACCATCGACAATAATTGGCATAATCATTGAACCATCCAACTTTTCTAAAACAAGGAAAATATCCAATAAATTACAATCACCATTTGGATTATACTTGTTTTCTAAATATTCTGTATTTGTTTCTGCATTTTCATCCACTATTAAAATTGCAATAATTTTTCAAATATTTCCAAATATTATTATTTAGTTTACAATAAAGAGTAATAAATAAATACTTACAATTAAAAAACTTGTGTAAACATCTGCTCACCAACTTTCCACTATCCTTGTCAAAGGCTAACCCTCTAATTTCCCTTCTAATCTTTTTCATATCCTGAATTTGTTCATCATCACCACTTTCAATTGATGGAAATGTTGTAGTCTTCACCCTCCCATAACAATAGAATAGATAATTATCCTGAGTCATGAATTTAAAATCATCAGTATCTGATCCGATAGCTTGTTTTACCTGATCCAAATGATTTATCAATGGAAATAAATTATTTCCTGTTGTTGTTGTTGTATCATCACTACTATTTGCTGCTGACATTTTTTAATGGTTGTTCATGATGAGAGGCTAGCCTTTGATTTTTGCTTTGTTTGCTGATGTGATTGAATAGCTTTAGGAAATTGCACATTAAAATTTTGTTTGGTTTTTTAAAGTTCATGAAATGTTCATCAGAAAATGCAATGTTAAATACCTAGGTTTAATATTGTTGTAATATTTTAAATAATTTGTGCTTCCTTATGAAAGCACGTATTAAAATAAGATTTTTCTCATTATTTAAATTGTTTTTAAAGAATTTGAAATAGTTTTTTGAAATTGAAAAAAATGGCCGAACAAACTGAAACTCTGTCATCCACTGCTACTACTGCCACAACTACAACCACAACTAGTAGCACACCATTGAAAACAATGGTTGTCATCGGAGGTGGTTATTCTGGTCTCAGTTTTATTCAATCTATCAGAGAAATTGAAAAACAAGAAAAACAATACAAAATTATATTAATTACAAGAGAGGATTTTTGTAGTAGACCTAATTTATTCTTCCGATTCAAGTTTTTGCAATGGCATTCCAAGCATTTGGATTATTTTGGAGGAATTCATTTAAATGGAGAGAATAATAGTTTTATTACAAAATATGGTGTGGATCAAGTGTTGTTTAATACTTCAGTTTTTGATATTAATAATGTTGAACAAGTTATTAAATATAAAACTGTTGGAAGTGATGATGAGATTTCACTTCATTATGATACACTTTGTTTATGTATTGGCGGAAAGGCTCATGTTGTTAATTATCCAACAGAAGTTTCAAATGAGAAGAGTGTTATAGGATTGAATAGAGAACAATTAATTGTTAATTTTGGAGAAATTCAATCACAAATATCGAATTATTTATATATTAGAAATATTGAACAAGTTGAATATATTCATCAATTGATGAAACAATTATATGATTATTATGAAAGTAATGAAAATAATTTAGATCATAATAGAATTGTTATTATTGGAAGTGGTACATTATCTATTGACATTGTTAGTCACATTATTGAAGGTTATGAAGCAATTGAAAAGTTGTTGAATGGCGAAGCTTCTGCACAACCTTCAAAGCAAACCATTGAAGAAGTTTGGAGCATTAAGAATACCAACATTCTACCAAAGATTACCATAATTGGTAGAGGAAAACATTTGGGAAAATCTCTTCTCCGTGACGAAGCTGCTTGTGATATGATTTTAAAGTTAGCTAAGGAGAAATATGGAAAATATCTTGATATTCAATTAGAAACTCAAGTGGAGAGTATTTTATATAGTGATGTTAATAATCTTGCACATAGTGTCAAGACAAGTAATGGAATTATTCCATGCTCTTTGATTGTTCAAGCTGTTGGTGTTAATAGTGAAACCAGTCTTGCAACTAAATGTTTGGATGCATCACTTGGTGTCAATGGTGGTATTTTAGTGGATGAACACTTCCAAATTCATACAAATAATTCAACAATAGTTCCAAATATTTACTGTATTGGTGATTGTGCAGAAATAACCACACAAGAAGGAAAGACCAATGTTTGGAAAAATTGGACTAGTGCTAGAGAACAAGCCAGTGCCTGTGCACATCACATTCTTTCTAAGAAGAATTCCAAGCTCTTCTTCTCTCAAACTCCAAAATTTTTTGGACTTCACATTACTTGCCTAGGAGAATATGATTCTACCGATTCAAATTTACAAACTATAGTAATTGATGAACAAATTCAAAAGAATATCTATATGAAATTCCTGTTCAATACAATTGGAGAACAATACCAATTAATTGGAGCATTAATTATTGGACCTAACATGAATGAATACAAATTAGGATTGAATTTCCTCCAACTTCTTAAGGAACATGTATATTTACCTAAGGCAATCATCAACAACACTCAATTGTTGGCATTGAATTTTAATATTAATTATTGGTCTAAATTAATGAGTTTGGTTAAGGCAAGAAAGAAGGATACACCTTTCGAAACACCAGAAGAAATTGAAAAACTGTTATCTGAGCTGACAGCTGCCAGTGAAAAGAAAGCCACACCTGCAGTTAATCCTCTTGCAAAGAAAAAGTTTGTCAATCCACTTGAAAAGAAAAAACAAGCAGCTGCTTCCTCTACATCGTCACCATCATCAAACGAGTAAATAATTTCCATTATCTTGTAAAACCACAGAGTACAGTACATATGTTGAATATTTCACACAAGCAAAAAATGTCATCATTACGAAACCTCATCATCTTTCTATCGATTGCAATTCTTGTAGCGGTCTTGCTTCCATCAGCATTGGCCCACAATACACAAGAATCATCATCATCATCGACACCATCATCTTCAGGTGAAGAAGTACAAAAGAAGAATTATAATGATGATCCATCCTTTACATTTGATCCTCATCCATTCCGATATATATTCACAGACTTTTTCAAATGTGATGGTAATGTGACTGCTATTAGAACTTTCCTTGTTGTCTTGTTGAGTACAGCTAAAACAAAGGAAGCAAAACTTGCTCTTGTTGCCAAGCAAAAGGACAGATTCCTCGACTTGTTGATCAACTCTTCTGAAGAATTGAAAACACAACCACAAAGAGTTGAAGAACACAAGAAGGAATTTGAAAAGTTGACCGAATTAATTTTCAGCGTAGAATTGGAGACTGGTAAAGTTTGTCAATATGTCTACGATACAGTATTTACATATGATCAAACCAAGTTGGGCAGAAAAGTAGTCAATAGCATGGAGGAATATAAGAAGGCTGTTGAAGAAGAACAAGAAAGGAAGAAGAAAAAGATTGAAGAGTTGTAATTTGCTTCTATTCAAATACTTAACCTTGTAATAGTGTTGGTGAAAAAAGACAGAGAGTTTTAGATAAAGGTAAAGTGTCTTTGGTTTATTAAATTTTTATTTGAATATTTTTATTTTTTGAATGGTTTTGTGGGCGGGAATTGACTCTACAGATAAGAGTGTCATGCAGCATCAGGAAGCAAGGTTTGAAAACCGTTAGAAAAAAAAACCTGTAAATTCTATTGAGGAGGATTCTCTGCAAAATTTTATCAACAACAATACTAATAGTAACTATATGGAAGAATGCCCAACAGCATTGTATCGTCATCATCAAATTATAATCGCTCTCACATAACAGATCTTTCGATATCAATAATATCGGATAAGAATAAACCTAGGCCCCAATCAGCTTCATCTTCTAGGAGAGGCTCTATTACTAATAACAACAACAACAATAATAGCAAACATTTAATGGAAGATGATTTAAACTCATTACGTTCCTTCCAAAAGCTTTCAACAGGACAAAACAATGGTAGTAGACCCTCATCAGCACATCCAAAATTTAAACAAAAAGAGGTGGAGAAGGAAAATAATATTCATATCAATACTTCAGCCTATAAATTAGATCATGATGATAATGTGAGTGAACCTGTGTCGTGGGGAGGTGATGCAGTTTCAATTAGAAGTTATAATAATTCGCCATCTCTCAATAATTCCAAAAACTCTCAAAGACCTCAATCATCCTTCGTGTATTCGATAGCAAAGAGGGCTCCTATAATTCCACGTCCAGGTTCTGCACCTTTAACAAAGAAAGGAAAGCTGGATTCAAGTCATCGATCAAAAACTCCATCAGAATTATACGATGAATCATTTTATGAAATGCAAAGAAGAGATGAAAGTAATGCAGCCATCACCAATCCATGGCATCAAACATTGGATGAACATCATGAAAGACCATTGATAACGACCGTACTTCATGAATATAGAGATGATATAAGCACATCAAGGTGTAGCAGTAGAATGAGTGATAAGAAGGATTTTATTGAAATTAACAAACATGCCCTCTCAGAAAAAGTAAGAAATGCAGCAAAACGAAATTCTATAACTGCTAGACCTCATTCATATGTGCTTGATAATAGTTTTGAAGGAAGTGCTAGTGACTTTTCAACTTCGGCACATTTAGAAGGTGAGGAAAGGAGAAGAACTCATACCTCACTCATGCAAAAGTATTCAACTAGGCAAAGCGTTCCAAGAACAGTCAATTCAAGAACAATTTTCAATCCATCAACCCTTGCATATGATAATTCGAGTTCCCTAAAAAATAGACCAAAATCAGCTCTCTCTAAGGTAATGTACAAACAAACGACTAGACATCAAGATGTTGTCTCCATAGTATCAGATACGCTGAGACCTCGATCTGCAATGAGCACCTATTCTGTAAAAGAGTCATTCAAAAGACCCACTAGTGAAGAACCATTTAAAAGGAGCTCATCATTCTTAAATGTTCAAGGATTCAGTATTAATCAAGCTAAAGTGGTGCATGAAGGTCACTACGAAATGCCTAGAACGACAAAAAGAGGAGCACCAAGACCAGAACCTCAACCTCATACAATTGCTCTGTGTGTACATAATTCAAGATTTTCAATTGAAAATCAGTAAAATATATTTGCCTTCTGGTTGTAATATACTTTCGGAATTATACTAGGTTTGCCACAGACTCAAACATACCAATAAGGATTTCGGTTATTTGGTTGGTAAATATTAAGAAGGAGGTTTCTCTATTGTTATGACGTTTGGCATGTCTTGACTTTTTTCAATTCATTGCCATCCTCGTTGATTATTAACAAAAAGAAAAAAATGCATGAACCAAATAACCAACGGGTCATTAAATATACCTTCATCATTGGTGCATTCTTTATTGTTGCTGCTCTATTTTCCTTGTGTGTGAGTGCAGCAATAATTGATGACTATGTAAATTTATCATCACCTGCAATGAATTATACTTTATTGGCAACAACTACATTGGATGTGGGTGTTATGTATACTCTCTCTATTAGAGGAGTTGATTGGTTAACAAGTGAAGAATTGGGTTCTTCATCACAATGGTATGTTTGTTATTTCTATCCTATTTCATTATTTACAATATAATAATACTATTGAATATTATTACAATAATAATGTATACTACTAAAAAGGAAACATTATCTAGCCATTGTGGTTCCAAATAATCTCAACACCAACTATAATGAATCATTTTTATATATTGAAGGAGGTTCTTCTTCCACATCAATGCCAACCACCAATGACATGTTAAAATCACTTGCCTATTCCACTAATTCCATCACTTCACAAGTTTACATTGTTCCCAATCAACCAATTATATTTTCATCTGATCCAAGTAAAACAGCACGTAGTGAAGATTCACTCATTGCCTACACATGGAATGCATTCATGGATAGATATGAGAATAAATCATCAGCAAATTTACCAATTGATGTGAAAACTTATGAATGGTTGGGTCATTTACCAATGGCAAAAACTTCAATGAGAGCTATGGATGTTGTTCAGGATTTTATTTACAAATTGAATGGAGTTTCAATTTCAAAGTTTACAATTGGTGGAGGTTCTAAAAGAGGTATGTGTGTTAAATTTATTGAAATATTGAAATTTTGAAAATAATAGGTTGGGCTGGTAAGTTTACAATAATTGTTACAATTTATATTAAAATGTGATAAATTAGCTTGGTTGGTTGGAGCTGCTGATCCTCGTGTTAAAGCACTCGTTCCTTTGAGTATTCAAGTTTTGAATTTGAAAGAAAGTTTTCTTCAAATTAACAAATCACTTTGTGCTTGGCCAATTGCTTTATATGATTACAATTCTCAAGGTGTTTTGAAGAGAGTTGATTCTGCTGCATTTACTGCTTTACAATCAGTTGAAGATCCATTTGCATATAGAGAAAGATTTTCTAATCATTCAATTTATATGATTAATGCTCTTGGTGATGAATTTATGTGGCCAGGTAAGTGTGTTATAACTTTATATATTCATGAATTGATATAATTAATATGTTTACATGATTAATCGAATAGATCTTGCTTTAAAGAGTTGGCCTTACATGAATAATATTAAAAAGAAATATTTACGTTACATTCCAAATACTGGACACTCACTTTCCAATTCAGATGCAATAGAATCAGTTTTATTATTCTACTATATGCAAGTTAAGGGAATTGATCTACCTCAATACAATTTCACACACATCTACAATGACACTGGTGTCAAGGTTACTGTTTGGAGTGCCATCAAACCAACCAATGTCTATCTATGGAGAGCAAACAATACTAATGCTAGAGATTTCCGTATCTCAACCATTGGATCAACTTACAAGTCATCAAATCTATCTGAAACTTCTCCAAATATTTGGGAAGTTTTTGTTCCTAATCCATCTAAAGGTTATGTTGCCTTGTCTATTGAATTGGTTTATGAAAATTATGTTTATGGATTCAAACCACTCAAATTAACAACGAGTGGATATGTCATTCCAAATACTTATCCATGTGATTCAAATCCTTCATCAAATAATGGTACTAATAATGGAACAACACCAATTGTATCAACTAAAGCTGCCAATAGTACAAAGATTAATGATTCAAATCAATCAGTTCAATTTTCATTGACTACTACCTTGATGATTGCAGCAATTATTTTATTGATATCTTATTTATAAAGAGGTTTAAAAAACTTATCAATTGAATGATTTACAAATATTTGTAATAAAAATAATAATAATAATAATAAAAACATAAACACTTATTTATTCAATGAATGAAAATAAAGCCTTTTGTAAATAATCTTTCATTTGTTCAATTCTTGCAAAAGTTTGATTACTATTAATTAATGATTCCTTTGATTCAATTGCATCTAAAATTGAAGAAATAATTTCCTCTTTTAATTGTGGTGAATTCTTTGATGTTTTTTGTTTTGAAAGTTTTGGTGATAAATATCTAGTACTATCAATAAATTGTCTATATTTAGATAAAATAAATTCCATATCATTAAAATCTCTAATAGATCTAATTAAAATATGAAGAGTATCAATATCTGGATTAATTTTAATAATTTCAGTACTTGTTTGACAAGTATTAAAATATTTCCACATTGAATTTGAACCTTCAGTATTTAATAAAGCTTCCAAATATAAATTAAATGATCTAATATCAAGTATTAAATTATTTCTCTTCATTTCCAAATAAAATTGTTTCATTTCAAATGGACCTTTTAATTCACTAATAACATGTAAAAATAGAGCATTTGTAGATGCAAATGGAGAACATCCACATGATTCAAATAAATAAATTAAATTATCAATAAAATCTTTAACATTTGCATTTGGATCTGTTTTAATTAAACCTGATAAAATATAAGAAACATTCTTATTTAAATAATGATCTCTTGATAAATGTTCAATTTTAGTTTGTAATTGTGTAAAATCAACTTTTTGTAACATTATTTGTAATAAACTTAGGCCAATACCTAAATCTTTACCATCAAAAATAGTATTAGATAAACTATTTAATTCACCCTTCTTTCTTTGTGTAATATAATTTACAATATCTTGTTCAATAGGTAATAAAATATGTAATAAATCAAATGAATCCATATGTGTATGTAAAAATGTAATAAAATGTGTAAATGTTCTCATTGTAGGAGTAACACCACGTTCTAACATTTCATAAATTAAAAATCTTGCTCTTGAAAAATTATTAATTTTACAATAAAATAAAACTAAATGTTCATAAACTTTTGGAGTATATTCACTTTTATGTCTATCAACAACACTTAATATATCCATTAATTGTTGTTCATTTCTAGTTCTACTAGCATAATATAAAACAATTGATCCAACTAAATGATCATCCATACTAATATTATCATATTTCATATTTTGCATAATCATTGGTAAACAATCTTTACCTGTTAATATCATTCCTTCAAGTAATACTTTATAAGTTACACGTGTTGGTTTAATATTTAATTCTTTCATACGATTAAACATATCAAGTGCTGAATCAAAATGATCATTCATACATAAATGTCTAATTACTGTTGTAAATGTAATAGCATTAACATATTCTTTAAAATTTATATTATCAACTAACATTTGAAAATGTTTTATCATATATGGTAATTTACCTAATAATCCATATATATTAATTAATGTATTCAATGTTATACCATCATATTGAATTGAATGATCTGCAAATAATTGTATTGTTTTTTGTAAACATGATAATATATAATCTTCATCATTTAAATTTCTCATATTTGGTAAACATAATGTTGCAACTGATTTTAATAATGCATTCAATACTTCAATATTCATTTTAACTTGTGTTGCATAATAAAGTGCCTTTTCAAAATTACCCATAATTGAATAGGCATTTACCATTGATTGATAAATTGTTCTTTTACTATCATAAATATTATTAGAATTATTATTAGAATTATTAGAATTATTAGAATTATTCATATTATTCATATTATTATTCATATCATTGATATTATTTAAATTTATATTATTCATATCATTACTATCATTCATATCATTCATATTATCATTACTACTATTAATAATAGTATTAAATAAATTTTCACATAAATCTTGTTTACCAGTATGTGCATAAATAACAAGTAAACAATGATAAATATCATTTGTTAATGGAATTTGATTTTCAATTAAAACTTGATGAACATATTCAGCTTCTCTTGAACTACTAACATCATATGCAGAATCATGTACTAATCGAGCATATAAATATAAAAATCTAACAGAAACATATTTAAGTAATTTTCTATCTAATACATCACTATATAAATTCCAATAATATGAAATAAAATTTAAATAGAATGAAAAGTAATTTTCCAATGGTAATAAATTATTTTTATCAACATCAAATAAATCTCCATATGTTTTTGATATTGTTCCTCCTAATTTTTTTAAAAATTCTGCATCTTGTTCTTTTTTAGCTAATTCTAAATATTCAACTCCTAATAAACTTAATTTACTTGCTATATTTGTATGTAAAATATTAGATTTAGAAAGTAATTCAGATACTGTTACAAATAATGGTGTACCTGATATTCCTTTTTTAACTAATTTAACTATATTAAAATGATTATTAATATTTTTAGCATAAACTTGTTCATATAAATAATTTAATTCATTCATTTCAATTAAAACATGTCCTAATACATTATATAATTTACATAATACTACTGGATGTGTTAAAAATCTTGATGTTAATGGTTTTAATTGATTTTCAAATAATTTTTTAAGTCCTATATTAATATTAAAATTAAATAAAAATAATTAAATTAAATATATTAAAAATAATTAAAAATTACCTTTAAAATCATTTGAATGATGAAACATTTTAATTCTATAACATAACATGTCAATGAAAATATCAGTATTTGTAGTTTTAACAGCTTTATATCCACTTGAAATCATTAAATCTAAACATTTAGAACATTGATTTAATATTAATTTAGTATCAATACCTTCATATTCATTTAAATGACTATGAATATGTTTTCCTTTTCTTTCTAATTGATAAGCTAATTCTTTAGCAAATGAATAATGTGAAATTACATTTCTATTCTTATTAGCCATTGTAATAACATCAGGAATATATTGTACTTGATTTAAATAAAGTAAATATCTTGTTAATTCAACATATTGATATGGTTCATAATTTTGATATAATTTTAATATTCTTTCTTTTACTTGATTTGAATATTCTGTTAATTTAGAAATATTTTCAACACTTTCACTTCCAAATAAAGGTTCATGAAGTTTTAATGAAAGTGATTTTAAATCTGTACTTTTTTGTTTTTTAATCTTTTTATCATTTTCACTTTGAATTAATGAGGATGATGCGGATGCGGATGATGAGGATGATGAATTTCTAATAAAGTTTTTAACACTAGTATTTAATTTTGTATTAATAACTATCTTTTGAGAGGATGATGATGTAGATGATGATGTAGATGAATGACCATTAATATTAGTAGAAGAAGCCTTTGATGGTTTAGTATCTTCAATGTACTTTTTAGTAGTACAATTTTTACTTGGAGCCTTTTGTGTTGTTGTTGTTGTTTGTATATTACTACTAATATTATCGGAAGGTGATGATGATTCATAATGACTCACATTTAATAGTGATGAAAAAGAAGCCTTCGATTGATGATGATGATGAATTAAATTATTCTTTGTTAATAATAAATTATTTTTCATCATCATGGAATTCATGGATGCTACTATGGAAGTGGTAGAAGAAGCAGCAGCCGATGATGATGATGTTGTTGTTGAAGCTGAGAGAACATTTGTGAGTTTTTTCAACATTTTTTTAACTTGATAATTTTATTGTTCTTTCTTCGAGTAAATCAATAATTAAATTGAAAATTATTTTGTTGTTGCAGAAGCACTAAAATATTATTGAAAATATAAAATTGACTCACACATCATTGATAAAAATTTAAATATCAGATGTAAACTCATTTCTCTGAACGAAAATCTAAGTCTAACACTAAAACCTTGCCTCCCTTGGGAATCGAACCCAAGACCTCTGTCTTACTAGGACAGCGCTACTGCCAACTGAGCTAGGAAGGCTTACATGAACACTAAATTGAGGTTGTTCAGGAATTAAGGAATGTTTGAATTTTGAACCATTAAGCATATGTTAAAAGGTTACAGCGAGCGGGGCTTGAACCCGCGACCTTAAGCGTGTTAGGCTTACGTTCTTTTTGAAATCAGAATAACCTTAATCGGACTCAGATTGGGTTTTCAGGCATAAAATGTGACCATGAGCTTTCCTGCCGTTACACCTTTGTAACCTTGGTAGATCTATATTTAAATCTTGTTCTATGTCAACACAATAAAAATGCAACACTTTATTGTGTATTTTGTTTCTTCTGATCTTGTGGGAATTGAAGTAATTCCACAATTTTATTCCTCCTTTCCATCATTATTCCTCAAGATGTGTAATGGAGTTGCCAAACGATATGGAGAACAATTCTTGCTAAATGCACAACATTTCACATTGATCAATAGTTCCGATAATGATCAACAACAAGTAATATTGACACAACTTGGTGAAAATCCCAAAACAGTTGACACTGATTACTTGATGCAAAATCTTATTGAAAGATATGCAAGAGCTTGGAGTTCAAAAGAGAGGAAACAAATTAGAGCTAATCTTGATAGAATGGTGAAATTGAATGAAAATGTTTTAGATAACAACACTGAATCAGAATTGGAGGTTTTAGACTTGTATCAAAGAGTAATGTCATACCCACAAAAACCAAATAAATAATTCACATTGTAAAACAATCCTCCCATGCCGGGAATTGAACCCGGACCTCCTGGGTGAAAGCCAGGTATCCTAGCCATTGGACTACACGGGATCTTATTTCTATTTAATTTGGTTTGTGAAGGTTCATTAAGGATGTTATGTTATAAAAATTAATAGTACCTTAAGTTGATTCCTTCTTAGAATTGTTGTATTTCACCCATGAAATAAATCCATATTAAGAGAGGTGATAAACATTTTGTTCCTTCATCATCTGTTAATGTATAAACATGGAAGCAGCGTAAGAGAGGAAAACCACAGTGACTGTTATGGACATTTCAATCAAACGGTTATAAATTTTTTTGAGAGGTGTTAGAATATGCATTCCAGCCTCACTTAGAAGAAGGGAATAATATTGTTAAGGGCATTTTCAGTTCCAAGTTAATCAACATCACCACACAGTAAATAAAGCGAAAAATTCTCTCTAAAAAAATCCAAGCCTTTAAGGATTTATCAAACCAACAATAGTAACTGCTTTTGCGCATCATTAACATTTTCAAGAAAATATTCTCATCTCTCTCTCGTGTATATATTTATTGATTGTTGTCCTACTCCTCAATATTCCTTAGTAACATATTACAAAAGGCTTCTTGAAGGTTTATTACTCTTCATCCTCCTTTCTCTCATCCTCATCATTTCTATTTAATAACCAATAACAAATACTACAAATACAACTAACATATATAGAGAATGAAAAGGTTATCAATCTATAATAATATATTAATATATTCCATAATGTTAATAGTATTAATATTATTAACATTTAACGTACAATATACAGAAAGTACAGAAAGTACAGGTGTAATTGCAACTAGTAATGAATATTCATCATTAAGAGATTCTATTATGAATAAAGGTATTGAATCCTTATCATCAGCAATATTTAATTTAGGAACAGGTATTGATAAGAATATTGTAAAATTAGTATCAGTATTACCTAGATTAACATTATACAATTATGGAACAAGGAAATTAGATACACGTTCAGCACCTAAAGTAATTACAAATTTTGATATTTCTAATCAAACAGCTATATCAATGTTAGTTGATTATGCTGAAGGTATTGGTGCATATGGTGCATTAGGTTTAATTTGTTTAGGAATTTTACTTGTTGAATTTTGTTGTTTTTTAGGTGCATTGTTTTATTCAATTGGTTCTTGTTGTTGTTGTAAACTTGGTGAAAGAGATCAAAAATTTAGATTAGATAATTATGGTGCATGGGCAAAAGATCATGAAAAGAGAAAGAGAATTATATGTGCTTTTAGAATTATTTTACTTATATGGGTTATTTTAAATATTGCTTTATTAATGTATGTTATATTTATTAATTTAATTTTAATTATATAATAATTATTAATAATATAATAATATATTAACAATATAAATTAATATTTATAAAATATAATAATATATTTAAAATATATAATTTAAAAAAGAGTATGGTTTGTGTTTGCATATCAATCTAATATAGAAATTAGTAGTTTTATAAATAAGGGTATAAATAGTTATAATGAAATTGAAACACTTGTATCAAGTGTATTAGAATTTGCTAAAAATTTACCAACAATAGTAACACAATTAGAAACACAATATAATCAATTTAAAACAAGTTTATTAAGTAAATTACCAACAGCAAGTAAATTATCAGAATGGAATCAATGTGTTTATTCTATAACAGAACAAGTACCTTCTATAAATAATATTGAATTAAATATTAATAATATAAATAATTATTTAAATAATAATATTTTAAATAGAATTAAACCATTACAAGATTCAATTATTGAATTAAAACAATTATTTATTACAGTTGGTGATGATCATGTTAATAATTTAAAAACATCTACTTTGATATTTGAAAATTCTATTATTGGATTATCAAATTCTTTAAATAATTTAATTAATTTAATTGATTTAATTAATTTAAATTTAAATAAAATTACAACAATAGATTATTCTATAAATACAATACAAACATTACAAGATCAAACGAATACAACATTAAATTTTAAATATTTTAATCAATATGAATATGAATTATCACATTTTAAAACAAGTAATATTGTACAATTATCAAATTTATATTATGAAACTATTATATTACAAAATAATATTAATTTATTTAAATTACCAATTATAACATTAATTAATAATTTAATTTATATGAATAATACTTTATCACAATTACCATCAGAATTTGAATTAAAATTAAAATTAAATGAATTACAATTATCTTTTAATCAAATTTCAAATTTAAATTTAACTTTTAATAATTTAAATTTATTTAATCAAGATGTTAATCAAACATTACCAAACAAGTATAAATTATTAAAAGATGATTTGAGAAGTTTAACATTTGCCATCAATTCAATTCCATCTTTACAATTTATTCAAGATATTTATTCACAAGTTTTATTTTTTAATTCAATTTTACAACAAACTAATTGTATTGATAATTTAATTAAAGATATTAAATATATTAATGATACTTTTGTTGAATTACCAAATGTTAATTTATTTGATTATTATTCTTCATCTAAATCTCTTTTAAATACTTTTGTAAATGGTGATATTACAAAATATTATAATTCTATTAATAGTATTTCAAATATTAATCAACAAGTTATTTCATCCATTTCTATTTTATTTAATAATACATTAGATTTATCAAATATAAATTTAAATAATTTAAAACAAGTATTACCTATTATAGAATTTAAAAATCAATATTCTTTAATTAATTTAACTAATATGAATATAACTTATTTAAATTATTATAATAATATTAATAATTATATGAATTTATTAAATGCAAGTAATACATTTCAAGAATTAAATACAACATTGAATGATTTTGATGATTTAAAATTAGAAAATTATAAATATTTAGTAAATGCAGCATATAATCAAGGTAAAACAACATGTTATAATGATGTATCATCACAATGTAATGTTTTAAATACTAAATCATTAGAATTATATCCAAAAGTAGTAAATTTAAGAATTGCATTAAATAATTTAACATCATTACAATATATTAAAACTGAATTGAATAATTATAAAGAATTAATTTCAAAAACTATATTAAAAAATCAAATAACACCATTAAAAACTATTAATAATAATTTTAATTTTAATCAAGCCTTGACATTATTAACTTTATATGGTAATGGT